TTTCATCTTACATTTTATTATGTATAAGTCGAAGGAAAAGTACGATAATTTTCTACGTTTATAAAATTTTAATTCAAAAACGAAAACAATTCCCTATTGTTTCCGTTTTTTTCTTTACCGGTAACATAACAGAAAACACGTTACCCACCCGTGGGTAGAATTTATTGACTAAATTAAGGCCCCGGTGTTTGTATAAATTCACACGAACACGTGTTTTTCGAACAGGGGGAATGGGGAAGCTTAAGCTACATCGTGTAATGCATTCGCGATCTAAAAAGGGCTCCGTGTGCACGATCGGCTCTCCTCTTATTCTCTCTCTATTCTAAAACGTCTTCAAACCCCACAACCCGACAAACCAACAAACGGGACGTTATTGTTTAGCGGGATTCAAAAACCGATTTGCTAATTCGTGAACTTTGACCCTCTTGTTCTGAATACTCACGGTTTCTTCTCTTTATTCAACTCACTCGGACAATCGTTTCTATAACAATACATATTGTTATTACAATATGACTCATTTTTTTTATTATTTGTCTTTAAACGGACACTTATATCTATAGAATCTATATGAATTTTTATTTATCCAACCAATTAAAAAGTCAAGACATTAAAAAATATTTTGTCTAATAGCAGTAGTAAGGAGTTGTAATCTTCTGCAATCAATAAACACTTTTCTGCAAGTAGCAGGCAGTCCCCTTCAAGCAGTCTCTAGTCTTATTTGCAATGTCTGTACTTCCATTATCACTATCTTGCCTTCTGCCAGTATTTAACCTCTTGCAATCAGTATATAGTTCTTTACAAGCAGTGCCTAGCCTTCTAGTAATAGCATGCTACGAATTTTTGTGGCAAGCCCTCAGGGGAATGCAGATTGTTAAGACCCAGCGATCACCCAGTAACATACACTTACCACTACCTGCGCCGCAGGACTCCCTGAGCACTACCTTTCCATGAAGGAAACCAAGGTGACTGACAATGAAAGGGCTGAAAGTCGATTCTTTCTCTTTATTTATTTTCTACACTATGTTACTCTACGTCCACGAGCTCTGTCGATACATACAAATAATTAATATTATACAATAGTTTTATTGTGAATACAAACAAAAAGGAACGAATAATAAGAGATGTCTCTTCCAAACCTCTCCGGATCATCCACCCCCAATCTCCTGTCAACTCGGAGCACCACCGAAGAATTCCTGACATAGTAATGGAGTCAATATTTTGTTGCCAACAATAATTGAATAAAAGGTGTGGAAGATGAGATTATTACTGGAGCTCACAAGAGTAAGTTTCAAATTTATTATCTGAAGCTTGAAAGGATGATCACCAAGAAACATTAATAAGCAAGACACTTGACATGAAACAAACAAGTTTACCTCCTCTCTGGAATCTTCACATCAAAATAATGTAATATAAATAATAATCGGTGAAATGAATCCCAAAAAGAAATGGAAAAAGAAATACGGGTTCAACTGTTGCTTTTATTTTACTAAGATCTGTAATCCCGGAATGACCTTTATCCTCGGATCAATTCAGAAAAAATTTTCTTAGACTTCGCAAACACCACCTTTACATACGACATGCACAGGTAAAAGAGGACGAAGGAAATCAACTCACGAATCTAAAAATTACCTAAACACTACGGCAACAATGTCATCTTGCCGATGAATTAGTATGGAAATATAACCTACAAAATTAGTGAAAGAAGAAGGATCAAAAGCGACTGACTTTAATCTTCTTAGTCTTCTGTAAGCAGTATTTAGTCTTATCTGGACGGAAAAGACATTCATTGTTAACCCCAACTAGATTAACTCCTAACTCCTTTAACGAGTTCTTCACATTACCATTTACCCAAACTCAACCTGAAGATTATCTATGTAAAATTCCGAAAAAAACATCTCTCATTCTTCTATTTTTCTACAAATCAAGGTGAAATAGCAGCCATAATAAAATCATTTCGAGGCAAACGCACAGAGGATGTGTACGTTTCAGTATTCATCTTTTGAAAGAAACCGTAAACATCATAAAAAATCCAGTTTCAGATATTATAAACTGCTCAATTAGAGAGGGCGTGTTTCCCGACCGATTAAGACTTGCCAAAATTATACCAATACTTAAAAAGGATGGTCCCGAGAATGTGAATAACTACAGACCTATTGCTATTCTACCAGCCTTTTCTAAAATTTTCGAAAAAAAAAATGGCACTCCGAATAATAAGCTTTTTTGATAAGAATAAATATTTCACTGATGAGCAATATGGGTTTAGGAAAGCTAAATCAACCGTAAATGCCCTTCAGAGACTAAAACTGTAAAACTGTCTAGCACATTTCCATGATCTTTCAAAAGCGTTTGTATGTATGGACCATGAGATTTTTCTGAGCAAGATGAAATATTATCGGTTTCATGAAGTATATTTCTCCCAAATAGTGGAATGGAATCAAGTGAAGAGCGATATAAAATGTATTAAAATTGAAGTGCCTCAGGGTACTATCTTAGCGGACCGAGGGAAAGAAGATCTTAGAACTTGCACATCTACATCTAACTGGTTTACTACCAATAAACTTGTTACAATTCGTGAAAACTCCAACAACATCTACTTGACAACTAGTCGAATTTATCACGAGTTCCAAGGAGGAGAGTTGCAATATTTGGGTGTTGTTCTGGACAGTCTTCTTACTTGGTATGACAATGTAGAATTACTTTGTAACAAATACAGTCGTCAAATACATGGCAGCGAGGAAACCAAGACAGTTTACTTTGCCTTATTTCATGCTTCTATGCTGTATGGAATTGCGGTATAGGGTAACTCTTCCCATGCCCAAAGAGTTTTTCGTCTGCAAAAGAAAGCCGTTCGGACATTTGGTGGAGTTCCTCAAACATCAACATGCAAGCCCCTATTTATCAAATACGATATAATGACGTTACGCGTTAGGCCTGACTAGATAAGATTGAAGATTTACATAATATGTATAACACCAGACACTGCCAGTGACTGTGTATTCCAAAAAGTAGATTTAACTCTAACTCACTAATACTAGGTTTCCACCTCTACAATAAGTTCCCGGTATCAATACGAAGCTTTCCGTATTCATTATTTTACAAAGATAAATCTTCTTAAGAAGTACACCTTCTACAGTATCCCAGAATATTTGGAGTCGTCAATTCTGGATGAATAAAAATTTTTAGTGTATTTATCTATTATTATTATGTGACTTTTTCCTTTGACGTATTTAAGAAATTAATTAATTCTGTAGTTAATTTCTTTGAATAAATAAATTTACTTTACTTTGCAATGTCTAGACCTCTATCTCTATCACTATCTTGACTTCTGCCAGCAGCAGTTTCAGTTCCTAATCTTCCATTAATAATATTTAGTGTGCTGCCAACAGTACCAATTTTTCTTCAAGTCTTCTGTACGTAGTTAGAGTCTTCAGCAAGTAGTAGGCAGCTTTCTGCACGCAGTAGGCAGTCTCCAGCAAGCAGTATCTTGTCTTATTTGTAATGTCTAGAATTCCATTTCCATCTACAAGCAGAAATTTTAGTTCCTAATCTTCCATTAACAATATTTAGTGTGCTGCCAACACACTAATGTAACTAGTCTTCTATACGCAGTTGTGTAGGCTTCTGCAAGCAGTATCTAGTCTCATTTGCAATGTCTATTCACAGTTTCTTCTCTTTATTCAAGTCATTTGGACAATCATTTCTATTACAACACATGTTGTAATACAATATAAGTCATATATTATTATTATATATATTATTATTATATATATTATTATTATATATGTATATTATTTATCTTTAAACGGAAACTTGATAGAATCTTAATTAGTTATAAATAACAACTTAAATAACTCGTTGAGATTTGATCTATATGAATTTTTATTTATCTAATCACAAAATCAAGTTCTTTCTTCCGCAAATCATCTTATTTTTCTCCTTATATATAACAAAGTACATCACAGAATCATTAATTACTATCACAATGTTGGTTAAATTACTTTTAATTTTCCTTTTAAGCGTTACATTTTGTAACGAAATTGGTGCTGAAGAATCATGTGCAGGTAATTTTATTAAATTAATTTTAAACAAATTAATTTGATTCTAAACAATTTTTTTAGCCGAGTTAGGACCGGCTCGAGATTTTGTTTCGTCCGTTGACAATAATTTATATCTTTCTTGGATGCCTCCACTTGGATTTGAAAATTGCGCTGTTGATTATAACCTTCATATCCAAAATGCGAATACGTCGCAGTATTTAACGCCCGTTCAAAACTTGACGAACCTCAACTTCGTTTTTGATTATGATAAGAACGATCAAATTTGTATCGACGTCAAATCCACTTTATATGCTAATCACGATAGCGAAACATCTGTTACTTATTCTTATAATTTTTTGGGTAAAAATAACGATACAATAAATACGATACGATAAATATAATTTTTTGTTTAGATCCTGTGGCTGAATTGGGAGCTCCTGCTTCTTTTGTTGTTAATAATACAGATGAAGCTTTGATATTAACTTGGACCCCACCGATTGGTTATGAAAAGTGTTATTATTTTTTTATGTACTCAGTTAGTATCGCTTCGAAAGAAACTGGGGAGTATATTTTTGCTTGGAATATGGGATTTTATTCTTTTACGTTTCCTTATCCGGAGTATCTTCCAAGTTTCTGCCAAGATGCGGTAGTTAATATTATGGCTTATTATAGAGGGAGACCTGGAGGGTCAATTTCGACAAATATAGTTTTTGGTTAGTAAAGTTAATTTTTAATTAATGAATTAATTGAGTTGATTTCTTTTTTAGGTCCACCAAAACTTTGTGGCCGAAATAAATGAAATGTTTAATTTATATTAAAAAGATTTCTATTGCAATAAAAATTTAATCAATTTATTATTTTTTTTATTTTTAAGTTTCATAGATATGAATCCATTTTTAATTTTGTTTAAGTGCTGATAGATGTCGATATATAAGTGCATGTTAACAGAAAAGTAAGTTATTTTCCAAAATGTTGGTCAACATCCTTCGCTTTTTACTCCTTTCTGTATATATTTTAGGAACTTGTAAGTATTGAGTCAGAAAAAGAAATGATAATAATAATGTTTTCTTTAGATTCAGAAAATTCTAAAAGTTGTTTGGAATACCCATTGGGTCCTCCTTTAAACTTTAAAGCTTCCCCAGACGCCACTCAAGTTGTAACTCTATCATGGGAACCACCGGAATATTATGAATCTTGTGATGTGCAATATTTAATACATCTTAGAAATGCAAACTCTTCCGAATACCTAACTGATATTCAAAAAACAAATAATTTAGTCTTCAAATTTCCTTATGAAAAATTTTTATGCTATCCATTTAACGCAACTATTTACGCTACTTATGAAGGCTTAACATCAACGCCGGCTTCTGCTATCATTATACCATTGGGTATAATCTATCACTTATTTGATTTTATAATGATTTTATACTGATTATGTAATTCTTAGATCCACTTACTGAATTAGGAGCACCTGTTCAACTTTTATTGGAAAACTCCGAAGAAACATTGAAACTCGAATGGTTGCCACCTGCAGGATATGAACAGTGTGCAGCCTTACACTATTTCAATTTTGGAATTGAATTCTATGATATTGACCGAAATATTACGTTTTCTTCAACGAACTATATAAAACAGCTTGAGTCTACCCACGTCTATGGTCCTTATGACTTTGAATATTACTGCGATGTAGTTGCTATTAAAGTTTTTGGATACTTCCTTGGCCGCAAATCGCACACGATTGCTAAAACTGTTACTTTTGGTAAGTTATTTGCAATGTTAAAGATAGTATTATAATGATGACTTTTTATATTTAGGTCCAAAAGGTTACTGTACAAAAAATCATTCCAATTAAATCAAAAAAAAAGTTAACAGTTTTTTTTTCTCATTATGATGTGTAAATAAAATGTTTCAAAATACTTCAAATGTATTTACTTTAAAACTTAAGTTCTAATCAAACACTAAAATAAATAAATAAACCTCTCCTAAAGTTATCTCATATTAAGAGGAAGGTATTTTAATTGAATATCAAGTATTTATTCCATTAAACCCCAACAATTTTTTCTTTTTTGATTATGTTAAACACAATCTAATGTCTTCAATCGATTTTATATTTTAATTGGTTACCACCAGAATCATACGAAGATATTTTAATCCTGTAATTAACAATTCTGAACAAAAAAAAACTTTATAATTATGGAACAGATAACCATAGAGATAACGGATCCACTACGTTAAGTTATGAGGAGATGTGGTGATTAACTCATAAAGATGAATTAAGTGTTCTCTGGGAATCTATTATGAGTTTCCACATCTTTCTTTTTCTGAGATCCCTTGAAATTGGTCATTAACAAAACTAACCATCGATTAATACATATTAACAGCAAAGGTTTTAAATACTAATGCGAGAAGTCACTATGCCCTGTGCTCTGGTTTTACGCAATCACTAAGGATAAAAAGAAAATGGATGTCTTAGAGATGTTTTGCTGGCGCAGAATGAAAATAGAAAATCCCCTACAGGGTATATGGGCTTTTTCGTAATCATCACGGGACGAAATCTGGGACGTAGATTCAAGATGGCTGAGAACAGGGATAATCAAAGCACGTTTCTCGAATACGAGATGTCAACAAGGAAGAAGAAGAAAACCAATTAGAAGAGTTCTTTTTCTCTAAAGCCGAATTCTTGCGTTATTTCTTCACGTGTTCCTTCCATTTGAGCTTTGTGTCCAACGTCTGGACAACACCATCTATGTACACTAGAAGAGTTTGATTTTCTATCTTTGTGTCCACAGTTGCACTATATCACTACCTTTCAATAGCTTACTAGTTGCTTCTTGTATTTCAAATCCAGTAGCAAGTTTTGCCGCATTATTAGCGAATGATGACTGCGTCGTTGTGATTGGGTAAGTCGCTTATGCAATGCAGTTACAAGAATGGTCCCAAAACGGAACCATGTGGAACATGTACACTGATCTCTTTGAATGTTCTGCTTCCTATGGTGCTCTAAAAACCATCAAAATGGCTTCTTTGAGCTGCATCAAGGAATCTCATTGGTCAATATAGCTTCCTTTCTAGTATTCTTCTATTGAGGGTCTTCTCAATTTGATCTGAAAACTTGTGAACCTAAGCAATGGTGGAATATTGACTACAAAATGTTTTTATTACCATGAGCTTTGTAAGTATTTTCTCCAACTTTCATGCAGAAGTTCTGTTGGCTGCTTTGAAAACTGCCTCTATCACATCTATTTAAAAAAAAAAGACCTATACAAGCATTGTGAACCCCCTGAACCCTACGCGCACACACCGAATCCAAACAAGGACCATAGATAGGCGAGCAATAATTGAACAAAGACAACACCATACTTTCACACTGCACAGTTTTAAGCTTCACACTGAAAATGGAAGCATAAGGGTAAAGCAACTTCAGATTACAAAAAGCAGCTCCAATTGCTCAACTACTCAAAGTACGCCTTCTTTTCATTACGCACCACTAATGTTGGTAAATTACTCAGCTCTTTATAGTACTTCCAGTGACCGTCCGTTTTAGATCTTCTATAGTTTAATTTAGCTCTATCCCCAAACCTCTGCAAAAGTTCGACATTGTCAGTAAGCCAAGGTGTTCTTGGTTTGGTAATTTGTACGGTTCTGATTGGCGCAAACCCATTGAACAACTGCAAAAGTGCCTCATTGAAAAATTCAACTTTAGCATCTATGTCTAAAGAATAAATAACATCAAACGGAATTGCAGACAAGTGACTAGCAAACTGACGATATTCAAAATTAGAGAAATCTCTAAAGGAATAGTAAAAGGGTTTACGACAGAAGTTACTACACTTACAAAAAACAAGACCATGATCAGAAATTTCCCAACAAAACACACCACTTCCAGCAACAACTGAAACATCAGATACAACTACAACATCCAATAACGTCGCGGAAGACTCAGTGACACGAGTCGACTCAGTAATTACTTGAGTCATTTGTAAAGAATCAAATAAAGTAAGCAAACTAATTGTATCATTATGGCTAGTTTTCAACAAATTAATATTTAGATCACCAAGGCACAAAACATTATCATATTGTAACTTAAATTCAGTTAATTGTATTTCCAACTGTTCAACAAAGATTACATTATTCAGAGACGGTGGTTTATACAAACAACCAACAACATGACTCCGAGATCCCAACCTAATTAAAACCCATATCCACTCGTAAGCCATCTCATCAATACAATCAACCAAACAGCAGTTCAAAGTGTTACGCACAAATACGCCCACACCCCCGCCATGCCCGATCCTATCCTTACGAAAGAAGGGTAATCCCCACCACATCGTTACTAATCTCCGGTGAGAGCCAGGTTTCAGAGATGCAAAAAGTATCAATCACATGATACTCGGAAGCCGTGGATAATAGTTTTGAATAGGAGTAGTGTCGATGTAGCGCCTCGGCCGCAATCGACCTTGGCTTATTCAACTCAAATATCTTCGAAATCCACCCAGTTTTGAGAAAAGCTTATATTGATGTACCGCGACAGCCACAAGCGACCTCGGCTTAATTAAACGGCACTTCCTTAAAAATTATTTAGTTTAACAAAATAACAACCTTGGCTTACTCAAATGTAACATCATCGAAAACTACCTAGTTTTGAATAAGCATAATGTCGATGTAGCGCCTCGGCCGCAAGCGACCTCATCTTACTCACCTCAAATATCTTCGAAAACGATCCAGTTTTGAGAAAAGCTTTCGTTGATGTAGCTTCTCTCTTTGAAAGCACGTTACTGCGCAAGTTTTTAAAATACTGAAGACTGATTTCTAACAGAGAAAATAATCCAACTTTAGAATACAAATCAAAACATTGTAAATTTTCGTTATCTTTAAATCATCATTTCCTTTTTAAAATAAGATACGGATCGTTTTATACGAATCGTACATCAATAATTATTAATGTGAAGGGTAAAGTGATCTGGGTAAAAGAGGACGTGAAGAAATCGATGATGATGAAGAAAAGGATGGTCGTAGGAACTGGAATGCCCGCGGAGTCGTCCTATCTGATGATCTTTATGATGTCATGCGAACGAGCTCGACAAAAAGTGACATTTTTCAGGAAGACGATTCGCGCTCACCGTTACGCTCTTCATTAATTGCCATTCGGTCGACGCATTAATGCTCGCATCGGGTTCAATCGATTCGCAGATGTCGCTGACAAATGACCCTGGTGGTCGCTATAGACGATCATCGACGATTTACGATGGAAGAAGAAATCAAGAAGGAAATGAAAGGGATTCGTATAAAATTATTTAGCACGCGAGGAGAAAATTCAACGAATTAAGTTATAATTTATAACACATTTTTTTTAATTTTTGATTATTAGTATCATATTTTTTTTAATTTTAATTTGAAAGTAACAATGAGGAGTTATTGGAATAGATTTCGTTTCTTCATTACGTTATTCAATAGAGTTGAAGATGTGAAGTTGCGATAAAAATAGATTCCAATCCGAGACGTCAAAACTATTCCTAACAATCTCTTCTGATCTATTTATTTAGATGATGACGTTGCCCGATAATGTTATACAGATAAATCCGGCTTCTCATTATAGAATCGATTATTAGAAACTTATTGTCATAATATTTATTTAAAAAAAATCATTATGTTAATTACAAGATAAAATATTCAAAGAGAAACACCTCAATATCACAAAACGAAACGAAAATGATATCTTGAACATCTTTGAAAAGAATTAATCGTAATTTTCTTGTGCTATTCCTAATGCGTTTCGAACATTTAGATACAAATAATGTCTATTCTATTCCATGTTGGTAATTGAAGGTGGAGAAGAAAACGAACGTTGTCTGTTTGAAGATTTTACGGTCGATTGGGCCGCATAAAAAAATCAACTTCAATGGTCCGTAGTTGAGCGCGCCGTGAAATTATGCGAGTCGCTCCATTGGAGAGACAATTTCATTATTAACTTTCTATTGGTCGGTTCTCTTACGCCTACCTAAAATAGAAATCTATTTACAACTAGCAACACCTCAAATAAAACGTTCCGAAGAAACTTGGATTTTAATTGATAAATTAATCCCAAAAATAACACAACCATCAAAGAAAACACATAATAAATGAAGGATAATTGTACCTAATTAAAATTTTCGATGAAAGATACTCCTTAATTGGGATTTCCGAAAAATCCAAACATTTTTTTAACCTTTTTTCCGCGTGCCTCTTCTGTTTCGAGACCCCCTAGAGCCATTTCTTCGTTCGAAACTAAACCAGGTAATTATCCAGCCGTTATTTATTCGATGGCTTGTGGAAATTGGTTCAATAAAAACGACCACGACATTATTATAACAGTGATAATAGCAGTTTCAAATTAAACGTTTCAATAAATTTTACAAAAAATTACAACACTGTAAAAAAAACAATTCATAAACACTTTTTAGTGATTATAAAGAATGTTTGGAGTGATTTTGGACGGATCAATACGGGGAACGCAGTGTCCGTTATAATAAAAATATACAACAATCTAGCGCTGAATAACAAATAAAAGTAGACTAACACTAGAACAAACACTAGAACTAAAAACATTCCGTTTAATCGTGCGTCTCTTAAAACGGCTAAACCTAAATGTTTCTAGTTTTAGATCTAATATTAGTTCTAGTGACAGTGGTAGGTAGTGGTAGTTAGCATAAGATATCATATGTTGCATATTTTTATTGCACTAAAAGTAGAACTAACACTAGACCTAGAACTAGAAATATTCTGCCTTAGAAACATTCCATCTGCAGACGCACGGCTAAACCCGAAACTTTCTAGTTCTAGGTCTAGAGTTATTTTTAGTTTTAATTGATATGCAGCGCTAGACCAAGAACTAGAATCATTCGAGTTTAGCCGTCTTCAGAGACGTGCTGCTAAACCCGAATGTTTCCAGTTCCAATTCTATTGTTAGTTCTACTTTTAATTGTTATTCATTACTTTTTTCTTTCAAAGTCTTAAACAACTTGACAAACTGATTAGTTTTTGCTTAAAAATTTTTTTCTTAAACTCTCCGTTGTGAAGATATCAACAAAAACATTAATTAATAAAAAAGAACGATTTAATTAATCGTAAAACATATTAAAATTCTTCTTAACTTTTGAAATCGTCTTAGAAACTTGATTAAAAATTTTTTTTAATGATTATAAATCGAGTAAATGCTGTTCTAAACCTTGTTTGGATGTGCGCTAACTTGCACGTGCAATAAAAATTTCAAACGAAAAAAATCATTGTGATCAAAGCAAAAATGGAGCAGTTCTCTACTCCACAGAAAATTCAGATGGTGTTAGCTTACGGTGAAAGTCGTGAAAATTTCGCTGAGGCCTATCGCATATATGTTCGAAAATAGTTACAACATTTCTGGAATGTGGTAACGTAGAGGAAAAAAAACGAACACGTGCAAAGTGGGTTACGAATGAGCCGAATCAAATAGCTGTTTTAGCAGCTGTAGATGTTAATCCTCATGTAAGTTGCCGTCAATTGTCAAAAGATTCATTCATTTCGTGTTTCTCTACACCAACAATTACATGGCGATGATTTGGAAAATCGTGTGCAATTTTGTACTTGGGCTATGGAAAAATTAAGATTGAATGAAAATTTTTTCTTCAATGTACTATTTTCCGACGAATCCTCTTTCACCAATCACGGCCAAGTAAATCGTCATAACATGCACTACTGATCACATGAAAATCCTCGTTGGCTAAGACAAGTTGATCATCAAAAGTTAATGTCAGTTAATGTCTGGTGCGGCATTATTGGCAATAAAATAATTGGACCTTTTTTCATTGATGGCAATTTGAATGGCAGAAAGTATAGGAATTTTTTTGTTGAACAATTTATCGGTTTTGTTGGAAGACCTTACTCTGGAGCGAAGACTTGCGCACGATGGATGTCCATCTCATTATGCTCTAGCCGCAAGAGACGTTTCAGACGAAATGTTTCTTGAAAAATGGATAGGGCGTAATGGACCGGTGAATTGGCCAGCTAGATCATCCGACTTAATTTTTCCCGATTTCTTTCTTTGGAGTTACCTCAAAGAGAAAGTTTACAACCAGGTTCCAACAACACCAAACGATATGAAAAACCGTATCAGAGCAGCTTGCGAATCAATAACTAAAGAAATGCTTGGCAATATGCAGAGAACGTTTTCAATGAGAATTCAGAAATGTTTAGAAGTGATTGGTCATCATTTTGAGCATTTAATCGATGTATAAAGGTAACTTTATAAATTTTAATCGATGTTCTAAGGTGATTTCAAAAATGTATAATAAATTTTTTTAATTATATTTTGAAAAATGTTGTTTTATTTTTCTTTTTGTAAATATCTTCATAGCCCAGAATTTAAGAAAACAATTTTTTCAGCAAAAGATACTTAGTTTGTCAAGTTGTGCAAGGCGTTGAAAGAAAAAAGTATATGTGCGATATGAAAAAATGAAAATGAGGTCAGAAAGGCCTGTAGGCAACCCTGAAAAAAATGTTTGAGTGTTTGCTGACAGAATGGTTCAGTGCCTGAATAAGGCATCCGTCTGAAATATTGACGAGGAACTCTAACTTTTCAGTCAACTGACATTATAAGGCAAGTCCTTCTTAACGCTCAAGGCCGCAGAAGCTAGACTTTTCAGTCACGACAAACACTTCGTTCTGGACACTGAGGTTCAGGATTAGATTACGCTTTACTGACTTTTACAGTCATACTCAGTAGTCGCTAATGGTTGTCCTTACGGGCATACCTTTGTGTTTCGTTGACATCACAGTCAACTCATCAGGCCGACAGAAAAGTTTGGGTGTTTGCTGACAGAATGGTTCAGTGCCTGAATAAGGCATCTGTCTGAAATATTAACGAGGAACTCTAACTTTTCAGTCAACTGTCATTATAACGAAAGTCCTCTTTAACGCTCAAGGCCGCAGAAGCTAGACTTTTCAGTCACGAGTGTCACGACAAACAATTCGTTCTGGACAATGAGGTTCAGGATTAGATTAAGCTTTACTGACTTTTACTGTCATACCCAGTAGTCGCTAATGGTCCTTACGGGCATACCCTTGTATTTCATTAACATCACAGTAAACTCATCAGGGCCGACACAAAAGACAAAATGGATCAGTTCCTGAATAAGGCATCCGTCTGAAATATCGACTAGGAACTCTGACTTGTCAGTCAACTGTCATTATAGAGAAAGTTCTCCTAGTTTTAGTGGTTATACAATAACGTTGATATTGTCGTATATTTTTCATTAAACTAAAACTTGAACTAATATTAGACCTAGAAGAAGAAAGTTTCGGCTAAATCCGAATGATTCTAGTTAGTTCTAGTGACAGTGCTAGGTAACACTAGATATCACTATGTTGCATATTTTTGTTGATCTAAAACTAGAACTAACACTAGACCTAGAACTAGGAACATTCGGGTTTAGTGTTAATTGTAGTACTACTGTCAGCTCTAGTTTTAATTATTATTCACCACTAGATTGTTGTATATTTTTATTGAAATAAAACTAGAACTAACTAACAATAAGACAGAACACAACGGTGTGAATAGCTGTCCATAAAAAAATAATAAATTATCAAAAATATTTATTATGATGACTTTATTATCGTGACTTTTTCATGATATGAAAAAAAATTTTAGTTGTCAATGCTATCAGAGTTTATAGTAACGATCTGTCTTAGTTTGGTATGCGATTCGTTATTAATAACTGGTCCGAGAGACCTTAATAATTGATTAGAGGAGAGCTGAGATATCAGCGTGGCCACAACAACTACAATAATTAATTAGTCTTATGGGGCCGTTGCCGCCGTCTGATGGCACAGCACGACGCCATCGACCACAGAAGAACCAAACTACCGAATTGAATCTACCAGAGTAATTGCCTATTCACGATTAATTAGCGGAATTAAGGGGGAATTGTTCATTGTTGTAGATTTTTATTTTTAAAAGAAACAATTAATAAGGTAATTTTTGTTTACAATCGGGCCCAAAAATTATAGTTTTTGAAATTGCATGTCCTGGCATTCCTCTATAATAACCAACGACTTCAACGGCGGCTTCTTGACAATCATTTAAGTCGTTTTCTTGGTAAATATAAGAATATGCATATCCAGCAACATTTGTCATTAAAACGGTTTCTTCCGCGTTAATTAATATTATTTTAATGAAAAACATAAAATAAGCTCGACATTTTTCGTAACCCTCCGGTGTCGTCCAGTTTAATTTTAATGAAGATGATGAGTTTTCGATTGTTAAACTTGACGGTGGTCCTAATTCAATCGTAGGATCTACAAATAACATTTTTAATCGAATACTATTAATTAATTAAATAATTTTTAAAATTTACCCAAAAAATTTGTTGTGTAAACCGGATCTGATTCCCCATCAAAAATAGCATAAACTTTCGATCTTACATGAATACAAATATGCCCATCCTTCTCATAATCATAAACATATTCTCGATCAAAAGTGTTTATTACAGGAGTAAGGTATTCCGAAGTGTTTAAATTATTAATATGAAGTTCGTATTCGACTTCACATGTTTCGTACGATTCCGGTGGGGACCAATTAAAATATAAAAATTGATCTACGTTTGATTGAAAATTTTGAGGTGAACTTAACTCATTATCTAAAAAGAATAATTTTATTTAATTAAATAAGTAATTGTTATTAAATACCTCCACAATTCAAAGTTTCACTTTTCATGGAAGGAATTAAAACGAAAAGTACGAATTGAATTATTTTTGGTAACATTTTGGAAAAGATGTGTTCAATACTGAAAGGATTTTCTAGTTATGACGAGAGATAAGAATTTAAGAAGTTTATTTGTGTGTTTTGGGAGTTGATTAGAACTCAAGTTTTAAAGCAAATAACTTAATAATGTGACATAACATTATTTTAGGTAGATTAAACGATTTATTAGACAATATATTACAATATTTATATATTTAATATTTAAAATAAGTTACCAAAAATTGTAGTTTTAGAAATCGTTTTAGACACTCGAAATAAAGTATCTGATAACTTTAACAACAACTTTGAAGGTTAACAAATGATAATTTGATTTTGCGAAAAGCCGAATACCGGATATTCNAATCCAAGAAATGGATTTTATAGGAATTTTTAAAACTTGATCGGCGAAAATTGCAAAATCGAAAAAATTTTCGTTCATTTCAAAAATTTATTCCTCAAGAACTGAAAGTGATTTTTCAAAACGGCTTGTTGCATTAAAAAGAGGACACTTTAATTAATAATTGATGATATTTTCACTAGGATCCTTCAAGAAATAAATTTTATAGCGAATTTTGCAAGTTATCGATGGAAATTGCAACTTCGAAAATTTTATCATAGCTTCAAATATTGTTTTCTCAAAAACTAAAAGTTATTTTTCAAAACGGGTTGGTTCATTGTAAAGAGGACACTTTTATTAACATTTTGGGAAATTTGCATACTTATAATCCAAGAAATGGATTTTATAGGAATTTTTAAAACTTGATCGGCGAAAATTGCAAAATCGAAAAAATTTTCGTTCATTTCAAAAATTTATTCCTCAAGAACTGAAAGTGATTTTTCAAAACGGCTTGTTGCATTAAAAAGAGGACACTTTAATTAATAATTGATGATATTTTCACTAGGATCCTTCAAGAAATAAATTTTATAGCGAATTTTGCAAGTTATCGATGGAAATTGCAACTTCGAAAATTTTATCATAGCTTCAAATATTGTTTTCTCAAAAACTAAAAGTTATTTTTCAAAACGGGTTGGTTCATTGTAAAGAGGACACTTTTATTAACATTTTGGGAAATTTGCATACTTATAATCCAAGAAATGGATTTTATAGGAATTTTTAAAACTTGATCGGCGAAAATTGCAAAATCGAAAAAATTTTCGTTCATTTCAAAAATTTATTCCTCAAGAACTGAAAGTGATTTTTCAAAACGGCTTGTTGCATTAAAAAGAGGACACTTTAATTAATAATTGATGATATTTTCACTAGGATCCTTCAAGAAATAAATTTTATAGCGAATTTTGCAAGTTATCGATGGAAATTGCAACTTCGAAAATTTTATCATAGCTTCAAATATTGTTTTCTCAAAAACTAAAAGTTATTTTTCAAAACGGGTTGGTTCATTGTAAAGAGGACACTTTTATTAACATTTTGGGAAATTTGCATACTTATAATCCAAGAAATGGATTTTATAGGAATTTTTAAAACTTGATCGGCGAAAATTGCAAAATCGAAAAAATTTTCGTTCATTTCAAAAATTTATTCCTCAAGAACTGAAAGTGATTTTTCAAAACGGCTTGTTGCATTAAAAAGAGGACACTTTAATTAATAATTGATGATATTTTCACTAGGATCCTTCAAGAAATAAATTTTATAGCGAATTTTGCAAGTTATCGATGGAAATTGCAACATCGAAAATTTTATCATAGCTTCAAATATTGTTTTCTCAAAAACTAAAAGTTATTTTTCAAAATGGGTTGCTTCATTGCAAAGAGGACAATTTTATTACCATTTTGGGAAATTTTCATACTCATATTCCAAGAAATCGATTTTATACGAATTTTTAAAACTTAATCCGTGAAAATTGCAAAATTCGAAAAAATTGTCGATCATTTCGAAAATTTATTTCTCAAAAACTAAAAGCGATTTCTCAAAACGGCTTTTTGCATTAAAAAGAGGACACTTTAATTAATAATTGGTGATATTTCCACAAGGATCCTTCAAGATATTAATTTTATACCGAATTTTGCAAGTTATCGATGAAAATTGCAACATCGAAAATTTTATCAAAACTTCAAATATTGTTTTCTCAAAAACTAAAAGTTATTTTTCAATACGGGTTGGTTCATTGGAAAGAGGACACTCTTATTACCATTTTGGGAAATTTTCATACTCATATTCCTAGCAATCGATTTTATACGAATTTTTAAAACTTAATCGGCGAAAATTGTAAAATTCGAAAAAATTGTAGTTCATTTCAAAAATTTATTTCTCAAGAACTGAAACTGATTTTTTAAAACGGGTTTTTGCATTAAAAAGAGGATACTTTAATTAATAATCAAAAGTTATAACAGCGACAGTTCTGTTAGTAATGAATGTGATGATGAATTACAAGCGAAGAGAAGAAAACTAGACGAAACTGCAACAAGAAATTTTATATATCGTATTGGGATTGTTACAAAGAGGTTGCTAATGACAAAGCTGATATAAATAAAGTATCATGTATTCAATGAAAAAGGTCGTATTGGGTTTGAACTTAATTATTAGATACCTGCAGTGGCCAACACCTAAAAGAGATACTAATTCCAGCCAATGGTGGAGTACTAAGTAATAAGTTTTTAATATAAGGCCAAAACCCACCACTAATAATGTGCATGGTTCATATCTTTCTGGTGGAGTCCATCAGAGTCTATTCTTAATGGTTTCTCTGAATTTCTCAAAAACGTTCATCAGATACTACCAGTTACTTTAAGAAAAGAGAAAAATCCATCACCCCAGACATGGTCAGATGAGTGCGGCAGAGACAACGAGAATAAAATGAACATGTATCACGAATAGATCAGTCATGCCTGGAAAAATGTACAAGAAATGGTAAAACATACAAAAAAAGGCCGATAGGAAGATCTTCAAAGCGATGGAATAACAGTTGGACCTCAGTATCACAGGAGAAGCAGAACCAGGAATTACGAAGCTTCATAACAAGTCATAAGGCTTTTGATAAGAAGAAGAAGCTTCAATTGCTTCCGACTCTTTATTTCTTTAAATGCTTTATTTAGACATTTTTGTATACAGTTAGATAAATATAGTAAGAAAGGATGCATAAATATGATGTGTATGCTGTGATCACAAAGTGTGAGTCTAACACATGATGACCAATTGTAAGTTAATTAGTCCAAAGATGTACAACTTCACCTGGTAATGCTGAGGTGCATTTAGGTTGATATAATTTTAATCGCAAGCTAGGTTTTGTTACAAACTTGATTTAGTCCATAACTAGACGATAACCCCATCTAGCATTGATATTGTTAAGCTAGATTATGTGTTAATTTATTATTTTGCAATCGCATTATAAATAAATAAATTTTTGTCGTTAAGAACAACTAAAAGCATAAGAAGTGAACTTTGTAATGCAATTTGTAAACTTGTATGATAATATTGTCTTAATAACGAGAGTGTTATTAATAAATACATCTTGAAATGCAAACATCGCAATTAGTTTTAATAAACCAGTTCGCAAATTGTTATATTCGTGCATTGTGCAAGTTGTACCCTATATATCAACGCAGCGGGTCGCGAAATGTGCAAGGAATAATAAAAGGGGAGACCTCTCGGTTCGAGAAAAGGATATATATCATGGAGCTCGAAGAAAGCGAATTGTTATCGTGTTCTTTTACACCCAATGCGATTGAATTTAAAATGAAAAAAGGTTATATTAAAAATTACTTACCATCGATTTATATAAAAATGATGCCATAAAATTGAAATAAAAAAGAAAGTCGAGGATAAAAAAATATTGTTTATTTCAACTTAATTATTAAAAAAAGGGGTAATTTACACAAGTAAAAAGCGTAAAAAATGTGTAGAAATGTACAAAAAGATTAAAATCTAGCTTACAAATTACGTATTTACATATTTATCACATAAAACTGATTTTATTAAAATAAAAACTTAATAAAAAAAACAACTGGCACTGGAAAATCATTCACGAGAATATTAATAAAAAAAATAATAGTAAAAAAGAAAATATAATTAAAAAAAAAATAATAAATAGGTTTTTCGTGTAAAAATATTTTTTTCTTAGCAAAAATATCTTACCCCAAATTAAAAAATAAATAGATTTCTTTTCCAAAAAACTTAAAATTTATTTATACAAATTGTAGGACGGATAAATTGGCACTTTGATTATCTTAAAAAAAAAACGAGTGTCTTAAACTAACTGAAATCGCCTAAAAACGGATCGAAATTTATGTGATCGCCGAAATCGGGCGAAACCGGGTCGAAATCGGCTGTTGTTAAAGAATCGTCCGGGAAATCGACCGAAAAATCGGCCGGGGTCAACGAATGATCAGAAAAATCCGAGTGTAAAGGTAAAGATTCACCATCTGATTCCAATAAGAAACAATCCAACTCGGAACAATCCGAAAACAAGTCTTGGGTCGTCTCCGCACCACTTAACACTGCACTCAACGAAGAAATATATTTCATCGCCAATCTTAAAGTTGTTATCTTCGTTAATTTTTCATTCGCCCCGTTTTGAGATGAACAAATATGCGGAACTGCCCTTCTCAACGTTTCAAAAGCTTGATTAATTTCTCTCATTCGACTTCTTTCTCTTGCATTTGCCGTTTTACGCCTGTACTTACTCAAAGGTGCCGGTTTTTGCTTCGGTTTTGTTTGTTTCACCTTCACGTTATTATTTTTACCAACAATTTGAACAGATTTTAATGTGTCTTCGTCAAAATTGGTCGAAATCGTATTTCTTCGTTTCGATGATCTTGGTCTTAACGAATATTTATCACCTCTCGAAGATTTATCGGAATCGCTGTTATTATTTGAATCAGTTGTGTATGTTGGACTGTCCAAAGGTAAAGACAGTCTGTGGGTGAGATCGTCGTTGAACAACATCGCGTAAGAAACTTCAACTAATACAAGAAGGAAGAAGAAGTAGAGTGTGTTGGAGTAGGAGGTGGAAAAGGTTTAAAACGCGGAGGATCGAGAAAACGATCCTCACCAACCGAGATGCGGATGTCGATTGCCTTAGCGGCTGGACCCGCAACTGAACAGGTACACCCGGAGGTGTCTCCCACTATAAAACTCTTTGGACTACTCCCGCACTCTCGATGACCCCCACAAAACGTACCAATATAAGATTAATATACAAAATATAATTAAACCTTTTTTTTACTTTCAATTCTAATTGCGTAAAAACACACAAACACATAAATTCGAATTGAAATTAATATTTATAAGAAATTTTGCAATGTGTTACTTTCATTTTAGGTTCGAATCCATAAACCAAATCTGTTCAAAATCTAAATTAAGACTAATTACCTTTAAATCAAGTTAAATTTGTTTTTATTAAAAATAACTTATTTACAATCGCTTCTTTTTACAATTTTTCAACGACGTGTATATAAAAGTTTGGAGTTTCGATTTCTTCTAATTTCTTAAAATCTCCGAATAAATTATGAATACATTTCTTGTTAAAAGCCTCCAATAGCATCGCTTTAAACACTTCCAATCGATGGGGATAATAAGATAAACGAAATTCACTACAAAAAAAAATTTTCTTTAAAACACAATAAAACCTCGATATAACGAATCTCGATGTAACAGATATAACGTAGGCCTTCCTATAGCAGTCTTAAGAAACGTACGGTTTCTAGTTCTAGGTCTAGTGTTCTGAGAAAAATACGAAAATGTGAAAATTTTAAGAATGTTGTTAATGGTAACTCGGGATTCGCAGCATATTATAACAAAAGTTGTAGCAAATTTTATCCTTAACAATATTGCTCTCCTTCACTTTTGTTCTCAGATGCGTCAATATCGAGAAAAATAGGAACATATGAAAATTGGATGAATTTGTTGCTTTTTCAAGTTGTTAATGGTAACATTCGGGAAACGGAGCATATTACCAATTTTCTTTTGAAACGAAAGTTGTAGCTAATTTTATTCTTAGCAATATTGCTCTCTTCCACTTTTGCTCTCAGATGCGAAAATATCAAGAAAAATACGAAAATATGAAAATTTGCTGAATTCGTAGTTTTATATGTTGGTAATGGTAGCACTGGGGATTCGGATCATATTTAAAAAAAACTTTTAGAACAAAAGTTGTAGCAAATTTTATTCTTAACAATATTGCTCCCTTTTGCTTTTGCTCTCAGATGCGAAAATATCGAGAAAAATACGAAAATATGAAAAATTGACGAATTCGTAGTTTTATATGTTGGTAATGGTAGCACTGGGGACTCGGAGCATATTATAATAAAACTTTTAGAACAAAAGTTGTAGCAAATTTTATTCTTAACAATATTGCTCTATTTCACTTTTGCTTTCATATGCGTCAATATCGAGAAAAATAAGAAAATATGAAAATTGTATGAATTTGTCGCTTTTTCAAGTTGTTAATGGTAGCATTTGGGAAACGGAGCATAGTACAAATTTTCTTTTGAAACGAAAGTTGTAGCTATTTTTACTCTTAGCAATATTGCTCTCTTCCACTTTTGCTCTCAGATGCGAAAATATCAAGAAAAATACGAAAATACGAAAATTTGCTGAATTCGTAGTTTTATATGTTGGTAATACTAACATTCGCGATTCGGAGCATATTACAAAAATACTTTTAGAACAAAAGTTGTAGCAAATTTTAACCTTAACAATATTATTCTCTTTCACTTTTGCTCCCAGATGCGAAAATATCGAGAAAAATACGAAAATATGAAGAATTCATAGATTCTATATTACAATATAGTTCGATATTGGACAGTCCCTTTCCCGTATTAATCTGTTATATCGAGGTTTTACTTTATAAATAAAACAAATTTTTTTTATATACCTTATATCATCTTCATTAATCGGCTTATTTTTTTCTTGTTCAGAAACGTTGATTAAATAATCCATCATAACCATAGCAGGACGACCGGCTTCAAATAAAACTGAAGTTTTAATATCAGTCATATGTGCGCTCTAAAAATAAATAATTTAAAACCAGCATTGCAAAAGTATTTTTAATTACGTTGTAATATAAACATTTAGCTGGTGTTTTTCCCGTATTAATGATATAATCGTAATTTCTATGGTCGATTAATAAAAGGCCACCGGGTTTAACGCATTTTTCGAAATTCTTTAACGCTTGCCTAAAAGAAAATTAAAGAAACATTATTAATTAATATTATCTTATCGGTTTATTACATCATTTCAATATCAGTAATGTGTTTACTTCTTGGTTTTATCCACGTCACTAAATTAATCGAGATTAAAATTGTTTTTCTTACTTTTGTTCGCGTTGATCACCGTAAGAATCCATCATGTGGGCGAAAGAATTTCCTAAACAAATCACGGCATCAAATCCACCCCCAATATGCTCGCGGATGTCATCATAAAGTGTTAACCAATTTGCTTCCTCAATAACTAAAAAAAAATATTTTAAAAAAAACTCAACTTAATTAAATAAAATTTACTCCATTTGTCAAAAGCCGCTTCCTTTCTTCGTGCCCAACGAGTTTGTAACGCATATTTTAACATTTTATCAGAAGCGTCCACGGAAATCACTTCAAATCCTTCTTCAAGTAACCAAACCGAATCAATTCTACTCAAAATGTAATTATTTAAATGAAAATATGAATATATATTTATTTACCCTGTTCCACACGCAACATCTAAAATTCTTTTACATCCTTTCTTCTTTAACAAATTTAATAAGAAATTCTTGTAATTTTGTGTACGAGATTTTTGATCTCCAATAAAAACTTGCCAAACTCTCGCGGCTTTTCCATCAGCATATTGATCGCGAACTCCTTCAGCGGGGGTTCCTAAAGATCTCGCGCGAAATACCGTATCAGCCATCGTCTTACTTAACGAATTACAAGATGAAATGAAACCTGCATAAACGGCGTTTTTCTTTTTATAAGCAAAGTATTTATATCAGCACGTCGGTTATTATGTATGAAATGTAGATAAAGATATAGAAAGGCCGGTGTTAGGAAAGAGGTGTCTGATAAGAATGATTTTTAACTTTTTGGTGTAGCAACAGGTTGTTTTTTTCTTTTTCGATTTAGCAAATTTATCAGATTTAGTGCAAAAAAATAAATGGAACAAATTTGAATAACAAAAAATGTATAATCTATTTATTTTATCAACTAAATTATCATCCAAACATTTTGTAAAACTCATTTCTTCAAACATTTTGTTTCAATCAGTTTTAATTTTTGGATTTAATGAAACTTTTTAAAGTTATAAAGCAATAATCAGTCTAAATAGGTTCCAATTTATTCCAAAAAAATCTTTATTCCATTAAACATACTAATAATTAATTAATCATCTAAAATATCATCCAACCACTTCTCCAAATCATCTTTTTCTTTCGGTTCTTTTAATCCCTTCAATTCCTTAGTAGAAAAATTTGTAATTGAACATTCTTTATTATCACCATCATTTTTAATTAAATCATTCAAATCATCACCCATTAAACCAGTTAAAATCTTATTTGTTGATTTACTTTCATCTTCTTTAATTTGAACATTTTTCTCATCATTCTCTTTTAAAAGTTTCAAATAATTTATTTTTGCACTCTCAGCATCTGCCAAAATTTCGTTTAAACTGCTTTCCTAAAAATAAAATTAAGAATATAAATAAAATGAATAAAAAGTAAATAAATCTAAAATACACTAAAACATTTTTCATCAATACCACATCGAATATGAAATGGAATGCTCAATAAACCCAAACTCAATGTGTTCATATCGATTTTGAACATTTCGCATTTTATTTCTTCATCTTTTAGGTTATCCAGACTTTTGTCTGCTTTAAATTTGAAATAATTTCCTTGGGAAATAGGAGCTGAAACGATTGCTGAAAAATCTTTAGCTACATCAATAATTTCTTCTGATTCTGGTACATCTATAACTTCATATCTATGCCAGTTACTTTCTAAACCTCGTCTTCTGTAAGGGTAATCATTATCTATCACGATTTTATCTTCGTCGTCGACGGAATCTGATTGTTTCTCTTTAGGGACCACTTTTGACTTATTTTTGTATTTTTGATTATTTTTATACTTGGAAGCTCTAAAATGATATATGAAATTAAGTTATATAAGTTACTTATATGGATTATTACCCCATTTTTTTTGATTCACTCATTTTTCTTGCTTTAAATAACGGAAATGATTTTGAGGTTATGTTTTTAGATTTTGAGGTTACGTTTCAAATATTAATTAATTATTCATAAATTTACATTGAATTGATTTCAAAATAATGAAAATTTCTTCTTTAATTGTTGATTTATTCATAATTTCAATAAATTTTTGATTTATTAACCTTTATTAAACATAATTCAATGACTTAAAATTACAGATTTCTGTAATAATAATAACCTAATTAAACCTGCCACATTTGTCTCAATATTTTTTTTTTCAGATGTTAACTGAATTACTTAAAAATTAAGATAACAAAATTGGGTTTATTTGAAACCATTTTTCCCGGACGAGGTTAGTTTGGCCCCCAAATTGCTTGCATATGGGATCAAGGATAACTTAACCTCAAAAAATTTATTTATTTTTAGTTGTAAAAATTGATTCTTTTTTGGATAATCCCCTTGTCTGATGTACAATAAGGTAAAGTTTCGAGATGATGTTGTAATCTTAATAATTTCGATTTTGCCGTTAGGGAAATGATGTGTATTTAAGTAAAACTTTATCATGGATTTTGAGACACGGTGCCCATAAAGAAGGGTTTACGATATCTTCGGATGGTTATGTTCCAGTTTCTCAGATTTTGGCGTATAAACAGTTAAAAGGAAAGTTTAACGTAAATGATATTATAAAAGTTGTGGAAAATAATAATAAACAAAGGTTTACATTAATAAAAAGTGATAGTGGAGAGTTAAAAATCAAAGCTAATCAGGGGCACTCAATTGGAGTTGTTAAAGAATTAGACTTAACACCGATAGCAGATTATTGTGGAGTTGAAAATGTAATACATGGAACGTATTTGAGAAATTGGGATAAAATTAAACGCGAAGGTTTAAGTCGAATGACTAGAGAACATATTCATTTTACAGAAAGTATTGATAAAAATAAATGTATTAGTGGTGTTCGAGGTAATGTTGAAATTTTGATTTATATTGACCTGAAAAAAGCTTTGGATTCTGGATTCAAGTTTTATTTATCACCAAATAAAGTTATATTAAGCCCTGGAGATATAAATGGAATAATATCAAGCGAATTTTTTTTTAAAGTTGTTAACATAATAGAAAGTAAGATTATACATAGCTAAAAATTATTTACTTTTAATTAATAATTAACTTTTAGATATTAATTTATCTTATTAATTAATAAATATAATGGGAGATAATAATTTTTGTGTATTGTGCAATGTAAGCCTTCCAGACAAATCAGCTAGAGAGTCGCATTTCATTGGAAGAAAACATCAATTAGCAGTTCACAATGAACACATTTTAAACAAAAAGGAAAAATGTGGCGTTTTTGTGACTGGTTTGCCCAATTTGGTTGCTAAAGAACAAATTGTGAAGTTTTTCAGTGATTTTGGACCAACAAAAGATGTTTTTATCGGCGAAGGAAATCGATTTGCTTTGGTGGAATTCTCTGATGAGGCAACCGCTCAAAGTTTACTCAAAAAACAAAAAGTTTTTTTTATGGGTAAAACATTGTATATAAAACCAAGAAAAAGAAAAGAACAAGCAAGTAAGAATATCTTCCTTTTTAAGTTACTTCTTCTCCTAATCCTATTCCTCCATCTATTTCTTCCACTCCCTCTGGTTCCTGGATATAATTCCTTTATATCTGCAAGAGTCTTCCCTCTCTTCTTCCCATTTCTTCCTTTTTTATTATTGTGTCATGTTCCAGTTTAGTTGCTTTCTCTCTATTTTGCTGATTATCTCCTCTTGATTTACTCCCAGTCTTATTTCCTGATTCCTTATCCTATCCCACTTTGTCTTCCCCACTATTTTTTGTAAAAATTTCATTTCCATTGCTGTAATCTTTCCTTCTTGTCTATCTTGTAGTGTCCATGATTCACTGGCATATGGTAATATTGCCAGTGTATACTTCTTCCCAAAAATTGTTCTGTTTAGAGTATGATATACGTTGTTTGTTTTCCTTATTCTTGCATTTATGTCTAAATCTATCCTTCCATCTTGTGATATTATACTGCCCAAGTACTCATGTGATGATACTTCTTCTATCTTTTGTTCTTTAATAAATATTTCTTTTGGGTTATTTCTTATTTCCTTTTTATTTATTATCACAATTCTAGGCCATCTTTTCAATTTCTTCTGTCCATATTTTAACCAACTTCCTTGCCTTTTTATGGTTCTCTGCTATCAGCACTATGTCGTCAGCATATAAATAAGTTATCAATTTTTACTGATTCCAAACTTTTATAACCTATCACTGTTAATATTATAAATTAATATTATAAATAACAATGGGCTTAGGCTATCGCCTTGTTTTATGCCCTTGCACATTTAAAAAGTTTTTGATGTTTCTCCCTTCATTTGTACTATGCTCTTGACTTTCTTATACAAGCTTTCAATTATTTTTGTTAGTTTTTGTGGTACCATTAGTTGTTCTAGACACTACCATGTAATACTACGGTTAATTGTGTCAAAATCTGGTTTTACACTACCACTATCACTAGAACTACCACAAGACCTAGAACTAGAAACATTCGGGTTTAGCCATCTTGAGAGACGTGCAGCAAAATCCGAATATTTCTAATTCTAGGTCTAGTGTTAGTTTTAGTTTTACACCAGCACTATCACCAGAACTAACACAACACCTAGAACTAGAATCATTCGGGTTTAGCCGTCTTGAGAAACGTACTGCAAAATCCAAATGTTTCTAGTTCTAGGTCTAGTGTTAGTTCTAGGTTTACACCATCACTAGAACTATCAGAAGACCTAGAACTAGAACTATTCGGGTTGAGACGTGCGGCTAAACCCGAATGTTTCTAGTTCTAGGTCTAATGTTAGTAGGTAGCACTAATTAGCATAAGATATCACTATGTTGCATATTTTTAGTGCACTAAAACTAGAGCCAACACAAGACCTAGAACTAGAAACATCCGATACTTTCTAATTCTAGGTCTAGTGTTAGTTCTAGTTTTCCACTAGCACTATCGCTTGAACTAACACAAGACGTAGAACTAGAATCATTCGGATTTAGCCGTCTTAAGAGACGTGCGGCTAAACCCGAATGTTTCTAGTTCTCGGTCTAGTGTTAGTTCTAGTATTGCACTAGCACTATCACTAGAACTAGAATCATTCGGGTTTAGCCATTCGGTTCTAGTGACAGTGGTAGGTAACGCTAGTTAATAAAAGATATCACTATGTTGTATATTTTTATTGGACTAAAACTAGAACTAACAGGAGACCTAGAACTAGAATCATTCGGGTTTAGCCGTCTTGAGAGACGTGCGGCTAAATCCGAATGTTTCTAGTTCTCGGTCTAGTGTTAGTTCTAGTATTGCACTAGCACTATCACTAGAACTAGAATCATTCGGGTTTAGCCATTCGGTTCTAGTGACAGTGGTAGGTAACGCTAGTTAATAAAAGATATCACTATGTTGTATATTTTTATTGGACTAAAACTAGAACTAACAGGAGACCTAGAACTAGAATCATTCGGGTTTAGCCGTCTTGAGAGACGTGTGGCTAAACCCGAATGTTTCTAGTTGTCGGTCTAGTGTTAGTTCTAGTTTTGCACTAGAACTAACCTAATGGACAATGAACTATAACCTAATATTCTTGGACCTAAAAGCAGATTTTGACACATGTAATCGTAGTATTATATGATAGTGTCTGGAACAACTAATGATACCACAAAAACTAACAAAAATAATTGAAAGCAGATTCTAGTTCTAGGTCTTGTGTTAATTCTAGTGATAGTGGTAGTGTAAAACTAGAACTAACATTAGACCTAGAACTAGAAACATTCGGGTTTAGCCTCACGTCTCTCAAGACAGCTAAACCCGAATGATTCTAGGTCTTGTGTTAACCGTGTCAAAAGCTGCTTTTAGGTCCAAGAATATTAAGTATAGTTTATTGGCCGTCTATATTTTCCTTTTAATGATATTTCGGATTACATCTATGTTATCGTTCGTTTGTTTGCTTGCTCTGTAATCTTCTAGTTTATTCTCCACTACTCTTCTTAACCTTTTTTCTATTATCCTTATGTATAATTTGTAACTTGTAGATGATAGGCATATGGCGCTGTAATTTTCACAGTTCGAGTAGCTTCCTTTTATATAAAATAAGATGTAGGTAAAAGTAAAAACTTTTTGAGAAATACTAAAATGTTTAATTCAATTCAAGCAGACATGTTTCGAAACTAATGTTTCATCTTCAGTACCTAAATTTAAGAAACAAATTAACAAATGTTAACCGGAACGTATTAATAACGGTAAGGAGAAATCGGAATTTGAAAAGGTGAACTTACTTAGAATATTATACAATATAATGGAAAAATATTTTGTTAGTAGGTGGGGTTTCGGAATGGATCTAAATTTCTTTCAAACTAATTTACAAACAAAAAATTAATTTAACAAAATCAAAAAATTCAATAATATAGTTAAAATCTTGGAAAAAAATGTTTTTACATCAGTACACGTACGGAATACAAAATAAAGAAAAATTTTTGAAGTAAAATAATACCTTAGTTTAGGACACAAACTTACCACCTTAACATATTCTTAGCTACATTTCTGTTCGTTCTATAGTTTGTCCTATCCTCTTCCGAATTCGTTCTTATATATTTCTTCCATGACTCTTTCTTCTTCTTTATTGCCTGTCGGACTTGTCTGATTATTATATTTTCTCATTCCACAAACTTCCATAGCTTTATTTCGCATTATCTCTTCAAAAATTCTCCACCTTCCCTCCAGCGTTAAATTCTCTGTTTCTTCTAGTTTTTGAATTTTCGTTGTTTGTTTTTTTCTTGATATTTTAGTTTTTCTTCCTCCTGCCTTAGGTTAATGATTGTTATTTTCGTGTAGGTTGTCATCTCTTCTCTTTCGATTTCTATATTATTAATAGTTGCCATGACTAGTTTGTGGTTAGTTTCCATTTCTGCTTCAATCTTTACCTCCTCCACTCTGTTTTGGAGATTCTGGGTGTATGTCATGTAATCAATAATACTCTTAGCATTCCTTTCTTCCGCCACAAACGTATATTTATCTTCCCTCCTCTGACTCCACATTGTGTTTCCAAATAATAAGTCGTTTATTTGACAAAATTCCAGCATTCTTTGCCTATTTCTATTCATCACTGCCTCTCCCTTATCCTCATATTCTCCTATACTACCTCCCTCCTTGTGTATATCATTACCTATTCTCGCATTCCAGTCTCCCCTTATAATTATAATGCTTCCTCTCTTTGTTCTCTGGATTTATCGAAGGTTTTCTGCAGACTTGAATAAAAATCTTGCTCAATGTATTTTCTTGGACTCCCGAAAAGTAGAGACTATAATAGTGTGATAATTGTATACTTAATATAATTCCCATTATTTCTATCCCTAAACCTTTCCATCTCCTCCATTATTTCCTTTTCCTTTCTTGTTAAAGTTGTAATATTCCACGACCCCATCTTTATAACTTTCCTATTTTCTCCTTGCTTTTATCCATATTCCTGCCATTTTAATCCTTACTGAATTTAACTTTTTAAGTTACATAAACATTAAATAAATCCTTTTAGATGAACCAAATATAGAACAACCCCATTTAGATCATGATTTAATAAACACTTCATTAAAAAATCTGCAATTCGAAGAGCAAATAAATAAATTAATGGAACATTTACAACCGAATCAAAAACAACAAATCGAATCGTACAAAATACTTTGCGAGGACCTTCAATTGACGTTACAACAAATTTTTAAAGAGGGTTGCCGCATTTTTCCGTTTGGATCGACAGTAACTGGTTTAAATTTTAAATACAGCGATGTGGATGTTTTCGTTGAAGTTGCGAATATGTTAGATTCCGATCCGACAACGCAAACGTTTATTAAAAAGGCACGAAATGCGTTACCTAAATCGAAAAGTTTCGCTCAAGTCTTAGCGATACCGAAAGCGAAAACGCCGATTGTAAAATGCGTTCACGTTCCGACTCAATTAAGTTGTGATTTTAATTTCAAGAATATGTTGGGTGTTTGTAATACTTATTTGATTAAATATTATATGTCGTTAGCTCCACAATTGCGCACGGTTACGATGATTATAAAATATTGGGCGAGTTCGCACGAATTGCATGGGAATAGTAGTAAATTTAGTAATTACGCGTTAACGATTATGTTTATTTTTTATTTACAACAAGAACCGTTTCGTTGCGAATCTGTTATTGAGATGCAAAAATCGCCGGGGATTGAAAATATTCAACATGGTTGGAACGGAGGTTTTTTACCTGCGAATTTAACGAATGAAAATCTTTCGAATAAATCAATATTTGAACTTTTGGAAGGATTTTTTAAATATTATAGTCAATTCGATTATAGTTTATACGTTGTTTGTCCGTATTTAGGTAAAATTGTGCCGAAAACCGATTTTCTTCGACCTGATATTTTATCGGATGATTTTTTAACTTATAAAATAAATTTGGTGAATATGTTCCCTCTTTTAGTTGACACGCCGATTTGCGTTCAAGATCCATTCGAACACAATCATAATTTAACTAAAGCTGTGAGTTCTCGTGTTGCGGATGATTTCAAACTTTTTTGTAAACACGCGTTAAATACACTCCAAGAAAAAAATAAAAAAGAAAACGACAAAGAAGGACCGCTATATAAATTTTTCACATCGGAACCTCTCGACGAAAGATTTACATTAACTGAGAATGTATGTAAATTTAAATTAATAATGGGGCAATCTTTAAAGTATTTAGAGAAAAAGATTCCAGAAAATTGCGAAAATCGTCCGAACGAAATCAAATTTGTTTGGTACTCCATGGTAAACGAATTTATAATAAACGTTTTAGCAAAAGCATTAAAATGTGACATTAGTGTAACCACCGATAAACAAATTCAACGAGAAGAAGGTGTTTTAGATTCGGTTAGTTTACGATGCAAAGCAATGCAAAATTTATGGGAATCAAGAAGGGCAATTCGACGCGATATCGAATTAAATAATAACGCCACGAATTTAGAAAAGGAAATTCAAGTAACCAACTATATTTGTGAGGTACTTTGTAAAAACATCACATTATTACAACCGATCGTTGATTTTACAATAACAATAAACGCTCGGGATAATCCGATCGAAATGGACATAATAATAACAAAGCATAATTCTATGAAAGGGTGCTTTCGGAGCATTTGTACATTTCTTGCCATCCGACTACCTCATTGGCTTAATGCACACGAACGTGAAATGAATGAAAATGTTAATAAAACCGCCAGTTAATTTCAAGTAACAAATAATTAATTTTTAAATAGAGTTTGTTTGTAATATTTTAGTTATAAATAAAAAATGTATTTTTCACAAAACATAGTGAAATAGTTAAATAAATTCCCGTGTCCTTATATAAATTAATTAGAATAGCTTCTACTTTATCACCTTTTTTCTGCTACTATCCGTGCTAAAAGTCAAGCCCCTCAATTTAGAGATCGATATCTTTGCAACCGTTCGATAAAAAAAAATAACGGTAAAATTTTTTTGTAATCATTGAACATTTCTACGTAACATGTAAACAAAATATGTCAAATAATTGCGCCTCTAATTTTTTGTAGAGCGATTAACTCGAATTATAAATTAAAAAGAAACGGAAATAAACCATGCTGGTGTTTGTTAATATAGACGACGTCTCGTCTTTATTTTTTGTGTAAGTAAAATTATAATATATACAGTTCGCGTGAAAAGTAACCTTCATCTAAAAAGTACATATCACGGGAACATGCTCTACAAGTCTGATTAATTAAGCCGAGATCGTTTGCGCCCCGTCTAAGTGATATAATAACAGGTTATCATATCGTAGTACCTCGGTTGCAAGTGATCTTTTGACTAATTAAGCCAGTTGCTACCGATGCTCACTGATTAATATCATATCTATCTGAACCTAGTTATCATATTGCAGCACCTGGACCGCAAGCGACCTTGACTTAATTAACAAAAAGAAAGTATAAATTTTAATAATAATAAGTTTATTGAATATGCATCAAAACGTACAATATTCTCGTCAAATAAAAGTCGTAATAATAATGGCAAAGAAAACAGGTATTCATTAGCTTATCTTCATTGCTGCAAAATATTTATCTATGGAGTAGAATTCATTCTTCATATTCAATGTTTTGAAATGGGGTGATAATTCACTGTATAACTTTATAGATATACAGGTGTCCCGTATCTTCCGCATCAGAGCATTATACGGTTGAAGGATGCATTATTCTGAAGAAATTTTTCTAACAAATTTTTTTCGTTTTAAATTCTCCGCTTTTGTCGAATAACAGACGATTTTGATTCACGAAAAAAGTTTATTTCTCTTTGCGTGTCGAATCTATTGGTAAGTACGCGTGAGAAACGTTTTTAGAGCTTTTAAATTACCTCTATAACTCTGATTTTGTTTCAGACCTACTAGCGTTCTTATCGCTTTCTTTTGTAGTTTGAAAACTTCTTTTAGGTCACTGAAAGCACCCCATATTGTTATGCCATACACCGCCATGCTGTGGAAGTATGCGAAATACACATTTCGTGGTGCAACTCATGGTTTCCGTAAACACCACGCCAAGGAATTTGGTGTTTAATAATTGAGCTGCGGAGCCGATTGCGGCACAAAACCTTACCTAACATTCCTTCACTTTATAATTGACATTACAAAAGAGAACTAGCCTTACGCACTGTGTTTTAATTAATTTTCTAGGGGTCTTTACCTTCTAATAAGATTTGCTAGACTCAACAAGCCCAGATAGCTTGCGGCCGAGGCTCAGTAATCCATTTCAATGAAGAAGTGTCAGCTAATTTATTAGTGTTATAAAGACAGAAGCCCGAGGACGCTTGCGGCCGAGGTTTTGCAATTTACTGTGTTAAAAAGATATTTTAGTTGATTTACTACAATGTCAAAGAGGTAGAAGCCAAGGTCGCTTGCAGCCGAGGATCTACAATTTACTACGTCAAGGAGATATATTAGCTGATTTACTACAATGTCAAAGAGGTAGAAGCCGAGGTCGCTTGCAGCCGAGGCTCTGTAATCTACCTAATAACGAAGTATCAGTTAATTTATTACAGTGTTATAAAAATAGAAGCCGAGGTCGCTTGCGGCCGAGGCTCTACAATTTACTCCGTTAAAGATATACATTGTGTTAAAAAAAGAATCTAAAATACATAAAGAGGTAATAGTATAGACTAAAATAAGCAAAAAATTTTTAATAAACATGCGTGGATTTTCTACAACCTTATAGAGGTAGAAGCCGAGGTCGCTTGCGGCCGAGGCTGTACAATTTACTCCATTAAAGAGATATATTAATTTATTTGCTATAATGTCAAAGAGGTAGAAGCCGAGGTCGCCTGTGGCCGAGGCTCTGTATTCTACCTAATAAAGTAGTATCAGTTACTTTATTACAGTGTTATAAAGACAGAAGCCGAGGTCGCTTGCGGCCGAGGCTCTACAATTTACTCCGTTAAAGATATACATATATTAATAGACAACCTAAGCCTTGACGTCACAGGGGAGGAGCTTATACTGACTCCAAACATTTTCGTTGCTAACGGTAAATCACCATATTACGCAATTTTCCATTAGTGTTAAAATAAAATAAACTAAGTGATGACATTTCAAATGACATTTTTTGGCGATTTATCTTAGCAACTGTGGTTAGCAACGGAATTGCTTGGAGTCAGTATAAGCTCTGCCCACCTCTGTGACGTCAGACTTAGGTAATCTATTGATTTACTACAATGTTAACGAGGTAGCGCCGATGTCGCTGGCGGCCGGAGACTTAACAACGAAGTGTCAGCAAAGTTATTACAGTGCTATAAAAACAGTAGTCAAGGTCGTTTGCTACCAAGGCTCTACAATTTACTGCGTTAAAGATATATACATATATTAATTGATACTACAATGTCAACGAGGTAGCGCCAAGGTCGCTTGCGGCTGCTTTATCTACTTAATAACGAAGTATCAGCTAATTTATTAATGCTATAAAGACAGAAGCCGAGGTCGCTTGCGGCTGTGGCTTTATAATTTACTGTGTTAAAGAGATATCTTTGTTGATTTACTACAACCTCATATAGGTAGAAGCCAAGGTCGTTTGTGACCGAGGCACTACAATTTACTCCGTCAAAGAGATATATTAGTTGATTTACTACAACGTCAAAGAAGTAGAAGCCGAGGTTGCTTGCGGCCGAGCCTCTGCAATTTACTTCATTAAAGACATACAGGTTTTTTCAATTTTTTGGATTTTGGCCATTACTTTGGCCTTTTTTGTTTTTAAGGAAAATTTTTTCAATTAAATTAATTTTTTTTATTTTTGGGGCTTTTTTTGGGGTTCTTTGTTTTTTTCCTTTTTTTTTTTTTTGTTTGTTTTGGCACCCACCTTTTTTTTTTTAATTGGGTTGCTTTTTTTTTTTTGCTTTTTTTAGTGGATGATTCCTTCTTCTCGGTGATGATCTTATCTCATATGTATTAGAAAAAAATCGAGAAAAAATGTGTTCTCTGAAAATATTAAATCAGCAAATTACAATCAAAGTAGGTTACACAAATGGCGAAGTTATTGACAATATTCCAGACATTTGGCACACCTGTATATTAATTGATTTACAATTACAGTAAAACCGCGATATAACCGACCGCGTTCGAACGGACTTCGGATATAATGGATAAATATTTTTAAGACACTATTGATGTTATCTATTTAATACATCAATATAGTTAAATATAAATGACAAGTTGCTCTATTGGAAAATCTTGTAAACCTCGAATTTTAAAAGACACAATGAATAGTCTTCCAGTTTCATGTTATAATTTCCAAAAGGCATGGTTTACAACAAATACAATTTTCAAAAATTGTTCTTTTACAGAATTTATACCTGCAGTCAAGAAATTTCACGAGAAGAAGCTTAATACCACCAGATGATGTGAAATGTTTATTGCTTTTAGACAACTTTCTTGATTACCCATCTATAAACATTTTCCGTTCAGAAGATGGCAAACTTGAATGTTTTTCAGCTACTAAACGAATGTAACGAATTTTTAGACGAAGTAATGGTGGTATTGGAGGATGAAGAAGGAAAAATAAAAAAATTTACAATTTAAAATCGACGAGTTTTAATTTTGTGGCTGCATAGAAAGAAGTTATAAAATATGTAGGCGAATTTATTTGATGAAGATATTAATATTGATTTTGAAGGATTATAAGCTCCTTATTTTTGCACTGCTCTACAAAACAACATTGGCGAAGAAGATGCTGAGGAGGATATATTATAATGGTTAGAAATAGATGAAGGTATTATATTCTGAATCTCAACTGTGTTTAATGACTTTGATGAGATTGACTTATAAATTAATATTAATAAATTTGATAATTATTAGTGATTTTAAGGTTGTCATCAGTACTCGAAACAATTTTGAAATGTAAAAAGTAAAGTGATGTCACAAACTCAGCTGGTTATCAATTATACATCTTTCAAATTATAAATATAATAACTTTGATTATTGATTTTGATTAGTAATAAAAATGTTGGCACTCAATTCTTATCAAAGTGGTAGTTTCATATAATATTTAAGGAGTAATAGTTATTTATACCTTAAAAAAAACAAAAACTTCAACACTTTATAGTTATTATTAGGACCCAAACCCAGATTTATACTAAATTTATTCTAAATTAATGCCGTAGTGATATTTTCACAAATCTGAACTCATATTAACTCAAAAAAGCTCAACTTTCTTGTTCAAGTAGTGCATAAAAAAGCAAAAAGCTTTATTTCAAAAATAATTAATTCCAATGGTTTTTTTTATTAATTTGTTAAACCTCTTGAGTTATAAATTAATGTTAATAAATTTTCGATTTGTTAATTATAAGTGATTTCAAGGTTGTCATCAGTACTTGAAACAATTTTGAAATGTAAAAAATAAAGTGATGTCACAAACTCAGTTCGTTATCAGGGAAACAATTAAACATCTTTCAAATTATAAATAACTTTGATTATTAATTTTGATTAGTAATGAAAATGATGGCACTCAACTCTTATCAAAGTGATTGTTCAAGTCACTGTATCAACATGGAGGTCAAGGTATATCTAACATTCCATTTAGGTGTAAGAAAACAAAATGATTTGGATTATAATCAATCAAATTGTTTTCTTTATTTATCCCAAGATATAAAATTACTCATAAAACTTACTTAACAAAGTCCGTTTTTGTTCGCATAACTGAATTGGGTACAATTTAAGATATTATTTTTTTCTAGTCCTAATTTAATTTAAAAAGTGTATACGCAGTTCGATTATCATTAGAAGTACTTTTTGGTTTGTAATCTGATGCACAAATCAAAACCACTCAATGTTTATCTTTTTCGGACCACTAACGATCCTATAATCTCGATTAACATCGTCGAAACAATCCCCTTTTTGTTCAGTTTTACAGCGAGAACCATCCAAAATGGTTCGGTTTTTAATTCTCGTTTTTTTGGTGCCATTAATCGGTGCTCAAGACATTTTCAATTCTCAAAATGTTAAAATCAATTCGGAACGAGAGGTGGATATCAGCTCGGAATGTAAAAAGCAATTAGATATTTATTACATTGCGCTTACGAAGATGGAAGCGTGGGCTTGGAATTGTAAGAAAAAAATTTTTATTTTAATTTAATTTAATACATTTTTATCACTGATTTAAAACAAATTGAAACAGGGATTTACAATCCGTTTTAAGTACACTTTTAATTGTTTCTATTGAATGTTATCACAAAACCTTTAACAATAATAATTGCGATTTAACGAATATTATTTTGAAATAATCATTAATTTATTTAGTATTTGATGCCTCTGCTAAATTTCCCGTGGGTGTTTTCGATGGAAACAGAAATCTTTTGGGAAATTTCCCGCAATGTATGCGGGTTGAGTATAAAAAAGATGGAGTTGAAATTTATGGTAAACATTGTTTGGCAGGATTAGTTTCAGCAGTACCAGATATTACGGTACAAAATGAAAAGTCATCTTCAATCAAAACCGTTGGGGTAGATAAAAATCATTAAAATAATAAATGCGTATTTAACAAATTTTTTTTTAGAACTCTCTTGGACCTAGAAGTGTCTTTCAAAATTATATTAATATTAACAAAACCAAGATTAACTCCAGATCTGGGTATCCCATTGAAGACACAAAAGGAGGATATGTTACTTTTTCGATTTGTATCCCGGATGCTTGTACACCAAGTGAAGTTCATGGTTATTTTTCTTTACAATTACCCTTAGATGTACAAAATATTTTTAATCAATTAGTTGCTCCTAACGATGACGCTTTGTGTCAAAGTGAACCTACTATGGAAGGATTTAGCAATGTTGATTTAGCTTTTTGGTAATTAAGTATTCAAAATTTACAGATGTAAATGTTTATTTTATTTATTTTTAGTATCTTCATTGGTGTTATCATCTTATTAAACGTATGTGGCACCTTATACGATGTCCAAATGACAAGGAAAGGAAAAGAACCATCTCAATGGTTTTTAGCCTTCTCATTCGTACGAAATTTCAAAGAACTTCACAATGTTTCAACTAGCGCAAACAGAATTTCCTGTCTCGATGGTTTGAGAGTTTTTAGTATTTTCTGGGTTATTTTGGGCCATAGATTTTCAATCGCCCAAGTTTTACCGTATGTAAACGCCGATTACGTTTGGGTTTGGGCACATAGGATGTACTCTCAATATGCTCAAGGAGCAGGTTCCGCAGTCGACTCTTTCTTATTCCTCAGCGGATTATTATCAGCAATGTTATTCATCAAATCGCAAAGTAGACCAAATGCTAAGTTTAATATTATTATGTTTTGGGTTCATCGATATTTGAGGTAAAAAAGAGAATTGATTTAATATGTGTTTAACTTTTTATTTTTAGACTTACTCCTGCTTTAGCTATTGTTTATTTCCTTCACGTTTCTGTTTATGTTCATTTCGGATCTGGACCAGTATGGCCAATGTTTGTACATAATTTAAGGGATAAATGTTTAGAACGATGGGCATCATTTTTCTTTTATTATCAAAATTATTTAGATTCAAATGGAATGGTGAGTTTTTTATAGCTTTAAGTACAAACTTTCTTTAATAACTGGATAAAGCTTCTAAAAGTTTTTTCTTTAACCACACTTTCAATAAACGTCAAATTCAAATTCACAACTTTTGAAAATTCTTAATCAAAAAATTGTTGATCCTAGAAACACAAAATTTGGTACAACCTAAGCTTAAAGTTTACTTAATAACTGGGTAAAGTTTCATTTCTTAATTCCAAACCGTTTTGGAGAAAACAATTTTTTCTCTAACCTCACTTTCAATAAACGTCAAATTCAAATTTACAGCATTTGAAAATTTGTAATAAAAAAATTGGTGATCCTGGAAACACAAAATTTGGTATAACCAAAGCTTAAAGTTTCCTTAATAACTAAAGTTTCATTTCTTAATTCTAAACCGTTTTGGAGAATACAATTTTTTCTTTAACCTCACTTTCAATAAACGTCAAATTCAGATTCACAACTTTTGAAAATTTGTAATAAAGAAATTGTTAATCCTAGAAACACAAAATTTGCTATAACCTAAGCTTAAAGTCTCCTTAATAACTGGATAAAGTTTCATTTCTTAATTCCAAACTGTTTTGGAGAAAACAATTTTTTCTTTAACCTCACTTTCAATAAACGTCAAATTCAAATTCACAACTTTTGAAAATTCTTAATAACAAAATCATTCATCGTAGAAACACAAAATTTGATACAACCTAAGATTAAAGTTTCCTTAATAACTGGATAAAGTTTCATTTCTTAATTCCAAACCGTTTTGGAGAAAACAATTTTTTTTAACCTCACTTTCAATAAACGTCAAATTCAAATTCTCAACTTTTGTAGATTTGTAATACAAAAATTGTTTATCCTAGAAACACAAAATTTGGCACAACCTAAGCTTGAACTTTCCTTAATAACTGGATAAAGTTTAATTTCTTATTTCCAAACTGTTTTGGAGAAAACAACTTTTTATTTAACCTCGCTTTCAATAAACGTCAAATTCAAATTCACAACATTTGAAAATTTGTAATTAAAACGTTGTTGATCCCAGAAACACAAAATTTGGTATAATCTAAGCTTAAAGTCTCCTTAATAATTGGATAAAGTTTCATATTTTAATTTCAAACCGATTTGGAGAAAACAAGTTTTTCTTTAACCTCACTTTCAATAAACTTCAAATTCACCACTTTTGAAAATTTGTAATAAAAAAGCTGTTCATTCTAGAAACACAAAATTTGGCACAACCTAAGTTTGAACTTTCCTTAATAACTGGATAAAGTTTCATTAATTAATTCCAAACCATTTTGGAGAAAACAGTTTTTTCTTTAACCTCACTTTAAATAAACGTCAAATTCAAATTCACCACTTTTGAAGATTCTCAATAAAGAAATTGTTGATCCTAGAATTACAAACTTTGGTATAATCTAAGCTTAAACTTCACTTAATAACTGGATAAAGTTTCATTTCTTAATTCCAGCCCGTTTTGGAGAAAACAATTTTCTTTAACCTCACTTTCAATAAACGTCAAATTCAAATTCTTAACTTTTGAAAATTTGTAATAAAAAAGCTGTTCATTCTAGAAACACAAAATTTGGCACAGCCTAAGTTTGAACTTTCCTTAATAACTGGATAAAGTTTCATTAATTAATTCAAAATCATTTTGGAGAAAACAGTTTTTTCTTTAACCTCACTTTCAATAAACTTCAAATTCACAATTTTTGTTGATTTGTAATAAAAAAAATGTTGATCCTTGAATCACATAATTTGGTATAACCTAAGCTTAAAGTTTCTTTAATGACTGGATAAAGTTTCATTTCTTAATTCCAAACCGTTTTGGAGAAAACAATTTTTTCTTTAACCTCACTTTCAATAAACGTCAAATTCAAATTCTCAACTATTGAAAATTTGTAATAAAAAAGCTGTTCATCCTAGAAACACAAAATTTGGCACAACTTAAGCTTAAACTTTCCTTAATAACTGGATAAAGTTTCATTTCTTAATTCCAAACCGTTTTGGAGAAAACAATTTTTTTTTAACCTCACTTTCAATAAACGTCAAATTCAAATTCTCAACTTTTGAAGATTCTTAATTAAAAAATTATTCATCCTAGAAACACAAAATTTGGCACAATCCAACCTTAAACTTTCCTTAATAACTGGATAAAGTTTCATTTCTTAATTCCAAACCGTTTTTGTAGAAAACAACTTTAATAATGAACCTCACTTCTAACAAACGTCATATTTTACTAATAATATGATATAACCGTATTTTTAATTGATTTTTTTTATTTTAGTGTCTTTTGCATACTTGGTACTTATCTATGGACATGCAAATATTCATTCTTTCACCTATTGTTTTAATACCATTAGTTAAATATCGAAAAATCATGTTAAAAATTATTCTTCCAATTCTTTTAGCAGCTAGTATGATTGTTGCTTGGGTGATTCCTTACGTTTACGACACTCCAATGTAAGTTATTAATTTTGATGTACGATTTATCAATAACAATTTATTTTTTAGATTCTCACAACCTTACTACGATTATTCTTATTACCCAATGCACACAAGACTTTCAGCTTGGTTAGTTGGAATAATAGCCGGCACTTTACTTCACGAATTTAGAGATGCTAAATTAACAATTCCTTGGTGGTTAAATTTATTTATTTGGGCTTGTGTCGTCGTTGGAATGATAGCTTGCGTATTTCCAGGAAATACCGAAACTTACGATTATAACCGAGTAACGAGCGCTTTCTATTTAGCTTTTCACCGGCCAGCTTGGGCGATTGGGTTAACTTGGGTTGTTTTCGCTTGTATGAAAGGTCGCGGGGGTATTTTCAATTGGGTTTTATCAATCGGTATCTTCCAAACACTTTCAAAGCTGACTTATTCGATGTATTTGGTGCATATAAGCTCGTTGTTATTAAGCGTTGCTAAGATGCAATATGAAGGACAATTTGGTGATTTTGAATTGATCCATATGTTTTTGGGTGATTTATTACAAGTTGTTACGATCGCTTTGATTTGGTACGTTTTGTTTGAATCACCGATGACTGTTATTGAGAAAATTATCTTTGGTGGTGGTGCTAAAAGAAGACGTAAGTGTAACATTTTTTTTGATTTAATAATTATTTAATTAATTTTGATTTATTTTAGCCCGCCCAGCGGCAACTAATGGAGCATCAGCGCCAAAAGTAGAAGCTTAAAAAGATTTTTTTTTCCTTTTTGTTGATATTAAATATTTATTTTTTCAAATCTTATAAATTAATCGAACCGTACAAAAAAATAATAAATATGTACTTAATTTTTTAAAACTTTTTTATCCTTTTTAAAGACTTGTTTCATCTTGATGTTTCATATATCGCCCGATTTTTACTTCTAAAAATAACGTGTCATCTCTGATATGATTGTATTTGGTTAATGTGGTGTGGGGGATAAAAATGTATTGAGTTGAAGACTCTTGGGGGTCATCGTTGACTTCATCGCCATGTTCTCGTTTGGCACTAATAAATTTCGTGGTGTGTCTCGGCTAAAATCAAAAATTTTAGTTAATTGATCCATCAAATTTTTGTACTTACATCTGAATAATCATAAAGATCCCTTATAGTAACATTTCCTTCGATTAAACAAGGCCAAGGTAGCATTAAATCATATTCGCCTTTTAAAACGTGTATACAAGCTATCATGTGCCTCCCTTTCCATTTTTTAATTCCATTTAAATAAACAATTAACTTTAATAAACCCAAAAAAAAATAAATTAATTAAAATTGACTAATTTAATAAATACAACTAAATTTACCCGAATTTTATATCCATATTCGTGAGTATAAAAAATAGGGCTTCTTAAAACTAAATCCGTACTTTTAGCACTTTCCATTTTCATTTTAAACTCGTTCATTTTCCAAATTAAATGTCCGGGTTTCGTGAAAAATCTAGAAATTTGCGTATCCTCCAAAATTTCCATGTCGAGTTTTAATTGTGTTAAATTTTTTCGAATTGAAATTAATTCTTTCTCCTGGATTTCTACTTTTTCTGCATTTTCGGTCGCGATTTGTGTGATTGCTCGCAAATCAAAAACGACGGTGCTATATTTCAATTTTTGCTCTTCAATATTTTTTGAACACCCAACAACATCCCCTTTGATTTCTTCCAATCGTTTTCGTTGATCGTCCCATAACCCGCCGATGGCCGCATTTTCATGAGCATGAAAATCTTCGAGCTTTTCCAGTTTCGATTTAACCTCCCTTATTACTTCGTTTGAAATAATTTGTTCTTTCATAAGATTTTCTTTAAAACTGTTTATTTCGGGCATTAAACTGTTAAATAGAGATAATTTATCTTCTAACATTTTTATTTTTTTGTTTAAATCCAATTTTAAACGATCCGATTGGACTAAATCATATTTTAAATTGTTTACATCTGAATCCATGGTTTTTCTCCATTCAACGAAATTATGATTTTGATAACTTAAATTTTCTAATTGACTTGAAATTTGTGGATTTATTGTTGTTTGCATTGCTGATAATTTATCTTGCCTTAATTTTAAAGCTTCCAAATTCTTTTGCGTTTGAATTAATTGTCCCTCAATCGAACCAAGTTTTGTTTGTAATTTTAAAACATCAATACTAATCGTTTTTTGAGGTGTTGAATCAATTCGTGATGTTGTTGGATAATAATTTTGTGGTGAAATATTTTGAACCGGGAAATTTTGTATTGGAACATTTTGAACTGGATTTTTTTGAAACGCACTTTGATATTGAACATTTTGTATTGGAACATGTTCAAATTGCATATTTTTGTGTTGTTTAGTCATTCTCGGTAAAGTTTGCGTTTGTGGTCGATTTGTGCACTCTTTTAAATGTTTATCTCTCATTTTTCTTTGGCAATAAGCCCCGCATTTGAATTCGCACGGCTCTAAAACTGATCCACAAGTTGTTAAGTGACCCTAAAATAAAAATTAAAATTTGTATTTGTCGGAATAATGATATCGATGATGTCATAATTAATTTGTAAACTTACCTCCTCCGTTTCATTTTCTAGCACTTTATTACAAAAATAGCACGTAGGTTTTTGCAAACGAATTCCATTCATGATTTTTTGTGGTGTTTTTATTTAAAAATACAACAAAGTTCGCTTATTCAAGTTTAAAACGGGTCAAAACACAGAAACAGGTATCACGTAATGACTAAAACTAAACATTGGGTAGGTGTGTTATCAATGTTTCTTTTTTGATTAGATAGCGTCAGCAGTTACCTACTTTTACGGTATTTTAATTTTGTTTGGTGTTTTTTTTTTGTTCAAACATGGAATAAACAAAACATTTTATTTTCTATTATATTATAATTTCTATTTCTCACTGCCTTTAATTTCTTCAAATGTATCTCATAATTTATCTTCTCTATTCTTTTCCTAGTTTTATTTACACATTTACTTTCTTCCTTCATCTGTATTTTTTGTTAAAATCACGTTTTAATTCGTCGAGCAAAGACTTCAATATAAATATTCTTATCTAGTTTTAAGTAATCTAATGCTCCAATTTTACTCCAATATTTCTTTAGCAATTCTAAAAAAGGTTTGTCAATATTGAGCAATATGTTGTGTTTATTTTTCCCTTAACTTTTCACATCGGCTTCACCTATACCATAATGCTCAATCCAAGCATCGACATAAAAAGCTTTTGCGTTTGGCTATGTTGTTAGGGTATTCATTAAAATATCTACAGCCAGTGAGAAATGGCCGGGGTAATAATTTTCCTTCTAACCTGTCTTTACATTTCTTTGCTTGTAATCCTATCTGTTGTGCCATATTTCTATATATTACCTTTATTCTCCCTTACCTCTACTGTACTGGTTGTATCACATAAATTCCACATCCAGTTATGAATACGTCATGACCAGACATTACCATAATTTCCGTTTAGATGCTAACAGGATTTAATCAATCGAGTCGAATACTTTTCTTTGCAGCCAGTGCCATCTACTCATCTGATCGACCATGTTAGAATATCTCATTACTCTGCTAATTTTAATTTTTATTGGTAAGTCAAGTAGATCTCTATCCAGGATAATGGCGAAAAGATTCTACCAGGTATATCCTCGATATCGAAAAATATGATCCAGCTATGTAACCCAGCGCAATATGAAATATTATCTTTGTCGACCTTTACCTTCGTTGTAGGTGAAAATTGTAACCTCAGTTAAGCATTAATGAAGTTATTTCTTGAAAAGAATGTTGTCTCATCATGCTTATTAAAGATGCTTCTAATGTTAAGTGTCAAAAGAGCAGAGTTTACACACTAGGTGATTGCAATGTATGTAAATATACCATCACTTCTACCATCACTCCTAGCCACATCAACCAGCCCAGGGATGTCACTTAGAAATGTGGGTCTGATATCAGCTGTGTTTATAAAAATGAGCTTTACTGTCTCGTTGTCTTATTTGTAGGCTTGATAAGGAGTGGAATTAGACACTTCATGTTATAAAGAAGCATATTTATCATACAGTGCCCTGTTAAGAGACTTGTAAGTATACAAAAATGCGTATTTACTAGTGGTGGATCGGATATCCGGCAACTAAAAATTCGTATAAAATCCAGTTCTCGGAATATGAGTATAAAAATTTCCCAAAGTGTTAATAAAAGTGTCTTCTTTCCAATGGACCAACCCGTTTTGAAAAATAGCGTTTAGTTTTTGAGAAAATAATATTTGAAGTTTTGATACAATTTTCATCGATAAGTTTCAAAATTCGGTATAAAATTCATTTCTTGAAGGATCTTTGTGGAAATATCACCAATTATTAATTAAAATATTCTTTTTTTGATGCAACAAGCCGTTTTGAAAAATCGCTTTTAGTTCTTGAGAAATAAATTTTCGAAATGATCGACAATTTATTCGAATTTTGCATTTTTCGCCGATTAAGTTTTAAAAATTCATATAAAATCCAGTTCTTGGAATATGAGTATGAAAATTTCCAAAAGTGTTAATAAAAGTGTCCTCTTTCCAATGAACCAACCCGTTTTGACAAATAACTTTTAGTTTTTGAGAAAACAATATTTGAAGTTTTAATAACATTTTCGATGTTGCAATTTTCATCGATAACTTTCAAAATTCGTTATAAAATTCATTTCTTGAAGAATCCTTGTGGAAATATCACCAATTATTAATGCAACAAGCCGTTTTGAAAAATCGCTTTTAGTTCTTGAGAAATAAATTTTTGAAATGATCGACAATTTTTTCGAATTTTGCAATTTTCGCCGATTAAGCTTTAAAAATTCGTATAAAATCCAGTTCTTAGAATATGAATATGAAAATTTCCCAAAGTGTCAATAAAAGTGTCTTCTTTCCAGTGAACCAACCCGTTTTAAAAAATAGCTTTTAGTTTTTGATAAAACAATATTTGAAGTGTTGATAAAATTTTCGATGTTGCAATTTTCATCGATAAGTTTCAAAATTCGGTATAAAATTCATTTCTTGAAGGATCCTTGTGGAAATATCACCAATTATTAATTAAAATGTCCTCTTTTTAATTCAACAAGTCGTTTTGAAAAATCGCTTTTAGTTTTTGAGAAATAAATGTTTGAAATGACCGACAATTTTTTCGAATTTTGCAATTTTCGCCGACTAAGTTTTAAAAATTCCTATAAAATCCATTTCATGGAATATGAGTATGAAAATTTCTCAAAGTATTAATAAAAGTGTCTTCTTTCCAATAAACCAACACGTTTTGACAAATAGCCTTTAGTTTTTGAGAAAACAATATTTGAAATTTTGATGAAATTTTCGATGTTGCAATTTTCATCAATAACTTTTAAAATTTGGTATAAAATTCATTTCCTGAAGGATCCTTGTGGAAATATCACCAATAATTAATTAAACTATCCTCTTTTTAATGCAACGAGCCGTTTTGCAAAATCACTTTTAGTTCTTGAGAAATAAATTTTTGAAATGATCGACGATTTTTTTAAATTTTACAATTTTCGCCGATTAAGTTTTAAAAATTCGTATAAAATCCAGTTCTCGAAATATGAGTATAAAAATTTCAAGTGCTTCAGAAACGAAATTAATCGCTGAGTGAAGAGATGATTTCAATAATGAAGAGGAGTGACTTTTCAGCAAGACATGAAACACCAAAAAAGATTCTTTTCAGGTACGTTATTCGTATTAGAACAAGGTTGTATTAATAGTTATTCAGTCGTAGTAAATACGTGGTTGGCGACTTTCTTTTTTCTTGTTTACAAACATCAATTTTTGTCCAATTCCCTTAGGATAGCATTGAGTATACCCAAAAAGACATCAGGGATTACATTAACAAAGCCTTAAGAGGATCAGCTGGATATTATCGCGGAAAAAAGTTTCTGATTCTTCAACGGTTTTGCAGACATGTGCAAAACATCCCCATCATTGTATAGAAAAAAATGACACAACCTAACCCAAAGTTCTTCTCAATTCAGACGAGAGAATTCCAAAGAATATCAATGTTAGGATTAAGGAACCTTTGTTGTATTATATTGCTTGTAAAAGACTACTTATTACTGATAATGAACTATTAGATGTTGTTGCCAGAAAACTATATATTACTGGAAACCATTAAATACTGCTGCCAGAAAGCTAGACAGAAGTTACAGAAGACTTGATACTGAGACAATTATATCCTGCTAATAGAATGAGGGATTGATAAAGTGCAAACTTGTAGGGTGACTAGATGAACTAATCATCTACTTGTTATTAAACATGTGTTGTGGCGCAACTTTAATATTTCAAGTCTAAATTGTGCAATATCTGTAACTAACGTATTATCAGTATTTGTTATAAACAAACCTGAAAATGATTTTGAACCAAGTCCCTTACGTCAAAGCAGTAATTTGGATTTTAAAGTTAGCAGATCGATTCTAATTCAAACAATTCAGTAGTTCCAATAATTTTGTAAAATTTTTTCCAAGTCGATCTGCCTGATATTGATCCCAATACTTGCTAACAATAAAATGAACAGGACTTGCTAATTCGTGATGGTTTGTTAATTTGATGCACTGATAGCATTCCATACAGTGATAATTTGATATTTTTTTATATCACTCTTTCCGCTTTGTGCCTCTTTATAAGTAAATTTCCTAACATTTCTGCACTTATCTAATAATAATTAAAATCCTTTTGCAACATGATGATTTCATTATACAAAGTTCTTGTCAACTTCTTTCCTAATAAAAAAGAATTGTTATTTTATCTTTTGTTTGATCCACTATTTTTGAAACACCTTATACATAAGACAAATGTACTTAAAGGAACCTAACAGCGTAGATGTGCCATTAAGAAAAATTCTCTCTATATGTACTTAAAACCGTTACGAAATATTTACCGTTTGATAACACTAAGATATGTTATGCGATTCGATTAGAGATGAATTTAAAATATAAAATTTTTTGGAGATAAACTATCATTATTTTTAATTCCTCCTATATGAGACATTTCCTGGTGTAATCACCACTTCTGATAAAGTGCATCTTATTCCCTCTTAAAAAAAAATTTGTAATTATATATATAGTTATTGCATTCAAATCTTTTAAAGAATGTTTAAAAAACGTGTAAATACACGTCTCGTCCTGCCTATATTAACCTGTTTGTACTACTACCTTAATAGATATCGAATATTGAAAAATGTGATAAGCGCAGAGATAAGAAACAGAGATTCTTATAATTTCAGTCTGTGAGGCGACACATTAAATGATACAACAGTTTTGATTTTTTTTTCACATTTGAAAAACGTGAATTAAACCGGTAAGTTAAAAAAATAATAATTTGTTTAAACGGAATAAACTTTTTAAAATAAAAGTAATCACAACAAAGATAAAATCGTTTTTTTTATGAAAAATATGTAAGGAATTTTTACGACATCCTTTATTAAATCGTGTTTCACCACAAAAATTTGTTTTAATCACATGTTCTTTTTAACATTATTTTTAATTTCAATGTAAGCGTCCACTTGAATATATCTATAAGAATGTATCTTATTTATGTCGAACTCGAGTGTTTTGAAATCGGCTTAGTTAAAAAAGACAGATCATCGACATCAATGTTTATTCATTATTTCGATAAAAAACTTAATAAATTTTTGTGTCGTTGTCATATTTCGAGATTTTTTAAGATTAATTCGTATTTAAACAAATCAATTTGTATTTACAATATTGTTTGAGTAATTTTATCTAAACAAGTTAGATTAATCGGTGCAATATTACGTAGATAGTACGTAACATTTGTTTAGAAAATAAACACTTTCTCTTTTTATAAAAAACTAATCTAATTAAAAAGATATTAAGTTCAAAAATTAACTAATCGAGCAACTTTCACACAATTTTTATTTAGTATTAAGTTATATTTCGTTAAGTTCTACGACTAATTTAGTTTCATATTATTTTTTTAGTTATGGGGCGAATAAAACTTTACCACATCCTCCTTCTCACCTTTTTGAGTCCAATAAAAGCTCAAAGATGCAAATTAACATCGCGCGAAATAAATTGTTCGGGAAACGATTTAAACAAAATCCCAATGTTTCAAAACACCGGAAATATAGAAATTCTCGATTTTTGCGACAACGAAATTGAAGAGTTATATAAAGCGAATTTTTATAACTTCACAAATTTGAAACAACTACGTTTAAACTTCAACAACATCGTTTACGTCGAAGATAACACATTCGAAAATTTAATTCAACTAGAATCGTTGGATTTATCCAAAAACATTTTAGAAGAAGTCCCCGATGAGCTAATTTCAACAAACAAAAAAATAATAACACTAAATTTATCCAACAATTTATTCAGCTCAAGAACACCCTCTTTGTATTCATCGAGTTTGGAGAATTTAGATTTATCTTGGACCAAAATTTCTTATTTCACCGAAGAGAACATTGTGGGATTACCAAATTTAAAAACGTTAAGTTTAAACGCGAACAATTTGATTCATGTAAATCCGGAGATTTTTAAATTGCCGAAATCGTTTTCTTCCGTTAATTTAAACTTTAACAGCTGGGCTTGTAATTGCGAAACGATTAAGATGTTTAAAAAATTAACCGAAGAAAATCTATTTAAAGTTGATAACGATATTAATTGTTATCGCGAAAATCGAATCGAAGCGATTTATGGTAAAAATGGCCCAATTTCGAAACGATTAAACTGCGAAAAACACAACAACGACTCTTTAATAAATGGAATTAAATCGTTGGAGGAAATTTTAAAAATGGAAAAAATTTATTATCAAGAATTAAGGAAAGAAAAGGATGTTTTAGTTTCAGTTACATCTTTAACGATGAAAATTTTAATCGTTGTTATTTTTTTCGTTGGAATTTCACTTGGTATCTTAATATCAACGATCATGGATAAAAGGATAAGACAAATTCGAAGAAGAGGAATTTATCGATCCGATTCTTTGTCATAGTTTACATTTAAAAAAATAAGACTTTAAATAAAACATTTTTGGTGAAAGTGTAAAAACTTGAAGACGTTTTATATTTAGTGCGTTATGGTGCTCGAAAAAATGCTTAAAAATAAAAATAATAATTCACTCGTGCTTCTGCCCTTGCGGATTTATCTTGTTGATGCTAAGATATATTACTATAAATATTTTATCTATATCGTGACGATTTACACGTGGAATACGCGTTTCTATTGTACAAATAGATTTTAATTTGTAATACGTAATAATAATAATAATTTTTATTCAATTTGTTGTTTTTCAATCAAATCAGGAATTTTTAAATTAGTATCTTTTTTGACACTTTTAGGTTATACGAAAATGTAAGTTTTGTTTCAACATTTTTTTCTCAATATTTTTCCAATCCAACCCAACAATTATTATACATCATTTTAAAGAGAAAGCTTTGAGCTTTAATTTAGAATAAGTCTCATTCCTTAATTTCAATAAATACGGCTTCCAGGAATTTTTAAATTAGCATCTTTTTTGACACTTTTAGGTTATACGAAAATGTAAGTTTTGTTTCAACATTTTTTTTCTCAATATTTTTCCAATCCAACCCAACAATTATTATACATCATTTTAAAGAGAAAGCTTTGAGCTTTAATTTAGAATAAGTCTCATTCCTTAATTTCAATAAATACGGCTTCCAGGAATTTTTAAATTAGCATCTTTTTTGACACTTTTAGGTTATACGAAAATGTAAGTTTTGTTTCAACATTTTTTTTCTCAATATTTTTCCAATCCAACCCAACAATTATTATACATCATTTTAAAGAGAAAGCTTTGAGCTTTAATTTAGAATAAGTCTCATTCCTTAATTTCAATAAATACGGCTTCCAGGAATTTTTAAATTAGCATCTTTTTTGACACTTTTAGGTTATACGAAAATGTAAGTTTTGTTTCAACATTTTTTTTCTCAATATTTTTCCAATCCAACCCAACAATTATTATACATCATTTTAAAGAGAAAGCTTTGAGCTTTAATTTAGAATAAGTCTCATTCCTTAATTTCAATAAATACGGCTTCCAGGAATTTTTAAATTAGCATCTTTTTTGACACTTTTAGGTTATACGAAAATGTAAGTTTTGTTTCAACATTTTTTTTCTCAATATTTTTCCAATCCAACCCAACAATTATTATACATCATTTTAAAGAGAAAGCTTTGAGCTTTAATTTAGAATAAGTCTCATTCCTTAATTTCAATAAATACGGCTTCCAGGAATTTTTAAATTAGCATCTTTTTTGACACTTTTAGGTTATACGAAAATGTAAGTTTTGTTTCAACATTTTTTTTCTCAATATTTTTCCAATCCAACCCAACAATTATTATACATCATTTTAAAGAGAAAGCTTTGAGCTTTAATTTAGAATAAGTCTCATTCCTTAATTTCAATAAATACGGCTTCCAGGAATTTTTAAATTAGCATCTTTTTTGACACTTTTAGGTTATACGAAAATGTAAGTTTTGTTTCAACATTTTTTTTCTCAATATTTTTCCAATCCAACCCAACAATTATTATACATCATTTTAAAGAGAAAGCTTTGAGCTTTAATTTAGAATAAGTCTCATTCCTTAATTTCAATAAATACGGCTTCCAGGAATTTTTAAATTAGCATCTTTTTTGACACTTTTAGGTTATACGAAAATGTAAGTTTTGTTTCAACATTTTTTTTCTCAATATTTTTCCAATCCAACCCAACAATTATTATACATCATTTTAAAGAGAAAGCTTTGAGCTTTAATTTAGAATAAGTCTCATTCCTTAATTTCAATAAATACGGCTTCCAGGAATTTTTAAATTAGCATCTTTTTTGACACTTTTAGGTTATACGAAAATGTAAGTTTTGTTTCAACATTTTTTTTCTCAATATTTTTCCAATCCAACCCAACAATTATTATACATCATTTTAAAGAGAAAGCTTTGAGCTTTAATTTAGAATAAGTCTCATTCCTTAATTTCAATAAATACGGCTTCCAGGAATTTTTAAATTAGCATCTTTTTTGACACTTTTAGGTTATACGAAAATGTAAGTTTTGTTTCAACATTTTTTTTCTCAATATTTTTCCAATCCAACCCAACAATTATTATACATCATTTTAAAGAGAAAGCTTTGAGCTTTAATTTAGAATAAGTCTCATTCCTTAATTTCAATAAATACGGCTTCCAGGAATTTTTAAATTAGCATCTTTTTTGACACTTTTAGGTTATACGAAAATGTAAGTTTTGTTTCAACATTTTTTTTCTCAATATTTTTCCAATCCAACCCAACAATTATTATACATCATTTTAAAGAGAAAGCTTTGAGCTTTAATTTAGAACAAGTCTCATTCCTTAATTTCAATAAATACGGCTTCCAGGAATTTTTAAATTAGCATCTTTTTTGACACTTTTAGGTTATACGAAAATGTAAGTTTTATTTCAAAATATTTTTTCTCAATATTTTTCCAATCCAACCCAACAATTATTATACATCATTTTAAAGAGAAAGCTTTGAGCTTTAACTTAGAACAAGTCTCATTCCTTAATTTCAATAAATACGGCTTCCAGGAATTTTTAAATTAGTTTTCTTGGGACACAAAGGGTTAAAATAAAAGTCAAATCGTACAAATGCCAGATTTAAAAAGAGTTTGGTTTCCAACTCGGTTATCGAAAGTACCTCTTTACAATATTAAAAAGAAATTGTTTATTCAATCGATTGTTGGGAGTCAAATCGAAGAGGTAAATTTAATGCAATCTTAAATTTAACACTTTTTTAACTTATTTTAGGAAATAAATCTTGCTGTGTTAACTTATAGGGAATATTTTACGATTTCGTTATGTTACCAAACGAATATGTACTACACAATTCAATTAATGGAGATATTAAAACTTCTACCTGGAAGTAACAACTCAATTTTATAAAAAATTAAGACATATTTGTAATTATGTTTGTTTCAGTGACAGTTTTTATATCAGTTTTCTTCTTACAACTGGTTATTGGAGTTCCTTTACTAATTTTATTGGTTTTTATGAGTAGTTACTCCGGGAAAGGATTTTTAAAGTTTTGGGATTGTATTCCTATTTTTAGAGGTAATTTTAATTCTTCTCCTCCCAATCAATACTCTCTTACATTTACACTTTGATTTTACAACATACCAATTAATCTTATCAATTTTTTGAATTATATTTTTCTCTATTTTTAATACTAACATCAAAATGTAAATAAAATTCCATGAATTTAATGGTAGTGTTGCTTTATCCTTATTTTATTTACTCTTTTACGTTTCATTTATTAAAATACATTAATTTAATTATTATTTTTTTCTAGGAATTGGATACGCAATCTTATTAGCAAGATTCCTCTACTGTCTTCATTTAATTCTTTTCAGTGCTGTTGCTACAGAATGCGCACTAGACATCCTTATGCACCCCGATATTACAAAATCGATTCAAAGTTGTGCTTTCGCCGATAAAAGCACGTGTTTACCGATGTTCCCCAAAGTCAATAACACGTTACACTGCAAACAATTCTCGGAGAGTGGTCAATTTGATTTATTAACAGCTTTTAGAAGCACAAATTTAACTGCTAAAAAAGTTTTTTTTTCGACTCAACACCATTTCAGGTTTTTATTTCAACTTATGCACGTAACTATTGCAGGAAATTGAGTTTATTATTAACCCGGCTCCTCCACCAAAAATTTCATGCAATACTTAAACTCATATATGAATTAATTGGTTAAAATAAAATTAAAAATGCCTCGTTTTAGATATCACATACTACAATACGACCCTTTGCATGATAACGAAATATCCGTTAATTACAGCTTAGTTTTGACGGCGTTTTTTACTTGGTTAGCAACTTTTTTTATCTGTATCCTCGGTGCAAGAAGAATAAAAACGACGTTACAGAAAATTCAGTTCTTTTGCGATTTTGCTATGCTTTTTATCATTGTTATTGCGATGTTTAGTAATTTTGAGATTACAAATGATTATAGTATGGTGACATCAACATCAACAATGAACGTAAGATTAAAATAGTGTTATAGTAAAACCTTGATATAACGGACCTCGTTAGGAAGGATTTCCTATATACTCATACTATTAGTATTATCTATTCCGGGATTCAGGAAATATTACAAAAAACTTTCAGCACAAAAGTAGTAGCAAATTTTGTTCTTAACAATATTGCTCTCTTTCATATTTGCTCTCAGATTTGAAAATATCGAGAAAAATACGAAAATATGAAAATTTGATGAATTTATAGCTTTATAAGTTGCTAATGGTAACATTTGGAATTCGGAGCATATTAGAAAAGAACTTTCAGTACAAAAGTTGTAGCAAACTTTATTCTTAACAATATTGCTCTCTTTCACTTTTGCTCTCAGATGTCAAAATATCAAGAAAAATACGAATATGTGAAAATTTGATAAATTCGTAGTTTTACAAGTTAATGGTAACATTTGGAATTCGGAGCATATTACAAAAGAACTTTTAGAACAAAAGTTGTAGCAAATTTTATTCTTAACAATATTGCTCTCTTTCATATTTGCTCTCAGATTTGAAAATATCGCGAAAAATACGAAAATATGAAATTTTGATGAATTTATAGCTTTATAAGTTGCTAATGGTAACATTTGGAATTCGGAGCATATTAGAAAAGAACTTTCAGTACAATAGTTGTAGCAAATTTTATTCTTAACAATATTGCTCTCTTTCATATTTGCTCTCAGATTTGAAAATATCGAGAAAAATACGAAAATATGAAAATTTGATGAATTTATAGCTTTATAAGTTGCTAATGGTAACATTTGGAATTCGGAGCATATTAGAAAAGAACTTTCAGTACAAAAGTTGTAGCAAACTTTATTCTTAACAATATTGCTCTCTTTCACTTTTGCTCTCAGATGTCAAAATATCAAGAAAAATACGAATATGTGAAAATTTGATAAATTCGTAGTTTTACAAGTTAATGGTAACATTTGGAATTCGGAGCATATTACAAANAACTGTATTCTTAACAATATTGCCCTCTTTCCCTTTTGCTCTCAGATGCGAGAATATCGAGAAAAATACGAATATGTGAAAATTTGATAAATTCATAGTTTTTACAAGTTAATGGTAATACTTGGGATTCGAAGAATATTACAAAAAAACTTTCAGTACAAAAGTTGTAGCAAACTTTATTCTTAACAATATTGCTCTCTTTCACTTTTGCTCTCAGATGCGAAAATACCGGGAAAAATACGAATATGTGAAAATTCGATAAATTCGTAGTTTTACAAGTTAATGGTAACACTCGAGATTCGGAGCACATTACAGAAAAACTTTTAAAACAAAAGTTATAGCAAATTTTATTCTTACCAATATTGCTCTCTTTCATTTTTGCTCTCAGATGCGAAAATATCGAGAAAAATACGAATATGTGAAAATTTGTAAAATTCGTACTTTCACAAGTTAATGGTAACACTTGGGATTCGAAGCATGCTCCAAAAAAACTTTCAGAACAAAAGTTGTGGCAAATTTTATTCTTAACAATATTGCTCTCTTTGACTTTTGCTCTCAGACGCATAGCAAACAGTTTAAAGGCTAAATTCCCCATATTACTTCAGTCCGTTATATCCAGGTTTTACGTTATATTACTTTTATTATTAAATTTATTATCTTTTTAGTTCAATAATTGGGTTTATATCTATTTACACGCAACCGATATTTTTATAATCTCCGATGTTATTTGGGCTGGAAAGATGAAACCGAAATCTCTTTCAGTAAATATTGCCGGTTGTGTTTTGGGATCATTAAAAACCTCGGTGTTTTTATTAGTAATATTCCTCAGTAGGAGATGTTCCCAATTAGTTTTTGACCACTATAAATACACAGATAAAGAGTGCCTTTTAGTGACGGGTTATGATATTGTTTTTGCTTTTCTTCCGGACGTTTTGTATCGAACAGAATTTGGTGTTTATTTAAACCTTTTCTGGTACTTTTCTTTAAGTTATACCGCCTTCCACGTCGTAATTTACACCCTTATTAGTATTGTAAATGCTTTACTTGAATACTTTGGACGTTTACGAAATTGTCGAATAATTCTTTACGCTATTCTGTGTTTTATAGCGTTCTGTTTCAATTTTTTCTTTTGTACCAATTTTGCGATGTTTATTTTTTATCATTTTCATTATTTCACCGAAGCATTTTTAATTATCATATCTACTTTGTCTGTTGTTATTGGTTTAATTTTTATATACACGATTCAAAAAGTTGTTGAGGATTTCAAGTTTTGCAATTATTACCCAAGCCCCTATTTTATATCAGCTTTAAAATTTGCGGCTGGTTCTGCTTTAGTAAGTTTTAAACAAATTTAAATAAAATAATTTAACTTAATCAATTTATTTTAGTGCATCTTCCTTTATATGTTACTCTATTTTAAATCGTACACAATTCAAAACTTAACACCACGATTAGCATATTTAGCGCTTCTTAAAAATATAGCTTTCATTCTCCCAATGATATTAATACTGATGTATCAATGTTACACCTCGTCAAAACCAAAGAAAAAACAGTCAGTAAGTAAACAATGTTTGAAATAAACAGATTAAATAACAATTATTTTTAGTGTTTAGCAAAAATGACTGAAGCCGTTTCCCCTTCAAAAGCTTGGGGGCCTTTGGATGTCTTGGCAAAAAAAGCTCGGAAAAAATATTACTCCAAAAGAGATGAAATTTACCACCAAACCAAGCTCACTAAATGCGCCCATAATTGTTTATTACACGAGAACAGTTTAGAAGAAATAAATCATTACGGAACCATCAATTTGGAAAAGTTACAAACCAAAATTGAATCGCAAAAAGCTACAGAAGAAACAGAGATGATTTTAAGGGAAATTCAACAATTTACTAAAGCTAAACATGTAGAGAAATGAAATCATAAAAAAGTTGCCGAATTAATTAAAAGTTTTTAAAAATTTAAAGTTTTTTTTGACATTTAATTTAAATTAAATATTTAATTCACAGATGGCGTTATCACCAAGAAAATTGACAGTTAATTCCGACATTAAAATTTTAGGTTATATTAAATGTGACGTTTACCGATGTTTATCAAAAAATTAATCATAAATAAAAGACTTTAGTGATTTATTAAAAACTATTTATTAATTTAAATCGTATTTCGTGCAAAATGGGTCAAAACACATCAAATCACGTTCACGATTTTGTATCGTCGTCTTTTGCTAAAGTTTTGGTTGATGAATCGCCCCCAATTGTTATCGATGAAATAATTACGATTTCTTATGAGGAGTTTACCGCAAAACTCGGAGAACTAAATACATTGTAAACTAAAAAAATCTTATTCGTTCGAAATAATAATTAATTAAAATTGTAGATCGCGTAAGTATTTAGATTCGGAAGGAAAACAACTTTTATTTGCCGTAAAAAGCAACACTGATTCAACGATACTCTGGAAGGCGTTTGTACAAATTGCTTGTATTAAAATCGACCCTTCAACGAATCAAGTTAATACGTACAGACTTTTAAGCCTCAAAGAATTTTTACAAGTATTTCAAACTTTAAAGTGTCAATTTGCAGCCGTTGAGGATTGTAAAACGTAATGAAATCGATTAAATCGTCTCGTTCGTTTTCTTAGAGTTTGTTTTTATAGATCTAGTTTAAATGCATCGACCGTTTTTAATTTTGTAAATAACGAAATTGAAGAAAACAGTTTTGACAGCAGAAATTTGTGTTGTATCTGTTTTGATAAAGAAATTGATGTATTGTTACCTTGCACACACAGTTATTGTTCAAATTGCATTGAAGAATGGTGAGAATTTGAAATTTATAGTGATTAAATAAATTAAATTGGTTATGTTTTTTTTTGTAGGAACGAAAAAAACGATACTTGTCCAATTTGTAGAGAAAATTTAGAAAGTACTGATGACACTTGGGTACTTTCTGAAGTACCAAAGGCTGAGGAGATCAGTGAAGAAATTAAAAAGACTTTGATGAATCTTGTTTCAAAGTAATAATTTTAATATAATAAAGTTAAGTAACTTGAAATAAATTCTACTAAATATTTTATTTTTATAAGTGTATAGATTTATTATGTTTTTAAATTTATCTTTCTATAAACTTTATCCCTGTGATATTTGTAATTGTTATTGATGTTGTATTAGTTTTAGGGACTTGTATTAAAATAAGAACAATAATAAACATTTTTTTGCACTAGCCACTTTTACTTTACTAATTCTTTTAATAAGAGAGAGCACAGCTAATCCAGAATGTTTCTAGTTCTAGGCCTAGTGTTAGATCTAGTGCTAGTGTGTTTTATGTATTTATTGAACTAGAACTATACCTTTTCAAGTTCAAATTGGCACTAATCAAATTCGAAATAGCATTAAATAAAACCAATTTGGTAACTGTCATAATCAAATTAGCATTAATCAACAGCAAAACATATTTGTTTTAATGTAAACATGAGGCCATCAAGGTGTTGTCAAATACACTCCTTGCTTACATTAAGCTGAAAGTCATTTCGTAATGTTTCTTGCAACTGCTTAAGTGTGATTTTAGAATTTTCTTCAATTTTAAGTTCAAAGAAACGGCGATGTTCATTTGTATTTTACGTTTCCCCCTCTTGGTTTTCCTTCTTCTTGATTTTTTACCCATCCGAACGCTGTTCTTTTTGCAACAACAAGAATTTTAACTAAATTGCGCCAACTGCCATTCGTATTGTAACGGCACAAATTTGGCGTTTTACGTTTGCTGCTTCCATTTTCTTAATATAAGACATTTTGTTAACCGTGCCAATTTATAATCAATGTCATTTTGGCTTCAGAGCAAGTTTCGTCTGAAAATATGTACCAGCAGAATGGACTAAAGTAAGGTATAAGTTCTGAAACGGTATATCCGTACGGTGCCACTGGTATCTGGTCCACTGAGTCGGCCCAGTACGCTTATCAAGCGTGAAAGTCAGCAGAATTGACTCTACACAACATGGTTGGTAGAGTATCCACACTCCAGGATAAAGAGATCTTGGTTTGTGCGATTCTGGACATAGAAGATGAGTTCAACAACGCAATACCACAATCTTTTGAAAGAGCTGCTCTTGACATGGAAGTGGAATCAACTATAGCGGGTTGAATCCGCAATATGCTTGATAGTAGAATAGTTTCTATACCATTTCAAGTTCAAATTGGCACTAATCAAACTCAAATAATTGGCATTAAACAAACCCAATTTGGCGATTGTCAATCAAAATGTCATTTTGATTTTGATTAATGCCAATTTGAATTGGATTAGTGTCAATATGAACTTGAAAAGGTATAGTTTACTCCACGGTGACACGATACGCTTCAGTGCATCAGCGTTTCTTCTGAGTGCTTTAAGTCCTCGATTTAGTATTTTCCTTGCAGAAAGCAAATAATTGTTGCGGATCGAGTTTACGAAGTGTTGAATCCTCGGCAGAAGCTATGCAATCGATGTGTACTAAATGTATTCATGATGAAGGCTTCAATTCTGATCCCGACTCTAATGTTTTCCTCGCAAATAGCAACGCTGAACTTGTCATGCAAATAATTATTATAAATTGAGGTCACGAAGTGTTTTTCTGGTAGTCTAGGGAAATAGTTACAGCAAAAGCATAAATATCATATAGCTTAGTTACTTTTGATGTTTTTCAAATGGCTTTTTCTTAGGTTCTTTTAAACGGAATATCCTGTGTATTGTGTGCTAGTTGAATTGCTCATCAAGTTCCCTTTAATTAATGCTAAGTATGTTATATCTCTAACTTTAATAGTTTTCGTTAGAATTTTTTAATGGAAACCATAGTTGGCCATGACTTTATAAAAAAAAGCCTTCTCTCAACGATTCTAATGATATACCACTTGACATGGATATTTTTATTAATAAATAATATAAAATAAATAAAAATAAACTTTTTTTTAGTGTCGTCAAAGAAATTAAATTTACAGTTTCCTGTAAATTACGGTTCTATAACTAAAAATTAAAAAAACATATTTCTGATATTTGAAACAAATATATTTGTTGAACTGTTTAATTTATATATGTTTTACACAAAAGTTGGAATAGATTGCATTATTTCACATTTTTTATTACGATTTAATATTATTTTTAAATGACTTAATAAATTATCGATAGATGGCGCTCATTTTTTTTTTTTAATTCAAATAAACATAGCAACATTTGTTTGTATTCAAAAATTTTCTGAAGTGTCAATTTAAAAATCCTGTTTTTTAAGATGGATTACGAAAATTACGAAAAGTTTAACATGTTAGAATGTTACATATTAGAAAATAAAGTAAATTTTATATAAATTTTTAGTAGAATAATTTTTAGTTATAGTACCGTAATTTACAGGAAACTGTAAATTTAATTTCTTTGACGACACTAAAAAAAAGTTTATTTTTAGCTTTATTCTAAAACAATAAGAAATAGACCTATCTAACCCCATAATTTTGTAATCAGAAAAAAATAACGAATTTAATAAGCGAATAATCAGTGGTTGTTTCCATTTAAAAAAACGAAAATTGTCAATATCTCAAAATATAAAACCGAAAAATTTTTTTTGACTACGTCATCAAATTCTTTGTAAAAAAGTGTCCATATAATGTCTTAGTTATAATACTCCACCTATAATAATAACCAAGATAATTGCACTTGTTGGTTTTACGATATTTTTAATTTTGGCCTCTAGGGGAAAAACAAAAGATGATGGCGCTTTGAGGTTTTCAGCATTAGCAGTTTCTCGAAAATCGAGATCATGACATGTAAGCTACTTTTTTTCTAACTCTTATAGTTTCCAAGATAGCCTATTCGGACATCGAACTTGAACCAGCCTGTACATAATTTCCATAGCCAGCTATAAAGAAATTTTTTTTTTAATAATAGCAGCGCTTTACAGTACAATATAACATATTTTATTTTTTTACGTTAAAACTATTATCTTTAAGGAAAAAGCTAAAGAGACAAAAAAGTACCAATAATGAATAAGCTTTACAACCCATGTTTTTACATACAAAATTTAATTCTTAAAATTTTAATTCTGCGGTTTACATATACCCGAAATAAAAGATAAAATATAAATTTTTGGCTCAACTTTGACAGCTCATAGCTAGAAAACAAAAGAGTTGTGACCCTATGTTTATACAGTTGATCCATTTGAAAGCGGAACACCCTCGTAAAATTTGTATTTATTATCCGATTTCGATAAATTTTTTTTGAATTATAGGGTGGAAAAAACTGTACGTTAGGAAGAAGAGTCATGTTTTTTTTTAAAAAACCAAGGCCTACTATTTCACTTTTTAGGTGCAAAAAATTAAGAAATCATATTAGGAAATTTTTTACAAAAAATCTGAGTAGACCACTGCATTAAGCGCCGTTTGAAATGGGCATATACCAAATTTCATCAAAAATGGTTACAACTTAACACCGTTACACATAATGAAAAATATAATTTAAAATATAGACCTTGTTTTTTTTAAGAAAAACATGACTCCTTGTCCTAATGTACAGTTCCGCTTTCAAATGGGCCACACTGTATAAAAAAACCTGTGTTATTTTGGTAAGTAGTATGTCCTAGTAAAGAAGAACTGAACCAGTCTGTATAATTTATGTAATGGTTATTCAGCGCTAGATTGTTGTATATTTTTATTGAACTAGAAATATTCGAGTTTAACCATCTTAAGAAAGGTACAGCTAAACTCGATTAAGTTAAGTTAGTTGATTATTTTATAGTAAGACTTGGTAAATTCGGAATTTCAATTAATAACTTTTCTTTTTCAATTCACTCTTTATCATAAATTTTTTGAAGCAATTTTTCAATGCGTTTATTAATATCTTTGGCTATAGGATTCTTTTTGATTAAATTTAATATGGATTTGAAGAATGCAACCAAAATTTTGCACTAGCCAATTTTATTTTATTAATCCTTCAATAAGTTTTTAATAAAAATACCATACTTGTTATACAATGGTGAATTTATATAATATATATACAAAAAGAAAAGAAATATTTAATTAATATAAGTTATTAAATTGTGTGTTGTTTTCATTTCGTTTAAACTTTTCCAGTAATATGGAAAACACAATAAAAATAATATACAGAGTGAAAAAAAGGTTATTTGTTACACCTGTATATAAAAATGTATACATAAAAAGTGTTTAAACGTTCTAAACTTAACAAATACTCCGGTATCACATTTAAATCTTATCCCAGAACAAAGAAAAACAAAATCTTGAAAATACTCTGTAAAAATTAAAAAAAAAAAATATTACGAAAACGTAAATCTAAACTCTTCTTAATTTCTTCATCCTTTGAGCTTTCAATTTCTTTTCTTCTTCTTCACGTTGCATATCTTCTAAATCTTCTTTTATACCTAATAATTTAATAAAAATTTATTAATATCTATATATTAATATTACAAATTATTAATATTTATTTATTTTTAGCATTAATCTCACCGATTTTAGTACTTATACATTCTTCTCGCATTTGCTGAGCAAAAGTACTTTCCATATTATCAGTATCATCATCATCATCATATTGTTTATACCTCCGTTTATCATAACCAAAAATCTGTCCAATTATACTCGAGTAATCTTGCTCTTCATCCGGACCATCATCAATAAAATCATCCATTTCTGAATCGTAATCATCATCATCATCCAAAATCCGACCTAAAAAAAAATTTTTGTAGTTATTTTTTTAATTTTTATTAACAACCAGGGTTGCCAGGTTACACACATAGAATGTCGTGAGCCATGTCATAAAACATCGTGAGATGTTGAAATTTGTTTAAAAATCAGTTTAAAGTGATATAATTAAAGGGAAATCAAATATTACAGTTTAAGTGCTTTCTTTGCGCCATCTAGCGGCGAATACATGTAACTAATAGAGAAATTTACAGTAACCTACAATTCGAGTCGAAAATGCTATGATTTTACTTTGATTTTATTAACACTAATTATTATATTATTTTTGTAATAAAATCGTGAGAAGTACATGTCAAATCGTGAGATTAAAGGTAATATCATGAGATCTCACAATAAATCGTGAGACCTGGCAACCTTGTTAATAACTCACCTTTATTAACAACCAATGGTTTTCTTTTAACATCTTTCGATGGAAATTGTTTCTTTTTAACGTCCGGTGGTGGGAATTGTTTCGGTTTTAAATCCGAAGGGGGAAATTGTTTAGGTTTTAAATCTTTAGGAGGAAATTCTTTCGGTTTAATATCTTGCATTTTTTGAGGTCGAACATCCAATGGGCGTTTTTGTAAATCTTTAGAATTTAATTCTTTTCGTTTTCCATTTGTTAAACTTTGAATTGGTTTTTTTTCGCCGTTTCTATTAAGACTTGGTAAATTCGGATTTTTCATTAATAACTTTTCTCTTTCAATTCGTTCTTTATCATTAATTTTTTGAGGCAACTTTTCAACGCGTTTATTAATATCTTTGGCTATAGGATTCTTTTCTGATTGGATTTTAGGTAGATTTGAAGAAGGCAACGATGGTTTTGCAATAGGCACTTTGAATTCTGATTTTTTTATGTTTTTGATATCGTTTGTTGGAGCCCCATTGACCGCTTGAGGCGGTTTTAAGATAGTATTTCGATTTTCAGGTTGAGGTTTTCCCCGAGATTCTTTTCTATCTCTCCATTCTTTTTCTTTTTCCATCTCTTTTTTCTGCTTTTTGGTTAAGAGGCGTTCTTCTTCTACTTTTTTGGGTTCTATTATTATTGGTTCATGTTGTTTTTTGGCAGCCAATTTCAATAAATCTTAAACAACATTAAATTAATAAAATAAAAAAATTATTAAAAAAAGGAAATTAAAATTACCATCAAAATTAACAGGAGGTGCAGCTTTAAATTTAGTTTTTTCTTTTTTCTTTTCATTTTCGTATTTAGGAGAAACTTCACTTCTTTCAGGTTCCAAGGATTCACTTGATTGATGTTTTCTTTTCCGCCTATGTGGTAAACTAGCTTCTAAACGCTCCCTTTCCAATGCAGCCATTACTTTTTCTTTAGTATTACTTAAATTTGTGCTAACTTTTCGCTTTCCCATCGCAAATTTATCCTCCTCCGGCATTTTATTATATTTTTCCATCATTTTATTATACAAAGCTTCAGATTCTTTTGAAACATACCCGTAATCGTCTTCATCAGGCTGACTGGGCCCCACTAAAGTCACCGCGGTGTTATCCGCATCTTTAGCATCCTCAATAACCGCTTTATTAGCAGATTTTGTTCTTTTAAGCATTACACTAACGCGTCTTGTTGCTTTTTTATCATGCGAACGTAACTCCAATAATTTTTCTTTCCGTCGACGAGCTTCTTCCATTTTTTGCTTTTCTTCCGCCTCTTTTCTAGCTAAAAATTTTTGCACATTCACCGACACCGTCTTGTTGCGTTGTTCCTTTTTCGGCGGGGCGAATTTCGTCGAGTAATATTGAATCTAAAATAAATTCGGTAATTATGAAATTTCTAGAAGCCAATCTGGTAGTGATAAGGGTACAATTAATGACAATACCTGCTGTTTTGAGGACCCATTTTGTTTCGCTGTTTGTAGGACTTCGCCAAAGTCCATGATTGAGGTCAAAGTAAGGTTTTAAAGAATAAAATTTAACGTAAAATTGGATTTATGTGATGGAGTAGGATCCTTCTACGTCGTACATGTCAACTTGGTGAGGAAGGACTGAAATAATATGAAGTTGGGTAAATGTCATAAAATGTCAAAGGTGAAAATCCCTAGATTTTAAAATTATTAAAATTCATTTAAAATTTTTATAAATTATTAAAAATATTATTTAATATAAACAAATTGCTTTGAAATTTTGATTTAACATTCACAAAACATAAAATTGTAATAATAATATTAATGTGTATACTTGGTTGCATATACATCATAATAAAAAAATATTTTTGAGTTATTCATAACCACCCCCAAGGTTCCCATTCTGTTAAAGATCCTTTCTCTCCCATATCTAAGCCATTTAACACAATAACATCTTTTTCTTCTAAAGAGAAATCGAAAATATCAAGGTTTTCTTGCAAACGATTTTCATTTGAGCTTTTTGGAATTGCTCCAATTCCTTTATCAATGGCATGTCTTAATAAAATCTGAGCTGGAGACTTCTTGTACTTCAAAGCCATTTCTTTAACAGCTTCATTTTCGAACAAATTTGGAATTTCGATCCTAAAAAAATCAACAATATGAAACTGGTTGAACAATAAATAATTTTTTTACTTTTTGTTATTTTCTTCATAATAAGTTTTTAATCCCGGTGATCCTAATGGGCAATAAGCAACAACAACTATGTTATTTCTTTTGCAAAATTCGACCAATTCTTTTTGTTGTTGGTACAAATGAAGTTCTAATTGTAAACAAGACGGTTGTATTTTACAATTTTTTAATATGTTAATTATTTGTTCTTTATTAAAATTGGATACTCCAATCGATTTTGATAAACCTTTCTCGTAAATTTTTTCCATTTCCTTTAAATAAACTAAATAAGTAATCAACGGTTTTTATCAAAAACATTTTCACCTTCCATATTTCTAAATGATTAACATTTGGATCCATGACAACATCTTCCTTATTTTGCGGTACATTTTTTATCCCCAATGGGGAATGTAATAAATAAAGATCAACGTATGATAAATTCAAATTTGTTAAAGATTTTTGAAAATAATTAAACACTTTTTCTTTGTACATAGCTATAGGTGGCAATTTTGTTGTCACAAATAAATCATTACGATTTATTTTATCACTTGATAACCATTCGTTTAAAACTTTTCCTATTATTTTCTCATTATCATATAATAAAGCAGTGTCTAAATGGCGATATCCAATGTTTAATGCTAAATTTAACGCTTTTTCTAATACATCTTCAGTTGCCTACAAATAAATTATTAATGAATTAACATTTAAAATTACTAAAAAAATTACCTGCCATGTTCCTAATCCCAAAGCAGGCATTGTTTTGCCACAATAAAGACTTAAATATTTCATATTTTACTTAAAAAAAAACTTCTTTTTTACACTATGTCTTACAAATCACAAAATTACATCAGATAGTTATCCAATTCAGTTCATTACATACAAAGTTCAGCACTTTATCTTTCAGGGTCAACAAATAAAACCATTTTAATGATAAAAAATTTAATCTAAACAGTCTTTATTTATTTATACAATCATTTAATTTTAATTTTTAAGCGTTTTTTCTAAACATCACCTGTTTGTTAAAAACCCTGTATTTAAATCAACGTCTTTCACACCTAACACATCATTTAAATACTCTAATCTTTCCTCTCCATAAATCAATGCCTTCCATTCGTTGAGATTCACAATTGCGACTTTATAGCCTAACATTTCTAAGTGACGAATCTTCATTTGTGCGCTTCCTCGGAATTGAACAACGCCTTTGGTATAAGCACGAGGTTGTAAAATAAAAATTGCAACTCTAAAAAACAATTTTTTTAATTTAACTTAATTTTAAATTAACTTTATACCTTGTAGTTGAGTTTTCAACGTTTGTTAATTGCCTTTTATTATCTAAATACACCACAAAATCAGCTCTATACCCATATGGAAGTGTAACATTACTGCTTATGATGTCTTTGTAATTCGCTAATTGAAAAAGGCTGTCCATTACGGTTTTATGATAAACACGATCATTATCACCTATAAAATTAATTCATTAAATCATGCGTTTGTAATAAACTTAATTTTTTACGTTTCTCATTTCTTAATTGGACGTATTTTTGATGAAACCACGGGACGTTTGCTTCGGGATAATCAAGGGAAACAGATCGATTTAATCGCATCATACACTGACGAACTCTCAATGGGTATGTATCCTTAAAATTTGACTAAGAACTAGAACATTATTATAACTGTTAATAAAAAGGGTTAATCTCACCTTAAAATAACAAGTTTCTAATTCGATATCGATTTTCTCTAAAAATTGTTCGTTAAAAATTTGTTTGATAAATGATTGAGGTAAAGCATTAAAAAAGGCTAAAGCTAAACATGCTTGTAAATAGGAGAGTCCGCCCAATCTTTCTTGGTCTCTAAAAATTATAAAATTTAATAAAACAAAATTAAATTCATATTAATTCGGGTTGTGGGATTTTTATAAGCAGTTTTTTTTAGTTTTAAAAACGTATTTTATTTATTAACAGTAATTAAAATTACACCCGCTAGATGACGGAAATGTTAAGCTTGTAATAAAGTCCCTAGATTTACAAAGTACCGCGGTTTGCCGCCATTTTGGCTTGAAAGTCAAGTGGGAAATTCAAAACTATGTCGTTCTATTGATAACATTACGCCAAACCTCCTTTCTTTTTTCTCGTGGTACTCTTAAGAGCCCTTGTTACTGCTATTTTTGCAATTCCAAAGGCAACAAGACGGCAATATTTTTGTAAATACGTGGTGAGATGCAGTGACAAGTTGTCAACCGCCATTTTGGCTCGAAAACAAGCGTCATGAACCGACTTTAGCTTGCAAATCGTGTGATGGGTCAATTGGTGTGCAGAATTTCTCCTAAACTGGAAGTCGAATAATCAAATTTCGAGAACAATTACTTTTTAAACTCAAAAACTAGGGAACTAGAATTTTCAAAAAATGTTCATTTTTGGCAAAATGGTGCCGATTTTACCTGAAATGTCATATTTATTGATAAAAACTTATTGTAAAAATGGTTGTAAGAGAGACAACTTTAAGTATATCGATAAAAGGCTACGTACTTCCCTAGAGTAAGATACAAATTCATAAAAAAAAAATTTTTGTGGGAGTTGTGCGCACAAATTGGAACAATGTAATTTTTAGAAAGAGACGTTTAAAGCCTTCTCTAATCAGCGATTCCTGCACATTTGTCCTTTCTGATGGTTATTCTCTTCTTCTCATTGGTCATGGAGTAAAAAAGATCCTCTTTTTAATGCTTTGATTGTAACTTTGATTGTTACAATGAGGTTGCTAAAGACAAACCTGATATAAATAAAGTTGTATTCAATAAAAAAAGTGCTATTGGAGTTGAACTTGATTATTATCTGCAGTGTCCAACACCTAAAAGAGATACTAAATTCCTGTGAATGGTGGAGTACTAAGTAATAGTAATATCAATGTTTTTAACCCATTGACTGCCATTTTTTTTTAATTGTAGTTTATCAAGTGGTTACGTTAAAATTTAAAATCCCCAAATGCGGATCGTGACAGTTAATGGGATAATATCCGGTCAAAGCCGGATATTTGGTAACCATACGCCATCCGACCGGATTTTAAAAAAATGGCCGGATAGTTACCGGATATCCGTTCCACCACTATTTTTTATCATCTATACTTGCAAATATATTTTATGCACTTCGTAAACACTACTCGTTTTTAACTTTCGCGGTTAAAATGTACGAAAAGCAAACTAAATGTCTAACTAATGTCAAACTGATGTCAAACTAATGTCAAAATACCTATATGTATATATACAGGTGTTTCTGTAAGTCGTGGCATAATTTTAATAAAATGATGATTCGTGTAAACATTTTTGGTCTAAACCCATAAATGCTTAAGATTCTCTTAAATATTTTCAACATTGTTTGTCCTAAAAATAAAATTTGGCAAATAATGCAATGTTATGATGAGAAATCCTTTAAAATGACTTTTGAAAGTAGGCAACCACGGGATCAATGCTATACAGGTGTCCACAATAAAACTTTTTTATTATGTCATAAAAAACCTTTAAATTTTATAACTGATTTCATTTTAAATACATTTTTCATTGCAATTTTTTTCTGTCAATGGATTCTCATTATACACAGTCTAAAATACATTTTAAACAAAAAGAAACAACATTTTTTTTTAAATTTATAGGTGGCATAGCCCTTAATATTAAAATTTCTTAAATTTGAAAAAAAATTACCTTATTAAAACGTTGGTGGTTGCCTCAAAAAACTTTTCTGAATTCTTGGGAATATATCCTAAAAAATAACATAAAAACAAAATTCTTTCGACGTTGAATCCAAGAAGATTCATTCCATTTTTAACAACATAATCCGTCATTATATCCATAATATTCGGTAATAAAGTACCTGTTGTGTATAAGCAATAACATAGTCCTAAAATAGTTTGTGAAGATACATTTTCATCGAATTTTTTCCATAAATCAGTATAATTTTGGATATTTTCTCGAGCCATAGCTGCTTTTAACAGTAAAATAGATTCCGAACTATTAGCGTTTTCCTTGAAATTATTTGTAACGTGATCCAAAACGTTATTAATCCTTTCCACTAAATGTTTCGTTAACAATACATTTTCTTCTTTAGCGTATTCTAAGCTTTGTGAAATATTTATACAGTCGATTGGGTTAAATTGATCTTTAAATTCTTCCATGCGATCGATAACTTTATTGATCATTTCAATGTCACGACAGTAAATTAAATGAAACGAAGCGATACTTGAAAAATAACAAGGTGTATGTCCGATTAATCCTTCGTTAAATTCCGTTTTTAAAAGACTTAAAAGTTTTCTTTCGCATTCAACGTGTCGAAAATTATCGGTTATTTCTTCAAAATTAAGATAACTGTGACAAACTCTTAATAAATTCGATTTGACAAAATTTTCGTCATCTAAACAGATTAAAATTTTATTCCAAATTGTTTTACATAAATTAAGATCGTTCGATTTGGTGATTAACATGATTTTTTGTAACTCCAACATTGTGCATCCATCTAAATCATAATCTAGGTATTTTCGGATGGTTTTGCGAATGTTTAATCGTTGAGATGGGGATGTAAAATACATAACGCAGGCTAATAATCTTAATCTTATATCTAAGAGTGGGGATAAATCTTCTTCTAGTTGTAGTAAATATTTACTCGCTGTTCTTTGTAGTTCATTTAATATATCACCGGGTTCGTGTAATTTATTAAAAACATCATAAACCATTAGTAATTCTTGAACGTTTAATAAATGCACGTGGCCTTTTAACAATTTTAAACAATCTACTAATAATTGAAGATTTTCATGTTTCCAGAAAGGAAAGTTTAAAAATGTTGCAGTTCTAATGATACATTTATAATTATTATGATTTAAATGTCCTTTAATGATAAGTTCATACACTTTTTTCTTGTATTTTAAAAGAATTTCATTTGGTACAAGAACTGCTATTGTAGCTAAACATTTATTTATATTTACTAAGTCATCAACAGTAACAATGTTATCAATTTCTTTATAAATAATAGGAATATATTGTTGAGTAGCATAATAAAAAGATAAATCATCCTTTTTATATAATCCAGACATAAATCTTGATAAATTGTCCATAGAAAAGTTTTCGGTAAAAAACTTCTTATTAAACTCAATAATTAAATTCTGAAACATTTCGCTTTTAATGCAGAAACCGATTTTATTCAAAAAATAAACTAAATAACTCAATTGCTCCACGTTAAACTTACTCCTATTATCATTAATCAACATCACAAATTCTTTAAAAACATCATTTTCAAACAACAAATTCGTATAATCAGTATTCATTTGTAAAAAAATCGTTTCATCCACATACGCATTATTTCTTGAGATATTAACATGATGATACATTCGTTGTAAATCCCAAAACGTTACAACCAACTGAGTTAAATGGCTCACCATAAGTTGATCTTTATGATTTTTTACAATACTTAAAGCAGCCCCAATCGACGCACATTCATTAATCTGTTTCATTAACTCATCCTTTAAATCGGGATACAAAATTTGCCTCTCATAATCGGGTTGTTGATATATTTCTTCATAAACTTCGTTTGATATTTTTAATTCCGTTTCGAAATCAAACTCATAATCATCATGAGTGTATCGTTTATTACTAATTGTATTATTATTATTGATTGAAGATAGTTTATTAGTTACAAAACCACCCTTTGTGACAAGACCATCAATGAAAACGTGCCTTTTTTGGATTAATTGTAACTTCGGAACTTCTAAAGAGGTAAAATGTTGATACAAACACTTCGTTCGACGCGAATAATTAAATATATTCGATAATTTCATTTTGAAACTATTTTCATCTTTGCACTTTGATAAATTAAGGTTAGAATTTTTTCGTTGAGGTTAGTTTATTTTGACATCTGTCACATGTTAATTTTTAGGTTAACTTTTTGCGCGGGAATTAATTAAAATGTTAAGAAACGTGGAAATTAAAGCGAAATTACGCGATTTAAAAGGTTTAAAAGAAAAAATTAAAAAGTTAACCGATTCAGATGGTGTTTTAATACATCAACATGATACGTTTTTTAAAGTTTCCCAAGGAAGATTAAAATTGCGACAATTTCAGGTTAAAATAAACAAATTTTTGTTGAACTTTTATTTTAAAATTACATTTTAGAATGGTGATGCTGAGTTAATTTCTTACAATCGCCCCGATGATGAAGGTCCAAAATTATCATCGTTTGAAAAGTGTGATATTAAAGCTGAAAATGTGGATGGTTTAAAAATCGTTTTATCTCATGCTTTGGGTGTTTATGGGGTGGTTAAGAAAACTCGAGAATTGTATTTAGTGGGACAAACTAGAGTTCATTTAGATAGTGTTGATGAATTGGGGAATTTCGTTGAATTAGAGGTGGTTTTGAAACCAGAACAATCCCTTGAAGAGGGAAATTTAATTTGTAACGATTTAATGGGGAAATTGGGGATTGAAGATGGTGATTTGCTCAAAGGAGCTTATAGAGATTTATTAGAAAATAAGTAAGTTTTGAAATGATTTATATTTATTAATTATACTCCATTATAACTTTTAATGGTTGTATAAATAAATTATTTACTAGCCCGGAAGTATTCTAACAAATATTCCCAATCCTTGAGACATAAACTGAGAATGACACATCTTATAACACACCAATAGGAATCTTAATATGTCAGGTTCTAAAGAGGTAAAATATTGATACAAATTCTTCGTTCGACGCGAATAATTAAATATATTCGATAATTTCATTTTGAAACTATTTTCATCTTTGCACTTTGATAAATTAAGGTTAGAATTTTATCGTTGAGGTTAGTTTATTTTGACATCTGTCACATGTTAATTTCTAGGTTAACTTTTTACGCGGGAATTAATTAAAATGTTAAGAAACGTTGAAATTAAAGCGAAATTACGCGATTTAAAAGGTTTAAAACAAAAAATTAAAAAGCTAACCGATTTAGATGGTGTTTTAATACATCAACATGATACGTTTTTTAAAGTTTCTCAAGGAAGATTAAAATTAGAAATTTGTGTTTGATGTTGTTCTGTTTAAAAAATTCATAAGTTTTGGAGATATAAGCCTCTTTAGGGATAATAACCAAACCTGCAATCAAATCTTTATTATTAACTTTTTGTTTTAAAATTTTAACATCCTTCAAAGTGACTGAAGATCTATTTTTGGAAATTTTATTAGCTATTGGAATGATATTAGTGAAGTCTCTATGAATATCATTAACAAGAGGTAAATCTCTGTGAATCTGTGACTCTAAAGTGATTGCCAGCTCACATTATTAATCTTCCTAGGGAAAGCAAATTTGTGGCCTAAGTTAAAAATGTTGATCTCTTTATCAGTGAATGTAGCATCATGGTATTTAAATCTTGAATAGGTACATTGAAATTAATAACATCGATCTTTTTAACATGGAAAAACTTCTTAGGAGATCTCTTTGAAGAGTTGTCACTTATATTATAATCAGGAATGAGTATAAAATTTGCGCATGACTCTTATTGTAGGAAAGATATCGATATTTTTAATGTTTCTTTGGCTACTTCGTTAATGTTTTGTATTATTATTTAAATAAGTAACAATAATTTTTATATGCTTTTTATTTGTATTTTTTTGTTGGAGAGTTGCTTTTGATTTTAATTTTGTTTTCTCTTTAATCTACAATACTATTTTTATGTTGTACTCTTAAGAGATTTATTAGAAAATAAGTAAGTTTTGAAATGATTTATATTTATTAATTATACTCCGTTATAACTTTTAATGGTAGTATAAATAAATTCTTTACTAGCTGGGAAGTATTCTAACAAATATTCCCAATCGTTGAGACATAAACTGAGAATGACACATCTTATAACACACCGATAAGAATATTTATGTCGGGTTCCTCTTAATAACCCAGCTTCAATTCCAAAAGATGCTCCTTTTTTCAGCCAAATTATATTTGCATCTTTTCCAATTTTGTTATCATCCAAAACGGTTACTTGCCCATGATACAAAAAATACATACAAGAATCAATAGCTCCAGCGTATTGTATAAATTGTCCGCCTAAATAAACGCGACTATCCAATTTTTGAACAACTTGTCGAAGGAAATCTTCATGGCATGAACCAAATACATCCGATTTATAAAGAAGAAAGGCGTAAGCGTGGTTATAAAGAGCGTCTTTTAAATACGGCGTTGCATTTTTTACTAAATTTGGGAAGTATTCCCCTTGATGTATAAACCAAAACGTTTTTACATAATTTAAAGCTTGATCTTTTATTGCAACGGATGCATTTTCGTAGTTTAAGAATTTGTGTAGGTGATCATACAGGTGGAAATACCTACATTTAATAACAAACCATTCGTAAAATGTTGAGAAAGTTCGTGCGGATAAAACGCAAAATAAATAGTTCATCACCAACATCATTATCGTGAACATTACATAAGTATTAGCGCAAATTGGGTAATATAAATATTGTAGCATTTGCGCGTAAGTTTTTACTAAGATAAACATGTAGCGTATATAAAGAGAAAATTTTTTGTTTGGGGGTAAATCGAAGATTTCTCGACAACTTGGTACATGCACGTTGATGTTTACCTCCATATAGCACATAAAACTCATCATAAAAACGCAACATTGAAGAAACGTAATTAACCAACCAAAAATATGAACCATCCGGTACCAAAATAAATTTGGGAGGAATCCCGTTCGTATTTTTAATAAATAATCGTTGAATAAAAAGATTCTTAACAATTTTGGAAACCTCAAAATAAGGAAAATTATCATTGTTGGATATCTAGCTGTGGGTATGTGAAAAACGATTAGATCAAAAGGCCATACAGTAAATAATCGAATCCAATTTGAAAATGTATTCTTCCTATTTTTCTTCCTAATGGCTGTTAAATCGCGTATTTTAAATCCGTATTTATTTAATACCGATGTACGATCCAACATTATTATTTCAACGGCGAAAGCGACATCACAAAAACATTGAATCGAATAAACCCAAGTTGAAAAATCCATGACTGTTAATTGATACATATCTGTTAAAACTCCGATATAACAAGGAAAAAATAAATAAGTTTTTGCGATTATATTCGATAAACGCGTATTTATCGACGTTGTCCCCATCATAAGTGGTACAGTAGCACTACTAATTTCTTTCATCCTCTTTAATTTCTTTAAAAACGCTTCCTCAGGATTCATTTTAATATAAAACAAACATCTATTGCGATATTTTTTGTATTCCTTTTCTAAATCGGGATAAAACATAATCTTTTGATTCCAAATTTTCGTTTTTACCTTCAAAATTTGTACGTTAGTCACTGCGATTACGCTAACTTTTAACCTGGTGAAATCTTCATCGGTTAAATTTCCATATAAACTCGAATTACCAAGCGAAGCCAACTTAGTCCCATCAGCGGCGATAACCTCCCCCATCCCATCAAGAAGAATATACAACTCATCATCAATATCATTTATAGTTTGAAGAAATCCTTTTTTAATCACAACATCGATCGAAACGTGTTTCAACATACTTCGATAAAACTTCTTAAAATCTTTACCAAAAAGACTTTTTTCATTATAAAAAAATTTCGAAAAATATTCCTCCAAAACGTCGGCTTTTAAAACGGGGTTAAACGGCGCGACGAATTTCGACATTCTCATGTGATTTCTTCGTTCCCAGCGTAATTTTTGCGTATCAATCATCGTTTTCGTTAGTTTCGGGCTGCGTACGGTTTGATTTAACCAACGTTTCAAATGTTGCATTGAAATTTGGGTTTCGATTAAATCGGTATCGCGAAATGAAAAGTAAGTAAAAATCCTACAAAAAATCATTACGTTTATGTAAAGCGAAAACACCTTCACCAAAGCTAGAACCATAAAAGAATGAGTCGATTTTATCGAGTACCCAATAAAGTGTCGATCGGTCATTAAAGAAGTTAAAACCCAAAGTAGGTACCAATGGGCGTCGAATAAGGTTATTTTATTTTTGTAGTGTGATGAGGCCAATAAAGAATGATCGTTACATTTAAATCCAATTAATGTTAGGTTGTTTGTGAGATAATTATTTTCATTTTCAGTTATGTTACATTCTAACAAAAATAACGTGCAAGCTAGGATGTTGGTTAAAATCAAAATTAACGGGATGTACAAGATCGTTGTTTTTCGATTCGTGGGTTTTAATATATCATTTTTGCAATAATTCAAAAATTGGATGTAACGGTGTAATTGAAGCAATCGCGATGAATTAAAAAAAACTTCTGTAATAACGGAATATTTATAAAAATATCTAACTGGTAGTATTCCTAATAAATCGATTAATAATCCGTGAGTTATATAATGAACCGATGTTTTTAATGGGTGCGTTACTAAAACACCATTTTCTTGATAATAACCAACATGCAAGCGGACATAAACATCAATTAATGCGGTTACATCGAGGAAAATAAGATAAAATTTTGACTTCGATTTTAGTATGGGGACACAAAATGATCCCAAACATGATAAGACAGCGAAAAAAATCCTTTGCGATTCCCAAAAATACAAAAATTTACCTTCCGGGTGAAAAGTTACTTTCATTAAAAAAAATCGTATAAAACTAAACATTAATAACGAATCGAACGGATGATAATAATCATATTCTTCAAAGCTCCCAATCACATTTACATTCCTAAATACTTTAAAACTCCAAGGTTTAGTAATATTAATAAGCATTGATTTAATTCTTATTTCTTGATGATTAAACTCGCCGAGATTATATAAACCTGATTTAATATCGTTGGAATTATTAATAATCTCGTTAATTTCTAACCATTTATCCCATTTTCGCTTTAAAATCGAAAGAAAATCACTCTTCAATATTATAATAACCACACAATTCGCTCTACATATAACGGTGTGTATTGAAGGCGTCTTAAAAATATTTTCTATTAAGTTTAGCTCCGATGGGACATCAATATATTTCATAAAATCTCCATCACGGTGGAACACATCGCAACTTCCCTCTTTAAGGATATAAATCGCGTCGGCGACATCTCCAGCTTGAATTATAATTTCATCGGAAGGATAAAGTCTTATATGTGCGTTTCTTGAAATTTCCAACAAAACATCTTCATCGAAAATCGACAAACACGTCGCTTTTTCGATATTATCTAAAACTAAACTGCAAATAACATCACCTTTGAAGTGTTTTGAGTAATAGATATTAAATTTCGAATCGTAGAAATGAAGAGTTGCGTTATCTAAAAATTGAGCTGTTAAATAATTTTGTAATCTATCGTAGGTTAAATTAAGCTTGTGTTCGCTAACAAGTTGCATCAATTGGAAACTAATCTCTTGCACATCCAAAATGTTTTTCTCATACAAAATTATTGATGCGCAAATTCCTGAAGTTATCCAAACCCACAATCCTACAATAACATATTTCGATATAATAAAAATCCAATGATCTGGCGATGTTATCCCGGGTACACTACTTGCATAAAAGAAAGCATTAACAAAAATTTCTATTGGATTCACCTTCAAAGTGTCATCACAATAATAACTCATTATAAAATAAAGCAGGTAAATCCAATAAAATCGAGTTAAAGTCAAAATTAATAACCACGATAATAATAAATTAGATTTATAATTTTTTTGTTGATCAGTAACGTATCTAACTAATCTTATTATTTTCAGCAACCGATTAACGTGCATCAAAACGATACTTTTATTATTTAACTTAAATAAAAAAATTGGTGTAAAAATCTCCATTGGAAACGAAGCTATCACCGCTAACCAAAAAGAAACAGTTTGAAACCGAGCAATAACATTATCTTTATAATTATAACAATACCCACTTCGATTTTTAATACTCGTACTTAAAATAACAAGAATATCGAACCAAAAAATTGCTGTCGCAATATTTTTTAACGGCATATACCAAGATGACATCTTTTCTAACACAAAAGCCGTATAAGGCATTGCAATTAATAATAAAATCGTAAATGTCATTACGACTCCTTCCCAAATATAAGCCCCAATAGAATTTGGTTGAATTAACATTGGAAAGGTACGTTTTATAAACAACCTTTCTTTATGTGTCGACAACCTATCATCAATCGCTAAAGTATCGAGATACAAAGCCGTAAATATTTTCATATCAAAATATTTCAATTTAAATTCATTAACTAAATGAATATTTTGAAATTCGTGTTGTAAAACCGAATTTTTATTGGAAGACATCAATCGGTGGAGAGTGTTTTTTAACCAACTCGTTGAAACGTATCTACTTTGCCTATCCTTGCTATTTCCATCGTGGTTATCCCACAAAGATTTCAATTCCATTGCGTTTCTGTATCGTTTTCGCACCAATTTTCTCATAAACGTTTGTTCTTGTGTAAATTTAGATAATTCTCTTTGAAAATGTTTCATTTTTAACACATAAAATTCGCAATAAGTTTTACATTGGACAACGGTCGTCGATTTATAACTGGTAAACAACGTGCTATCACCGATGCATGTACCGGAAGTAAATTGAAAAAGTGGCGTGATACCATCCACGTCTGATAAGACTTGGATTACACCTCGAACTAAATACATCATTTTATTTTTGTGTTGATTTAATCTATAAACATATTCCCCCGGAAAATAATATCTTACTTCAATCGCTTGGGAGATATGTCTCAAAAAAACGTAATTCATCCTCCTAAACATTCTTGAATGTATAAAAGCGGGGTAAGCTATATTGCACTGAATAAAGCTCCCTATAGTTGGGGGTAAAATTTTTAAACAATCCGTAGTACTTTCATACCCACCCCTTTGCTTCCAAAATTCCTCAAAGATATCATTTGTGTTATTCACCAACCAACTCATATTTCCATAACTTAAAAATCTTTGCATAGCCGTTGAATAACGCTGCCTAAACTCAACCCTTTGAGTATAACCATTAACGGCTCCCACCACAAAAGCAGCCATGCGCGCATTAGCAAAATACAACGAAACAATAACTCCTATCAACATAAATAATTCCCAAGTAACATCTCCAGGAACATCACTTTTTCCTCCACTTATCAAATTTAACGTTATATTTTCAAAAAGAACCGAAGCATCATACGGGCCAATTTTGATCTCATAAATAAGCAATCTGCAGTTGTAATATAACGCTTGAGTTAACGTTGTAACAAAAAAAGCTGTAAAAAGCAATTGTATCGCAACAACTAATCCAGGTTTTGTTAAATATTTCCCCGTTGATGAGATAAAACTAAACACACGAACGACTTTTAACGACCTGGTAACCCGAAAAACGCAATAAACGTTTCGTTCTCGTTGAGTTTCAGTTGGGATAATAAGATGCACCGGTAGTAACGATATGATTTCGAAAATTACCGTCAATTTTGATCGGAACCCCAAATTCACCTCGGGAATATTCAATTTTGGAACGCATAAGCACGAAAGGTACAAAACAATATCAATGCCGAATATTACGTCAATTACGATGAATAAAGCTAAAACAATACAAAACAATTATTATTGGAGTTATGAGAAATTATAATTGAGTACTTACGAACGTCTCTTTCATAACAAGCACTACGTATTGATCGATAAAGACTTTCTAAGACGCTAAAAACACTTCCCGCTATTATAATTGTACACCAAACTGATTCACAAGAAATCATTAACGCTCTTTTCCATATTGAAGCTGCTTCTTTTACATATTGAGGTTGAAAATCATATGATCCTTTTATATTTCTTGAATATTCAGATTCACTCATATTTATTTTATTGTAATTTGAAGTGACAAATATTTATTGAAAAAAAATTAAGTTACTATGGTTGTAATGTTTAGTTAATATGTTGAGTGCTACATTTACAACCAATACAAGACTAACACGACAATATATAGCTTTAAAGAACTAAAAGTACTATTTTTAAAAGGCTAAAAACAGCTTTTCAAAGATTATATACAGTTTGTAGAAGGTTACTGGCTGTTTGTAAAAGCTGCTACTGCTGGCAAATGATTAGACACTGCTAATGGAAGACTTGATGATGCTTGTTGAAGACGTAGAAGAGTAGGTACAGTTTGTAGATAATTATGTAGAGACAGTTGCATCCGGAGTAGATATAGGCATCAGTGGACCAAATAGCCGCATTAAATGGCTCCTCAGCTCGGACATAACCATTTTTCAATCAGAAATTCTTGCTACAAACTTCTGCATCGTTTTGAACCTAGAAAAAGGGACAGAAAGGTGCATCGATAAACATTTTCACGGACAGTCAGGCCGTCCTAAAGGCAATTCAGTCTTACACAATACTAAGGTTCATCAAGGACCTATATTTACCCTAACCCTTCGAAGGGCTTAAGTTAATAATAATAATGACTAGTTTTGTTCGAACTCTATTGGTTTCAAACTTGATAGTTATTTCTGACTGATAAACGGTGATATATTCAATGTATATTGTTCGGTTAAAATACTTTAAGTAGATGTTTAATAAATAATTAAAAAGTAATTTGGTTGTTGAAAATTTCAATCTGAAAATTTATTGACAATTCCTCTCTGGCGCCATCTCTTGGTACTTACTAAAAACTTCATACAATTATTAATTAAAGCAACTTAATTATTGATTTACTTTTAAAAATATCAAAAATGTAGAAGAATCATTTAACAACTATCAAACACTATACTGATGAACAAAATAAAGAATCAGATGCAAAATTTCAATTCGTTAATAGTGGATAGCGCCATCTAGTGACTACAAATAGTTTGTGCCGTACTCACGTTACATGTCAACATGGCTCCTAAGTACAAATTTAATATTTTTAAGTTTTAATCTAATTCTAATACTTTAATAGTGTAGTTTGGTTAGTTAAGTTTCAATGTGAATAAGTTAGATTTGGAAAGTGAGGTGTTTTATTAGGTTGGATCTGATTTGGGTATGAAAAAAATTTAAATAACTGGATTTCAGTGATTAATTAATTAATTTGATTTTCAGTGATTCCTGCGTTTCCGAAGATTAAAGTAGCATTTTCGTCGGTTAAGGTGAGTGGAGTTATACAATTAACTTTGTTATATTTTAATAATTATTTGTTTTAACTCATCTAACAAATTAATGTTAGCAACGCCATCTTTTAATTGACACTAGAATTAGAAAAAACGTTTGTTGGTAGATGGCGCTAATCAACGAAAATAAATTTAAATTCAATTTTAATCAAATATTTTATATTGCGCTATTTTAAATACTTTACATGTAATGTTTACATTTAAATTTACTATAAACAAACGCCATTTCGTAGAAATTTAACAAATAAAAATTAAAAAAAAACAGATTAAAGGAATATTAACCTTAAAAAGTTACTTTTTAATAACCGAAATGATTTTGAATATCTTAAAAACTAAAGATTATTTTCAAAAATTTGAGTTAATTTTTTAGTGCTGACTCTTTTTCACAAATTATTAATACAAATTCTTTGAACCACATCTTATCATCTTTAACAAAAACCGCAAAATGTACGGAAACGTAATAATATTAATAATATAAACATTTATGTCGACGTAAATAAGAAGTGAATAAACTGTATTGTTCTAACGGTGGTGACTATCCTTAAATTTTATGTTGAATGCGTTTATTATCCCAAAATAAATTCTTATTAAATGTACTATAGAAAAAATAAAGTAAAACGGTGATAAGTCGCTTTGAAAATCTAAATATTTGATTTTCAGTATAATATTTGCGTAAGGCAACTTCCGATATTCGCGGTGTGTCATTTAGGTTTTACCACACGGTTTGAAATGTTGCCCAGTTTTTTTAGAGAAGAATTTTCTCCGGTAAGAAAATTAAATAATTAAAATGGAATATAATAATATTAATAATAATTTGTGCTAGGTGTATCAATGTGATGATTTTTACAATGATCCCTTCGCTGAAGTATACACATTCACTCGAAGTGAAGACGAAGATTATAATATTTCATGTTATGATTTTGTAGAGAAATCAACGGGTTCTGAATCGGAAGTTGAGATTCCGATTAAAAAAGAAAAGAAAATTCTTCATAAAGGTAGACATTTTTATTAATGTATACTTTATTACTATATTTGTTTATTATTAGCTCATAACCCGGCAATTGTAAATTTTATCGTTGACCTTTTACACAATCCCAAAACAAATCCAAAATTGATTCGTTGGGAAGATATAGATCGGGGATTATTTAAGTTTATAAAACCGGAGGAAGTAAGTAAATTGTGGGGTAAAAGAACTCCGAAAACATATAGAGAAAAAGAAATGGATTTTGGGAAATTTTCTCGAGCAATTAGATATCATTATAGTCAAGGTAATTTCGAAGCTGTCCCTGAAAAGAAATTAGTTTACAAATTTGGGCCGAATGCGAAAGGTTGGAAAGATGGAATGTTAAAAATTTAGTCAATATTTATTGTTTATTTTACAATAAGCAATCATTTTAATTTATTATACTATTATAATCTTTTATATATTAAATTATTTTTATATTTTCTCTACAACAGTTTTTCTTTCATTAAAAAAAAAGATAAACTTACGTCATCATTGAAAAAAGGATTAGATAAGATACTTTTTAGTATTTACTAAACATATATTTATTTTATTTTCTGTTGAAACGCCTTGATATGTTACATGTAAGTAAATAAAATAATTCATGGTTAAACGCATTTTTCAAATAAATAAATCGATTAAACTAATTAATTTAAGAATATCACCAAACAACATTTTTAAACCTTCCTATTTATTTCCAAATTGACATCGATTCATCAAAAATATGAACGTTCTTGAATTATACTTATTTTTTTAGATGATTTTGATGAATATAAATCACGAACACTCATTATACAGGGTGGGACAAAATGCAATATCGTTCTCAGTATTCACCATACAGATACTGGGCATCTGATAACCCAGTAATGCATCAAAGAACTTTACAGCCTCAAAGCAACAGTTTGGTGCGATGTGTCCTCTATAGCCATTATTTGGCCCTAAGGATTAGCTGTTACAGTGAATTCGGCTTGTTATTTTGACATGTTGGAGAGCTTTTTGAGCCGCAAAATGGAGCACGACACAAAAGCCTTCTGGGTTAAACAAGATATGTTACTGGGAGGATGTTTCACTTCCCAAGATTTGAATCCGTGTGACTTTTCTGTGGAGATACGTCAAAGCTGAGGTAAACAAAGTTCGACCTTGAAGCTTTGAAGGTGGATATTGAAGACGTTTTTACTGGAATTTTACAAGATATACTGAGAAGAGTGGCCGAAAACGTCTTTGAAAGACTAAATACTACGATATTATTTCAAATCATAGACTGCATTCTGCCTCACCCTGTACAACAAACAAAAGAAATTAGAAACACTATTTACAAAAAATGTTTATAAATTTGTATCTACATAACATTACAAGCATTCGTATGGAATTTATGTCTATTTCCACCTCCGAATGAACAACACTGATCCTGAATTTGACTATTATTGCTATTTGTATCAAAAGGTTGACTTTGACTGTTTGGTAATGCAGAGTTTATCATACAGACCGCGATGTTACCTTCGCTAAGCGAATTTTTCGATTTAGTCGAACTTTTCAAACCAAAATTTGGCGATTTTTTCATCACACTTTTCTCTTTTTCTTCTTTTAAAACTGATTTTGTTTCAAATTTGGGTTTCTCAATCGATTTTCCATTTGCTTTCTCATCTTTTTTGTAATATAAACAAGTCTCTTTATGAATTTTATTTTTTTTTACAAATTTTGCAACATTTTCCCAACTTTCTTCTTTCTTTTCGTTCTTTTTTGATTCATTCTTTATTGAATCATTTTTTATTGTTTCATTTCTTATTGATTCATTTAATTTACTTTCAACATGATTTCCTAAAGTTGTTAAAGCTACATTGATAACCGAACCAAAAATATCACCAGGATCATTACCGGTCATAACAGTTCCTTCAGAATTCGATCTAGATTCTCTTGAACTTATCGTTTTTACCGGAGAACTCACAATGCTCCTCCTAGCAACATCTTGAAAAGTTATCGGTGAATATGCAACACTTTTTCCATCTTTTGGTCTAGTTGCGATATCAATTTGTGATGTTTTAAAGTCGTTCTTTGGTATTGGTGATGATATGAGGGGGGAATTTCTCGATGACCTTCCTTCTAACCAAAAAGTTTTCATCTCTCCTTTACCCTTCACTTGGATTTCACCTCTTTCCTGAACTTTATAAGAATCCGATAATAAATCTTTCGTTGATTCTGATATATGTACTTTCATCGCTTCGCTCGTCGATTCCATTCTTGAAGCTGTGTTAACACTATCGCCGAAAAGACAATATCTTGGCATTTTCAATCCTACGATTCCTGCAACTACAGCGCCTGAATGTACTCCAACTCTTATGCGTAGATGTTGACCTAAAATTAAATAATTAACATTAAAACTAAAGTTATTTAGTATTTGAGATATTTTATATATACCCGTTGATGGATCTTTTAAATCTGTGATTGCATTCACCATATCTAAAGCCATATTACAAACTTTCTCAGCGTGATTTACTTCTTTTTCGGGTGCCCCAGAAACGACCATGTAAGCATCTCCGATTGTTTCAACCTAAGCGTGGAAATGGTTTACTCCTTCCGGTTTTAATGAGTGATTATGGTTTTTATGTTTGGTGTAATGAAGGGTGCCGCTATTAAAGATTAAAACAAAACAAAACAAAAAAGAAAGAAAAACATATTAAATAAAATGTTAATTAACAAAACATAGAAATACATTTTAGATTAATATTTTTGGTGAAGGAGCCAGTTAAATACAACATATTTATTTGTAAAAATAAATTATTCTTTTAGCTGTCAAGGTCAACATTAATTTGGAAATATACTTTTAATTAATCAAAATGTTGTTTGAAATCTCGACTTGCTAATTGACCAACAACTGTTGTAATAAAACAATCTTTTTGAATATCAAAACTCAGTTCGCTTTGAGATAGTTCACCGCTTTGAAACGAAGAGCAACTTCGTGGTGAATACATTACATTCAAAATGCTGGACTGAAGTGTGGAACATTCGATCCAACGCTTCACCGACGGAAAAGTACGATAAATTTATGGAGAAACTGATCCGCTGGTTGAGTATAAATGGCTAAATCACGCCACAAACGGATGTAAATCATTATTTTCATACAATTCTAAGACTACTGCTTGCTGGAATTTTCTACGATTGAATTTGCAATGATGCGGGATCGCTAAAAATGCGTTTAAGTCTATGTTATGTTTGAAAATATATATTGAAGACCCAAGATGCTAAAAAGATTGAATTTCACGTACGATGAATTGTGGCAAATTTATTCCTTTATGTGCAAAGTTCGAATTATTTGAAACTTTACCCATATCAAATTATCGTCGAATGCATTTCTCGCTTCGTAATGTCGTTGCGAATCACCTCGGAGTAAGCTTTTCAAGGAACACAACCCTTTGCTGCGATTAGAAGTAGCACTATTTGGATATTCAACCTACTTCGTTTAGGAACTGTGACAATATTTGATAAATACACCATATCGCAAATATAATGAGTTCGCGAAGTAAATAAATAAAGTCACCTTATCTTCAAAGATTTGGTTATCTGGATACGCCTGAGCTGTGCATTTCTGAAAACACCGCACTCCGTAGTTGTACGAGGCGACAAAATGATATGTATGGATCGTTCCCCCTATAGATACTTACCCAGGAAGAACAATGCCTGGAAGGTCAACAGGTATCTAAATCTACGAAGGAGGATCTCGCTTAAAATACAATCCCATAACAATATGAGAAGAAAGACGTAGAAAATTTCCAAATTGTTTTCAAGTCGAATCTGAATTCATCATGCAGGATCAAACACTATTGAGATAGATGGACTTGGGAAAAAATCACGTGAAGAAGGCTCCAGATGTGGAAAGAGTAAAATTCTAAAATACTTGTCCGGAAAAATCTTTCAAAGAAAGTCGCTATAAGGCGAGAATACCAAATGGCTCGGATAGATGAAAGAATTCATTTGTGCCATTCCACGTCATTAGACGAAAAAGAGTTCTTTTCCAATGACAATACATCTGCTGCCAAGGATTAGTATAGTAAGACTTTAGTCTCTGCAAAGATTACAGCGGTTGATGGTTAGGATATAACCGTAGCCATAACTTTATAATTAAGTCTTCTCTGATTTGGGATATTTCGCAGTACACGAAATCTTTTATGTGTTCAGAAAACTAAGGAATGCTCTGTAGCTCAATATTAAAGAAATTATTTGTGGAAATAAGCATAATAAGATTAATGATAACAACCTTTGTTTTAGTCACTGTCTTCCCAAGAATAATATTCAAGAGGATTTAAATCTAAGGTGATTCAATGTAAGGTTAAACGAGATAAATGTGATATTGCGACATATTGAGTCTCGAGCAGTATTCCACATACAATAACATGATTTTTATTGAAGTGGTTATAAAAGTCACTAAAACACCATGGAAAAAACTATACCCAAATATAATTAAATCAGTAGATGAAGCATTAGGAAGAAGAGTGACATCAGGAAGTGCAAGACCCAATACAAAGCCTTAGTTCATACAAGAAGTGAAGGATCTAGTTACGAAAATTTACAGAATAGATCAGCTGCAATAACATACGAAAAATATGAAGTAGAAACTGAAAAACTCAAACACATGTAATAATGGAAGAAGCGATGCATGGTGGAAGGGCGTACAAGTTGTAAGTGCAAGTAGACGATGTAGTTTTAATCTATGGAAATTTCGAAGAACCAAGAAAGTGTTGTTAACCAGTTGAAATATCTCGGAGCAAATATCACTAGCAGTAGAAACCTGAAAGAAAAAGTCAGAACACACAGACTACAAATGCAGTGGTAGTATTGCGGTATCCCTGGGATGTAATGTACAGGTACAAATACTTACAAACAAAAAGTAAAGTAAGGATCTATGAGACGATTGTAAGACCGGTGATAACATACGTCATTGAAATAAGTATGAAAAACACCACAAGCAAACGACATCTCTGAACTACAGAGTTAACTACTGTACGAGCAATTTCTGGTTACCTTTTACTAGGCCAAATAAGAAGCGAGCACATAAATACTAAGACTGTACTTAAGGGATATTTTTGTTAATTGGTTATGATGGGTAATAACGCAACCACCCAATAGGGTAGTTGTGGACTCTGATATTAAATCGTCGATATACAAGATGCTCGATAAGAAGAGATACTTTGTAAATTTAAAATATTTAAACTGATTACATTCCTCTATAGACAAACACTGCCAAGTTATTCTATTTACACTAATTTCACAAAAACTTTTGTCCGGGTTGTGTCATCTTGAATCATCTGTTACGTAATCTTCTACTTCGAGATTTTAGAACATGCCGTAATTGTTGTCGAAGATTCAAAGTATGGCAACCTGGATATAGTTGTGTGCTTGAAGATGTTAAGTTAATCTTAGATAGGAAACATGAAGAAACAGAACTTAAACCTTAATTAGGTGCCATATAATGTAGGTTTTGGTGAAAGTGACGTTGTTGAAATAAGATGGAATATCCATGTGATTGTTTAAAACTTTAATTGCCAATTTTTGCAATTGAAATAATTTACCACCACAGAAAATAAGGAGAGAGTCTACCATACAAAAAATTCAGGTCATAATGGACCTGATATTGTCAACAAAAGTTATTGGTTGTACGCAAAATGTTTCTGCTTAGAGAGAAATTGAACCATCAATTATGGTATAGGATCTCATTGGGTTTAACCGAGTCTTACGTAGAAGTGATTCTTTTCTTGGAATTGTATCTTATTGAAATCCATTTGTTGAATAGATAGAATTGAGAACAGTTAACCTAGTTTGGTGAAGGAGCAGATTCTTAAAAAATTAAATGTGTAAATGGAGTAATAAATTAACAAACAAAAATTAAAGTGCAATTAATGATTCAGATTTATTTTAATTACCTTATAAACTTTATTTCTTTCCGTTAATGTGTCAAATAACGAATACATTCCGTTTAACATTGAAACAACTTCCATTGGACTTATCCTACTACAGATTTCAGTAAATGTTACTACATCTGAAAATAGTATTGATACGCTGTTGAACATCTAAAAAATGAAAAATCGTTAAATCGAACAAAAAGGATAAAATTTAAAATTTACTTCACAAGTATCAATGGGATTCTCGCCGGTTCTTAATCTATCAGCAACTTGTTTAGGAATCATCTGATATAATAACTCATCAGTTCTCCGCATTTCCTCGTCCAATTTTCTCATTGACTCTTCTAATTTTTTACTTTTTTGCTGTTCTTGATCTAAAGCAAGTTTTAATTCAACCGATTGTTGCGTCCCAGCTAACATTAAATCTCTATTCAATAAAAATTGTTTTAATAAAATGTTATTAAAATAATTAATTAATAAACCTGCTAAAATCGTGCATAGATAAATCATTAATATACAGCCCAGAATTAATTAACGAATTTAGATCCGGCATAACTGGAGTTCCTAAATACATCATCATCTTCCAATTATCCATATAAATCATTTGCCCTTTTAAACGAAGATTTTTATCTTCAGCTACGTCCAACTCATCGCTTAAAATGACCTCTTTACGCTCTTTATTATCGACTCTATCATTTAACACAGGCTCGACCGAAACGAGTTCAAAAATGTTATTTGTACGATTTAAAATCGTTTGAAATTTAAACGCAATTAACGGCCGAACCAAATCGAACCAATTCGTTAACTTTTTTCCTACAACATCTGGCAATATAACCATTAAAGAATTTCCAATACTTCTAACAACCATATCCGAACTATAAACAATAATTAATTAAATAAAATTTAAAATAAATCGCAATTACGAACCCAAAAACTATACAAAATGGAAAAATCTCAAATAAAACCGATGCGCTTATTGGTAAATGTTTCTCCTCACGTGTCATCGCCAAGCTAGCTAATGTAAAAGCTCTGTTATCGAAAGTAAGTTGAAACGTGACGTGAACCATGTCGAAGAGTAATTCCTCCCTGACCAACTCAATTTGCATTTCCTTATGGTAAAAATGGCGCGCCACCTAAATCGGGAACGAAATTTATAAAAAAAAATCACGCTTATTAAATTTCTTCGTAGGGATTTCCGATTGAAGTTCGAGAGCTTTTAGTCCATAACCGAAGGGGGGAAAAACGTGATAGTATTCGTTTCGGTAGACCCGCACGGAATCAACTTAATGGAACTCGACTATTCGACTGCGAAATCGTCGGCTTTGTTTTGCGATTTAAGAGCCTAAAAATACTCTTTCCTTCTTGGCGTGGTGTCGTAAAAAAGAAATGAAGAGAAACACCCGGTTGAGTATTAACTGAATGTAGAAAGCACGCGGCGTTGAGAAACTGTCGTAAAAAGTTTCTTGCTTAATAAAGTTTTATTAACTCTTTGCAGACATAGTTTTTAGGGAATTTTATTAAATTTTAAATAATTTAAAAATGTTAAAAACGTACCTCTCTTATTTGTCCCATTGTGTAATAAACAAACCCACGTCTTTTACTTCTATAGTGTAACGTGAGTCCTTGTCTTGTCTCATTTTCGCAAATAAAACTTGGCGCGCGCATTCTTGGGTAAGAAAATTTTAGATATTCGTGAAGATTGTCCAAGCCGTTTAGGAAATCTCTCATGTGACGCCCAAGGACTGAAAGAACGCGATCGTAACCGTATTGACTAACGAAACTGATGAAAAATACTCCCATTTGATCGAAAAATTCCCGTTCCGTTGTCTCTAAAATCTAAAAACAATCAATTTTAGTTTATATTAAATCAAATTTATGGGGGAAATAAATCGAATAAAAATAAATCAATTGTAAAAACTTGTATCAGAATGAATTTTGCAGATAAATTTGTTGGGTCTTATAACTCAACGAAGCTGTCGATCCAATTTATTATACTTGTATAGGTTCAAATTGAGCGGAAAGATAAAAAAAAAGGTTGAATGAACTTTCTAAGTTTTATTTAAAAAGAAAAATTCGTAAAATTAATTTATTTAAGTAGAAATAAGTATTAATTTTCGGAGTATGACATCGAATATAATATATATCCTTCCCTTCCTAATAACGTGTCAAAAACACACGAAATTGATCCGTTAAAAATAAATGGGCGAACGTAAATTTATGACACGTGTTAAGTATTAAAAAGGATTAAATTAAAAGTCGAAAACTAATTTCAAACTTTTCCTATCTCCAAACACGGTTGATTAAATTAAAAGCGTTTCAAGAATTTTTTCAAGTCGAAAATGATAAAGTTAAAATTAAATTAATAAAGATTTGTATTATATTATTATATCAGTACAGAAATAAAGTTACAACTCAGTTTTAATTTAACTACATAAAATATAAGTTTTGCTATCACAAAATTTAAGTGAAAATCGCGGTGTGGAATTTGGCGATGAAACTGAAGCCGAGTTGAACAAAGTTTAAGGTTAATGTAATAAAAGTTGTGAAAGATACGACAAAGTTAACTAGAATGGATACATTTAAAGTTTTTTTTACGTTAGCTAGAATAATAAAGTTGTATTTGTCTATTGCTGATTGTGATGTTGTATTCGCATTGTAATTTACGGTTTGTAATTACAAGGCGTGGAGTGTAAACATTTAATAGTGGGATGTTCAATGAAAATTCATTATATACATACAATATAATAAATACAATTAAAATAGACTGAAAAGGTTAATTTAATCAATAGTTGCATTGATATCTGTGAAACTCCTATACATTTATTATGATTCTAATCTTTCAAACACTTTGATTATTGGGAATGCAGAAAATACAGTGTGTTAATTAATTATCGTACCCGACGTCATCATTGCAAGTATGCAACCAATATCACAGTATTGGTATTGCAATACGCAAACTGCGTATGCAACACACTGTATGTATCCTATAGAAACTTGCAATTCAGAACTCAAGGAAGTAATTGAAATCTAGTTAAAATTGTTCTTTACTAACAATAAGTCAGTTATATAGAGGAATTTTCAACTTTTAGTTTTTGCCTTTTCCATAAAATTATGTGTATGTTAGATATGCTACTAAGTGCCTCATTAACTTTTCATTAACTTAGTATGCAACTTAAAGCGTGTCTTTAATTCCAGTTGGTCTGAGCTACTCAATAAACTCCAAGGCTCATGTTGTAGTGATACTGCTCTAATTCTGGTGAGAATCCTGTTATTACGTTTAAAGGACTCAAAGTCCTACGAATTATTGCGCAGAACGATATCTTAAAAGTTACTTTGATAGTGAATAAGCTTATCCCGTGAAGTTATAAACTTTTAACGAAACAGATGCGAAACTTTTAAAAAACCATTATTGCACATCATCATCGCGCTAGGAAGGCTTATAACCAACAGTTCTTCTAGGCAACCTAAGTGTCTGTTGCTATAGCATCTTGAGTAGTTTTTCTATCAGTAGAGTTACCATTATACAAAGTCAAAATCTATGATCAGATGTAACTAATGTATTGGTGCTAACAAAAGTTGTCTGAAAATCGTACAACTCTTTTCTTGCTTATTAAAATTGATATTTACCTAATTCCACTTATAGGTGTTATTTCCAAAGATACATATTTTCTGGTATTTGGCTATAACATTTTGTATGCAACGACAGTTTACGTAAATCACTATGTTACGCATTAGTGTAAAAAGAATCATCTCGTAGTACTTAATAGCTTTGGCAACAATGAATTGTTTTATAAAACTGTTTCATAATGACGTCCCATAATGACCCGGTTACCTTCCACCTTGTATACATTCCCTGGTGATTATCCTTTTCAGAGCGACATTCTTAACTTTGAATTTAAAGATTCTTTGTTTAAGATTATTACACAATTATGCATAGTGATAATCCATTATCAGACTAATAGATACTTTGTGCTAAAATAGATTGGCTGGTGCACGTGATATTGCTACAAATCTTAACTTCCTTATTAAGATTGAAAATAACATCTGTGACAAATTTAATAGCGACTCATTTCGCTTGTTTCACAGAAGACGACAACTAACTCATTCTAGTATATGGCCAAGACATCCACTGTACAGCTACATATTACGCATACTACTCATTTGTGTGAAAAAAATCTCCGTATTCTTGGAATATTATTGATTATTAGCACAGTCTACCTCTAACCACGGTTGTCAGCTTAAAAATAATCAGGTTGACTTCCCCTCATCCTCCCTGCTAATAACAACTTTTAAGCCACATTATTTCCTCCAGTTCAAAAATTCTTCGTTTAAGAGTAGGTACTTTGCTGCACAGCGCAGAGGTTCGCAAGAATCATATTAAAGCCTCGGTTATTTAGTAGGCCTAAGTATTTGACAGCTCTGTCTTTAGGATTCCAATGAAGTTCTGTGTTATTGATTACAATGCGTGTTGGATTTCGGTAACGCCGTAACGTAAAGATCTTTGATTCACATTTGTTTTTATTCAGGTGTAAGGACCATTTAGTAAGCCATTTGTGCACGTCGTTAATAGCATCTTGTAGCTGTTGTATAGCTTCTTCCAAATCACTACCTTGGGTCATAATCAACATATCGTCAGCAAACAGAGCTTTTTCATTGCATCTTTGGCACGGTATATCATACATAAATATATTAAATAAGGTTGGTGACAATATACCTGCTCTAATACATCTTGTATCTGAATAGGTACCATTTATTCCCACAGAAAAAATTCGTTCTTGAAGATATGACATAAGTATTGCGGTAATATAGTCATCTAGACCTGGATGCAATAGTTTGAATTTTAATCCCTCCGTCCAAACTGTATCAAAGGCTTTAGTTGCATCTAAAAAGGCGATAGTGGTGTATTATTTTCAAAACCTTTCTCATTGAATTCTGTAACACACCAACTGGTGGATCGCTGAATTTCTTTCCATCAGCTGATCTTGAAGTCTTCGTATTATTACTTTTTCAAACAAATTTGAGAGAGTCGGTAAGAGGCTTATAGGACGGTAATTAGATATAAGACTGCTCTGTTTTCCTGGCTTGGGAAACATTAGTATCTCAGCTTTTTTCCAAGTCACCGGAAAGTAACCAATTTTTAAGCATGAATTAAAGATATCAGTTAAGTGGCTAGTAATATTCGAAGGGAGGTGTTTTAAAATTAGATTTGGTATAAGGTCATGCCCTGGGAACTTTCTATTGGGTAGATTGTTAATTAAATTTGTTCAAGATAATCAGCAAAAGCTTCAGTTTTTCCTTCATCAGTAGAGAATTGATTTCCGTCATGGGTAATTATAGAAATTTTTTCGTGCCTTCTCAGTATTTTTCTTATTGTTGTCCACATTGCCGGATCTTTATTACCCACATTGTTTAGAAGATTCTGATAATTAGCAATCCGATGGGATTCTAAAGCTTTAGTAATGGTATGAATCAGTTTATTCAATTTCTGCTTTACGTCAGGATTACGTGTTTTTTGCCAATTACGTCTGACCCCTCTTTTTTCTTTGATTAGGTCGAGGATATATTTTTATATGTGCTTTTAATTAGTATCACTACACCGCCTGAAGCTGTTTGAGAGTTTCGGTCAAATCTATAGATATTAAAGCCAGGTATTCGGAACTCTTTTCCCAGAACTAGATGAGTTTCGGTGACACATGCTAAATCAAAATTATAACGAGAAAAAAAAAGACGATACTAAATTTTATTGCTTCTTCAGACCATTCGCATTAAAGTTTAAAATAGTGATGTTTTTGATTTCGTTTATGGGGAGATTAGGCCCCCATAATTTATTCATTCAATAAGTTATTTGTAATTTGCGAAATTAGTGGTGTAATGATTTGTTTTAGGAGGTTCATGATTGATGTAACAATGGTAGACATTTCGGAATTATTTGATGTTTTAGGAGGTGGATTTGGAATACTGGTGTTTTGGGATGGTAAATTTTGTTGGGTTATGTTGGCAAATGACACATTATTATCTGATGTTCGGAAAGTGGATCTATGAATTGAGTTAGTGGTAGTTCTTCTCATCTGACGTAGGTGTAGTTGTTGTAATTCACTTTATTTAATAGTCTTGTAACACAAATTATAGGTAATGAATCAGTAGTCAATTCATCTTTTATTTCAGTGTCTGTTAGAGATATAGGAACATTATGCAACACTACGGCCAAAGTTCTCTTTGTTGGATCTTGGAATGTGTGAAATTCAAGTTTTTTCTTTGTATAATACTTAGTTAAAGTTCTATAATTGTTTATAGACGTAAGGTTGATTTTTAGTGAACTTTTCAGTGGTTAGCGCTTTGATATCATTGATAATTTCTTTATGGTTATGATTTGTTATGTAGAAAGATAGGAGGTACTTTGGGGCTTTTTTGGGAATTATTTTCCAAAGGGTTGTGATTAATATCATCACTGTTGTCTTCACTAGCAAGAACATGAAACCTATTTTGCGTTAAGAGATCTGGATTAAAAGAATATCGTTTATGAATATCATCTTCTAGAGGTGATAACTGATCAGATCCTCGTTTTTCTCCCATACTTGATTCGGTCTATAATTATATATTCGATATATTTTCTATCGATGATTTATTATTTTTGTTAGATTAATATATAAAATTGTAAACACGGTTGATTTCGTGAAACGAAACTGGTTATGAGATTCGCAATACTTGTTTAAAACACGTTCACTCACTTTGACCGTCCGCATTCGACTCAACTCTGATTCTAATAAGGCTGATATGGTCCCAACTATAAAGTAATTCCCATCTTTTCCAATCAACACTGTAAATTAGAAACTAATGAACTTGGCAATCATTAATTCATTTTGATATGATACTGATATATTGATGACCGAATATATATCGGGAACAGAGTGTGATGCCTGTTCTATGCAACGAAATTTGACATAAAAGAGCACATTCAATTCAAGAACCTACATGGAACGGTACAATTAGTTATGTTTAAGCCACCGCAATTACAAAAGTGTCACAACCTAACGTCGCCAACATGTGATCGAAATGCATTCTTTCCAAAAAAATGTTGGTATCACGTCAGCACACAATACATCCCAGTAAATGTTTACAATACCCTAAAAAACACTCAAACTATATTGTAAACTGTTCTATTCTGGCTAAAGAAATCAAAAGAATGGTTTAAAAATAATAAATTAAAAAAGTGAAAATAGAAAGACCATTTATGTCTAATAGCATACCCTGATTTAAATTTTGCACTATTTTTATTCGGTGCAAGTGGTAGCTCTGAAATTTGACAGCTGTCAATTATTGAAATTCGCAGGAATTTAGGAGACGAATCCTTTAAGACATGTGGTTCAAACAGGACGGCGTGACCAGCCACAACGTCCGTGAAATAATTCATTTATTGGAGGAACGATTTCCGGATAAAATTCCGATGTCAACTGGCCACTGAGATCGTGCGATTTGACCCCGTGCAATTTCTTCCTTTAGGGTTTGGTGAAATCTCACCTTTATGTCAATGCGCCACGAATTATTTCCGACCTCAACGATGAGATCCAACACTTCATTGGTGACTTGGAATCACAACTCTGCAGCAACGTCATCGAAAATTTCATGAAAATAGTTACAATCTGTATTCAGAACCGGTTATTTTATTCCATTTAATCGGAATATGTCTACTTTTAAATGTTTGATCTACAAAAGCCGTAGATTTGAAAAATGTCAGCAGAGAAGCAAGAAAAAAGACATAAAACATTGAAGCCTGCAATTATCTAACTATCATTAATAATTAATCAAAACATTTAATGAGTTATGCAGGTTGACAGCAAAATCGAAAATTGTTGAAAAAATATACTTTACAACAAATTGGCAATAAACTCAACTTCGCCATTTCAACGCCAATAATGCAATTACGAATGTAACTGTCTTACTGACTGTCTTAGGCGTATAATATTTGGTGATGCCAAAAAGAAAATAAATAATCAGAAAGATAAGATCAGATCTGAGATGGATTTATTAGTTAATTTGATTAATAAAAGAATTTCTGTCAAGTTTAATCTATATCAAGATGATGTTGATAATGATTACATACAATGAATTAATACCACGATGAACAACAAAAACAATTAATGATAAAAACCCAAAAAAATTTTAAATAAACTTTGAATGAAATTTTTTTTACTTTTCCTTGTTAAAGTTGACAAAGTTAATTAACTAGCTTTAACAAAGTTCCAAGCAAAAATGTTTTTGTGGCATTACAAATTTGTTTTCCCTTCTATATTTCCACAAACGCAACGCGAAAAAGGTCGAATTTTGGTCGGATAAATGGATTGTTTTAAATTGTCTCCCAAAAGTTCTTTTTATTTTTTTCCTTTTCTTTGGGTATCGAGGGCATGTGTTTCCAAACTCTTCCTGATCAATACACGCGCATAAAAAGAGATAAAAGGTATAAAAACTGTCCTAAAAATGCGTGGGAACATAAAAAGTGTGTCCTTTGGGAATGTTCCAAAAGAAAATAATTTATGATATTTAAAAGATTTATTTAACATATAAAATTTCGTTTTTGATTGTTCAATCGGAATTAATTAATTTAATTAATCTCACCTGAATGGCTTTCTTTGCAAGTTTTGGGATTAAATTTTCGGGGTAAACTTGATGAGTACTAAAGGTGGGTTGTTCCACATTCGCGGCTCTTCGTATTTCTTCCCATTTTTCCTCTCCATACGTCTGTTTGATGTATTCGGACATATTCTCCAATATTAACCCGTACATTTTAGCTCTTAACTGTCGCCCCTTTTTTTTCTGAAAGAAAGACGATCGAAAACATCCATAAAAAAGCTTTAGCTTTTATAAAGATTTTCTCGGGAGAGATTTTTTACAACGTAAACTGATACTATTCCTCGTTTTAAGTATAATGATAGGGATATCAAATAAAAAAAAAAAAAGAAAATTAAAATTTAGAAACTCATTCGTTTCGATGAGAAAGAATACAAAGGATTTTAAATTAGGTTTGAGCTTATTTGACTAAAGTGGATGAAGTCATTTCTGGGTTTTGGTGTAAATGCAAATTTACGGTGAACAATATCTTCTCAATGTCACGATACTTTTATAGGGAATGAACGGCGACGAAGATTTTCTCTGTCCCGAGAAAATTTCATTTGTCAAGAAAATCTTTGCGATCCTTCCTTCAGGTAAATTCAGATAAATTCTTCTAATTTTAAAAGTACCTGTATAAAAATAATTATGGTAATGCAACAAAAATATAATTAAAATGAGGATATAATTAAACAGTAAGAAGCATTTGACGTAAAACATTGGTGTGAGGTGTGTATCAACAACGACGTTGGAATATAAAAGACTTTAAATGAGGAATTTTTCGTATACTCTATGTGTGGTTAATTGAACACCTTGCGTCATACTTTACGTCTTCTTTATCACGTACTCGCAATTTAAAATCATTTTTGGATTCATTCTAAAAATAAATTGGATTCTTCCTTTTGCGAATGAATACGCTTATAAATCAACCACTAATAATAATCGGTTTATAATCGGCACAATTACGAGCGTTTCCGAGTACCATAGATAGAGTACCAAGTGGTTTTATTATCAAAAAATGTTGTCAGTAAAATCGATGTCAGAGCAACAAGTACTCAAGCAGATTACGTTTCAGTTTGAATCTGCCACAATGATAATGAACTCTGGAAGGGAGAAACTCCAACCGATTCTTTACCCTTCAGACTTTACTAATTACTATAGAATCCTTAAAACATTTACCAAAGCGAAAATGAACAGCTGAATCGAAATTGATGAACTTCCCCAAACTAAACTACTCTATAATGCATTACACAAGAGAAGTTTAAACACTTACCTTATTAACTTGACGATTTTTGACACAAAAACTTGTTAACTAAGTCGAATTTGAAAACTCGTTAAAATGTGCATTTTTGATGTATCTTTAATTTACCGCAAAACTTTTTTTGATTATTTTTAATTAATGAAGCTGTTGGCATCGCGAACTTTACGACTGAACGCAAAATTAGACGGCGATCACACCAAGAGCTTTCGCAATACTGGATCATCCTGAAAGGACTACTTCAGGAGGACGCAGGATAAACGAACCTGCGCTTGCGCTTAATCTTTTTTTCGTACATCCAACAGCTACAGGTTAACGAGGTTACGATGTTGAAAAGGGAACCCCCTCGGTGTTGTTTAAAATTTTTAGTATTAATACGTGGAATGTAGAGTTATTTTATTACGAAGTGAAATGCATCGTAATTCAAATATAAAAAAAAATAATAGAAAAATATAAAAGAACGAAAACTTAAACTTGATTTACTGCTAATGCAAAATAATATTGAAGCCTTGTAGTATCATAACTTATAAGTTTATAAAGGTGATTAGAATTCTGTTGGGAGACTCCCTGTTTTAGATTTAATACGCTTGGTAGTGACAGGTTGCGGGAATTCACTTAGAACCCATCCTCGTTCCTATCTCCGCATAAACCAGAGGTTTCCAACCGTCTTTGGACCTTCCCTTTTGCAAGAAATTATATTTCCAACTTTCCCAAGTATAATAACACTCAAAACTATGTTAAACTTAATACTTAATTAAAATTTTATTAATTTTAAGTAAAACAAATGTCAACTGTTCTTTCTGCCTGGATTCCATTTGAAGAGGAGAAGTTTTCCAGAAAAGTAGCAAAAGATTTTTTGGTTTTGGCTTCACTCCAACACCAAATTCATTTCATCAAATAGTTTGTACATATCTAAGAAGTCAAGGATATCATGTTTGGACAATTTAAGTTAATAATTTGCTTCTATTCTTGGGTAAGAATATTTCTTCAAATTCCTCAATCTTCAATTTCTTGCCTAACTTCTGTCTTCCACATAAGTAGGGAAATGTGTTGCATGAAATAACTTTTTGTAATGATTGTGTGAAAAGTCCAAAATTACCAAAAGCCAAGAAGTTGCAAACAATAACTTGCACTTCTTGTTTAATTAATTATACAGAGAGGAAACACAACAAAGTGTTGAGTAATATACACGAACACGCGAATATAGTTGGAGAGGAGGTTTTTGTAAGTAAGATATACGATTATAAAGTTGAAAAATTTTCATGAATGCCGTTAAGATTTTGAATAATTTTTTTGCAAAGAAAATTTGTCAATTTAACAGTAGTTTTAATAGAGTTAAAATTAATAACAATGTTTGCATGAGCACGAATGATAGCAATACCGCCAGACGTTTTTCCAAGAACTCGGATAACTAAGCTGAAATTGCCCGAGATTCTGTTGATTTAACAAAAAGATTTAATAAGTTTTACAAATATTAGTTGGCAAATTTACTACTCATACAGAAAAATGGAAAGATTATGTATTAAAAATATCCTTGAACCAAAAATCATAATAATAGTAAATAAATGATGTTAAATTAACGACAAAAAAGTTTTGGATATGGTATTCACTCCAACCCAAGATATTGAAAGTGGCCCAAGATTCCGCCACAAAATCATCAAAGTAAAGCTTTTTACCTCCTTTTTCCTAATTTGGTCTCACTTTGTGGTGTGGAAAACCTACCCCAAATACTGCAGATCTTCCTTTTTTGAAATCAAAACAACGAAGATATCATACTCGAAATCCAATCCTCGCATAGATTTACAAATGCCAAAAAATATTGAAGAATTCATGTTTGATGCAATTTTAGCATTCATTACACAGTACTTAATAATGTCCACTTTTCTTAGAAGGACACATTGAGTTGGGTTGGTGTTGTGTAGAGGTGATGCTTGCCTCCGTGTTTTATGTTAAACTCTTGCACATTTCCAAATGGTCCTAACAATCCGTGATAGTCAAGAAAATCAACACCAACTATGGACTTAGACACTCAAATCGCAATCAAACGTCATGTGTTTCATGTACATCATCTCCCATTATGTTTTAATATTATTGCTAGAGATAGTACACCCGTAGTGGTTTATTCTATACGATGTTTTCCCTTTAATTTATTGTACTTCGTTTTATTAGCGCCGCATAAAATTTGTTGTTTTAAGACCACTCAAATCTAAACGAGCTTAGGACACTTCCTAAGATACCTTATTCTTTCTTGGATGTATTTAGTGTACAGGGCGTTCTTGCCATAATATACTTCGACAATGGCTGACTTTTTCAGCAAAATTATTGAAAACTTAAAAACATATTAGCTTACTTTAAAATTGTATCCATGATATACTCAAGCCCAGGTATTCGCATTGCCAAAGAAGTGTAGAAAAGACACTCAAAACATGTTAACCACTTGGATGCAAGGCAATTATGATTCACACTGAAGTGATATCAAGCAAACTCCCAATAAAGTTCTATTAGGTGTAAAGTGCAGATAGACTTGTCATAACCACATTATTTCACGCGAAACATCGTAACTGAAAAAGACTTGGAGAAAGTCTTAACCAGATTATAGCAAATCGCAAGGATTTTACATTGCAACCCCGCTTAGGTGGATATAGAGACAAGTCAGGTCTCTAATAACTGTGTGAAATAAGCATGCAACTCTGAAATAAGCAAGTGCGCAGGATAAGAAATCTTTTGACAAAAAACTACTGGTGATCATACTTGCATAGAATGAAGATGTGCCATCCAAAGTCAATCCTAAGTACTCAAGCGATGAAGCACATGAGTCTAGTGTGCAAAAAAATGCGTAGCATTAATAGACGCCAATTTGGTAAAGAAATGCTGCAGCAATACAATCAATTGAGACCGGGCAAAGATTTCAAAAGTGGCTGTGCAAAGTTGTTCAAAATGTTTATGCTTCAACAATAAAATTCTAAATGCCACTACAGATTACTCTGAAGAAATACAAAGAGTATCGTTTAATTTTTTCATTCTCACTGTGTGTTTTGCAGATTTCGTAGGAGATGCGTTGTTGTCGGCGGAGAAATTTTCTTCAGTAGGTAGTGCAAAACTGCTTCTTATTCTTTCTTTTCCCCGGCATACCCCTATCCTGATCTTGAACCAATCTTCTGGAAGATCTTTGAAGTACTGCATAGGCTACTCTCGGCTGGCCGCAATCTGCATTACTGTCTCTTCCCATGTTATTCTCGATCTCCCTATAGGTCGTCTTGGCGCGTCCATGTATTTTTATGGTTTCCTCACATGTTCCATTCTTCTCCATCATCCTTTCGACCGACTGCATATTGAGCTCTTCTCGAATACGGCTATTTCGTACTCTATCCCATAGTGTCCTTCCTGCAACCTTCCGGAGATATTTTATTTGGCCCGCATTAACTACGTTAAGTAGTTTGCTACGTGTAGAGAAAATTTTAATAAAACGCGTAATGTAATGTATTTTAAAAGAAAATTTTATATAAAACGCGATGTGATTTTAAATTCGTTTGTATTATTTTCTTTTCATTTGATTGAATTTCTTTAATAACGCATTAAAAAACCTCAAGAGATATTTGAAAATAGTATTAGCAAGATGAAATGTTTTATTCATAAGTAAGAGAGAACCCTGGCATTGAAATTGAATGGAATGTTGTTTAATTCATATTGACGCAGGTAAATACAGATCGATTATGCAAATTTAAAGCCTTTACAGTACTAATTTGGAATTAGCGTCTTTATTACCTATCACTTAGGTGTATTCTATTTTGATCCATTTAAAATAAAATTTATAGAATATTCATCGCCCATTTCGGAAATGTGTATGTTATTCATGGAAAAATTCAATTCCAGTTACAAAGTGGAGCTCCTCCAGGTAGAAGCTTCAAGTCACGTCGTTATGTATTATAGGATTACATCAATAAAATGTAATAAAAACGATTCTTTTTAGGAAAACTACGTTTTAGTAAGCCAAATAGACTAATTGTAAAGTTGTAATTAAGAGGTAATGAATTCACAAATTAATTTCCGAGTGTCGATTAAATAAAGTTTGGAAGCCTTGAATTTTGGGAATTATGTTTATTCACGCGATCAAATTTTCTTAAAAATAAAAATAAATTTCATATTGTTTTGAATGGTACCCTTTTAAATCAATATTCTAAACGAAATGCTAAAAATCCATTAGCTTATTGCCCGTCTTAATTATTCCCCGGCATAAATTGATGGCGTTTCCATTGAATTCATGTCTGGAATTGAAGCCCAATATCTTTGTTTAGATCACGCGAACTTTTCGCGTGCCCCAAGACGATAATTAGGAGATATAAGGTTCTACAACCCCCCGAAAAAATACTATAAAGATGACACACTTTTAAAAAGAAACAAAAAGAAATTTTATTTAATTATTTTGTCTTTGTTGGCACGGGACTATTTTTCGGTTTATTTAACTGACAAAGAAAATATTGTCCACTTCAAAAGCACGGAGACGGATTTATTTGAAATAGACGGATGAGTTAATCGAGTCTTGAATAATATTTGGTCAGATTTATTTTTATCGAAATCAAAATAAGAAATTATACATTTCTAAAATAAAGATTTATTAAATGTATCACAGTTGTACATCGGCACTATAATACAAAGCGGTCTATAAACAAAAAAAAAAGTTGTAGAAAAATACAATTTGAAATCTGACTACATTAGAAAAAAAAAGTATGGAGCTTTTATTGTTCGTTTAAGGAATTTATTTATTTTTTAGCTTAAGTACGGTAAATGAACTACTTAAAGTTGATATAAAAAGCTTTATAAACGAAAAAATGACACTCATTAGCTTACACAATACAAATTGCTCAAAACGATGGTTGTTTAGTTTACGTTATTCGGACATTTAATGCTTAAATTTTAATTAATCTCTAATTTCTTATTCGCAAATCTCTAATCGTTATCAAAATGGGGATCGAGTCGAATTTTCTTTAGTTACACGGCTTCCGGGTCGAAGAACAACGATGAAAATGCAAATATTAGAAACACAATTCCACCAATTATTGTTACTGAAAACGAAAAATTAATCCTTAAAAATTTATAAGTAATAAAATATAATAATTTACCTGTTCTTACTGATATCCTTTGAGCTATCATTCGCCCACCTAAAACTGCAGCCCCTGTACACACCGAATGACCCGCGATACCACCGATAATTACTCCATAAACATCCTAATAAAATTGAAATAAAATTTTTTGTTATACAGCCATCAATCTTTATCATATCTTTTCGATTCAATGACACTTTTTAAAATGATTGATTTGGAAATAAAAAAAACTATTTAAAATTTTTAATTACAGTAAAACCTCCATATAACGGATTAATATGGATTAATAATAATAATAACGGATTAATAATTTTAATGCACACAAATTCGAATAGCTATCGACACCGTTGCGTTCTGTATTAGTTAGTTCACTTCTATTTCAATTAAAATACACTAAGTACCTACAACATTATAGTGTTAGTTGTACATAGTAACAGTGCACTAGTGTAAAACTAGAACTAACACTAGACCTAGAACTAGAAACATTCGGGTTTAGCCGTGCGTCTAAAGAGAAATTAGCAATATGTAGTCTAAAGACGCACGGCTAAACCCGAATGTTTCTAGTTCTAGATCTAGTGTTAGATCTAGTGTTAGTTCTAGTTTTAATTGTTATGTAGCGCTAGACCAAGAACTAGAATCATTCGGGTTTGTTTAGCCGTCTTAAGAGACGTACGGCGAAACCCAAATGTTTCTAGGTCTAATGTTAGTTCTAGTAACAGTGCAAGTGTAAAACTAGAACTAACACTATACCTAGAACTAGAATCATTTGGGTTTAGCCGCACGTCTCTAAAGACGGCTAAACCCAAATGATTCTAGGTCTAGTGTTAGTTCCAGTTTTAATTGTTGTGCAGCGCTAGACTAAGAACTAGTATCATTCGGGTTTAGCCGTCTTAAAAGGCTCGTGGAGACATGTTTAGTAATTTAGTCGAGTAGCGAGTAGCCACTTACCGCTAGAACGTTTACTAGATTGCAACTGTCCACATTTAATACGCTCAAAACACTTTAGTGGTACTCAAGATGAGCGTCGCTGGTCATCGCGCGCAATACAATAATATAAGAAATATAATTCATATGCTTATAGAGGAAATTGAAGAAGTGTCTGAAAAACTTGATAAGCGTATATGGGTTACAAAGTGGATGAGAAGCATTTCATTAGGGGCATCAATTGCTCTTGTATTACTACCTCTTAACACATTATCCAGTATTTGAACACATTTTATGGATGGAACATAAACTGTATCGCCACTAGATCCAGATGTCATAGAATCCTTATTTTTTTTTTGCTCCTGTGAATATCCTTTTCTGCAAAACCTGGAATATTCATAACCTTTTTCAAATCTTCATAAGCTTTTTGTTTTGCTAACCTGTCTTTATAAGTAACATTTTTAATGTGACATAAACATTCATGTTTGACATTTTTTCTAACAAACTTGACAGTAGTGTTTTCGCTCCATCGCTCAGACATGTTTGTTATTATTTATTATACTAGATATTGCTAATTCACTAAACTAAATTTATGCGTTCGCACGTGTTTAGTGGCAGTTGTAAATAGTGGGGGTACGCTACTCGACCGAAAAAATAGTATCAAATGGATCTACTCGACTAAATCTTGATTAACTTGTAGTGTCCGCACATAGCGAGTTACTAAATTGCTCGCTACTCGACTAAATTACTAAACGTGTCTGTACGAGCCTTAAGAGACGTACGGCTAAACCCAAATGTTTCTAGGTCTAATGTTAGTTCTAGTGGCAGTGCAAGTGTAAAACTAGAACTAACACTATACCTAAAACTAGAATCATTCGGGTTTAGCCGTCTTTAGAGATGTGCGGCTAAACGCAAATGATTCTAGTTCTAGGTATAGTGTTAGTTCTACATAATAACAGTGCAAGTGTAAAACTAGAACTAACACTATATCTAGAACTAGAATCATTCGGGTCAAGCCGTTTTTAGAGACGTGCGGCTAAACCCAAATGATTCTAGTTCTAGGTATAGTGTTAGTTCTACATAATAATAGTGCAAGAGTAAAACCAGAACTAACACTAGCCCTGGAACTAGAAAGTTTCGGGTTTAGCCGTCTTTAGAGACTAATAAAAATATACAATAATCTAGCGCTGAATAACAATTAAAACTAGAACTACCGTTCTTGATTTATACATCATATAAACAACTCGTGGAATATCCCGAGTTTATCTATGAATATGAAATAGAGCAAACTTTCAGTTTTCCAAATAAAATACAATATTAACAATAATAACAAATGATACGAAATTGACGCCATAAATTTGAGTACACAGTTAAGCAAAAGTGATTAAGTTTAGGTTGGTATTATGTTTTAATCCGCTATAGGCCCGCCATTAGCGTCAATTGCCGCCTGCATTCGCCGTGGCATGATGGAGTACACTAACTTTTTGGTGTAGTTTGGCGAGATTCTATCTCAAATTTTGCAAATTCCATTTTTCAATTCGCTTTTATTTCGGCACTTGCTATTTTTTAACTGAAATTTAACATCTCTCCAATAAATGTTCAATAGGATTCATATCCGGAGACTGTGGTGGTGTTTTTAGTTGTTTTGAAGTATTGTATAACACCATTCCATCAGAAGGTATGATGTATGTTTAGGTTCATTATCTTGTTGGAACCAGAACACAGTCGGAAGGTTAAGTTTTTGAGAGCTTGGCACATCCAAATAACTAAATTTTGTCATATTTCCCACAATAAACTCTATAGTTCTATCGCCGCTGGCTGCCATTGATCTCCACAGCATTACTGAACCACCCCCATGTTTAACTGTTCCATTAAAGTTTGCTTTGAAATATATTTGGACTTTTGTACAGCATATCCGAATCAGTTTAAAATTAATTTTCATAATTTCGAGAATTACTGCTTATTACGAAAAGAAACAACTTTAGAAATAAGAAAACTCGTGGTGGAGCTATATTCTGAAGGTAAATCCTTTAGAGATATTGGTAAAATTATTGGATGACCTCAATCCACGGTACAAAAAATCGTGAATAAGTGGAGGCATGAAGAAAGATTGAAAA